TTCTCACTAACAGAGATGAAATGATAGACGGTGTTGAAGCCATAGGAACCCTGGGAGGAAGTGATCATGCAATATTAGAATTCAACATTATAGAAGCACAAGCAATAGAACACAGTCAAACTAGAGTCTTGGACTTCAAGAGAGCTAATTTCAATAAACTTAGAGAGGGCTTGGGAAGGATTCCATGGATGAGAATCCTCAAGGGGAAAACAACTCAAGAAGCTTGGGAAATTTTGAAAAATGAGATAATAAAAGCACAGTCTAGCACAATACCAACAAAGAGGAAAAACAACAGCTCTCAAAAGAAACCAGCATGGCTGCATAAAGAACTCTCTGACAAATTGAAAGATAAAAAGGACAAGTATAGAAAGTGGAAAGAGGGGAACATAACTAAGTCAGAATATCAGCAAATAGCCCGAGCCTGCAAAGATGAAGTGAAGAAAGCCAAGGCTCAAAATGAACTGAGGCTTGCGACCAAAGTCAAAAATAACAAAAAAAGCTTCTTTCAACATGTAAAAAACAAGAAAAAAGTGAAGGAAATGATTGGTCCATTAGTGGGTGGAAGTGGCAAGAAGGTGACAAGCAACAGGGAGAAAGCAGAACTATTTAACTCATTTTTTGCATCTGTCTTTACACAAAGGGAAAAAACAGACCAACCTATCAAAAATAGTGCCACAAAAAACAAAACAGAAACACAAGTTAAGATAGGCAAGAAAATCGTTAGTGAGCACCTGTCCAGCCTAGATGAGTTCAAATCGCCAGGACCAGACGGATTACACCCCAGAGTTCTCAAGGAACTGGCAGATGTGATATCGGAGCCACTGAACTATATTTTTCAAAGATCCTGGAACACAGGGGAACTACCAGAGGACTGGAAAAGAGCTGATGTAGTTCCCATCCTCAAAAAAGGAAAAAAAATGGATCCAGGAAATTACAGACCTATCAGCCTGACCTCAATACCTGGGAAGATCCTGGAAAAGATAATCAAACAACGAATCAACGAACACCTAGAGGCAAACAAAGTCATTACTAAAAGCCAACATGGGTTTGTCAAAAATAGATCATGCCAGACAAATCTTATTGCATTCTTTGACCAAGTGACAAAATTAGTGGATCAGAGGAATGCTGTGGACATAATTTACTTGGACTTCAGTAAGGCATTTGATAAAGTAGATCACAACCTACTACTTGACAAGATAGAAAAATGTGGGGTAGACAGAACCACCACCAGATGGATCCGTAGCTGGCTGACCGGCCGTACTCAGCGAGTGGTCCTCAATGGAACTGCATCTATATGGAGGGAAGTGTGTAGTGGGGTGCCCCAGGGCTCTGTTCTGGGCCCAGTACTCTTCAACATCTTCATCAACGATTTGGATGAAGGGATAGATGGGGAACTCATCAAATTTGCAGACGACACCAAGCTGGCAGGAATAGCCAACACTCCAGAAGACAGGCTTCAGATACAGAAGGATATGGACAGACTTGAACACTGGGCACTAACTAACAAAATGAAATTCAATGGTGAAAAAAGCAAGGTTCTACATTTAGGCAAGAAAAACCAAATGCACAAGTACAGCATAGGTGGCACCATGCTCAATAGTAGTAACTGTGAGAGGGACCTCGGAGTCCTAGTAGACAATCACCTAAATATGAGCCAGCAGTGTGCTGCAGCTGCCAAAAAGGCCAACACAGTGCTAGGCTGCATTAACAGAGGGATAGAATCAAGATCACGTGAAGTATTAATACCACTCTTACAATGCCTTGGTAAGGCCACACTTGGAATACTGCATCCAGTTTTGGTCACCACGATGTAAAAAAGATGTTGAGACTCTAGAAAGAGTACAGAGAAGAGCAACAAAGATGATTAGGGGACTGGAGGCTAAACATATAAGGAACGGTTGCTAGAATTGGGTATGTCTAGTTTAACGAAGAGAAGGACAAGGGGGGACATGATAGCAGTATTCCAATATCTCAGGGGCTGCCATAAAGAAGAGGGAATTAAGCTATTTTCCAAAGCACCTGAAGGCAGGACAAGAAGCAACGGGTGGAAACTCATCAAGGAGAGAAGCAACCTAGAACTAAGGAGAAACTTCCTGACAGTGAGAACAATAATCAGTGGAACAGCTTGCCTCCAGAAGCAGTAAATGCTCCAACACTGGAAGTTTTTAAGAAGAGACTGGACAGCCATTTGTCCGAAATAGCGTAGGGTTTCCTGCCCGAGCAGGGGGTTGGACTAGATGACCTCCAAGGTCCCTTCCAACTTTACTACTATTACTATCCATATTCAGAGCAACAGCTAAGTCAGTAAGCACCATCTCCATCAAATCTTGATTCATATCTTCCTTGAGGCCTCTAATCCTCAAGGCATACTCCATCTGTCTATACTGAACCATAAGCATATCTTCTTGTGAAATCTCCACCTTCCTTTCCACATCTTGAATTTTGTCATCAAAGGAGTCAACTTTATCTTCCACTTCCTCCAATCTTGCATCCAGTTTCACTACCACTGTAGCCAAGCCTGATACTGCTGCAACTATATCTTGTCGCAAGATGGTATTATTAGCTTCTAATAAGCCCTTTATCCCACTTATCTCTTCTTTAATGTCAGATTTAATATCAGATTTAATCTGCATAACAAATTGCTTCATTTCATCTCTCATTTGAGACATAGCATCCCCCATTATCCCTTTAACCTCTTGTGCTGACAGGCCTGGCAGAGGAGGAGAAGGTGGTGGCTGAGCCGGTGGTACATGTTTAGGTTGTTGTTGTGGTTGTGCAGCAAGAGCTGTAGGAGAAGAGACCACCTTAGGTGTTGTCAAAGGCAGCTGTCTCTTTGAAGCCATTTTATGTGACACTGTTCTCACTTCCCTTCTCCTCAAAGAAGGGGGAGGAGGAAAAGATTTTTTTCAAAAAAACAGCACCAACATAGTCCTTTAAAAAAATCCAAAGAAGTAAAAAAGAAAAAAATCAAAAGAAAAATCCAGTAGCAAGAGCAAAAATATCAAAAGCAAAATCATTAAAATCCAGTCCTTTAAAAATAAAGAAAAACTAAAGAAGGAAAAAAAACTCCGACACTTTCAAAACGCCATCTTAATTCCTCTCTCCGTACCAAAAAAAAAAAAAAAGAACAAAGGAGAAATAACCAAGACTAACCAAAACTAACTAAAAGAAAAAAAAAATAAAACCCTAAATTATAAAAAAAGAATCCTTTAATCCGCTCCGTCCGTTTTAAAAGTTACTCACCAAGACACTATACTCACGGAGATAGAGGCGGCGGTTTCTTTTGCTTCAAAGGAAGCAAAAACAGCTGGGAGGCGGAGATCAGCAGGCGCTCCGAGGGAACACTCCTTTCACCCCCTCTAGGAATAAATCCAGAGGGGGTGAAGGGGTTCTACCTCTACCCCTGCGTTCTCTATCCCTTCCCTTTGCCCGGGAAGGGATTTGCGAACCGCGGGCCAGCTGATACGCGCTGGACTCCGCGATTCCGACACCTTCCCAGTTGGACGGCTAAGAATTAGCCACCATCGCCGTCGCCCCGTACCGGAAGCCCCTTTCCACCGTTATTAAGTGAATCATTGCAGTTGTTAAGATCATAACCTGGTTATTAAGTGAATCTGGCTTCCCCATTGACTTTGCTTGTCAGGAGGTCACAAAAATTGTTCACGTGATCTGGGGACACTGCCACTGTCATAAATATGAACCAGTTGCCAAATATCCAAATGTTGGTCACGTGACCATGAGGATGTTGCAGTGGTCATAAGTGTGAAAAATGGTCATAACTCACTTTTTCAGTGCTGTTGGAACTTTGAATGGTCACTAAATGAACTGTTGTAAGTTGAAGACTACCTGTAATTATAATAGGATATATATTTGATAAGAATGAAAAGTTATATTATAGTTTACCTATTTATTTCTAAATCTAAAATCCTCTCCCAAAGAATCAGAAACTACATCAGATTGGTAGATGATAACACATTTCATCAGCAGATTACTGCTGATGAAATGATAACACATTTCATCAGCAGATTACTGCTGATGAAACGATGTTGGTTTATATTCTGATGTATGATGCATAAATGGAATGGCTTCATTCAGAGAAGAGAGGTGATCAGACACATAGTTTAAGAGAACAGCATCCGCTATTGGGAATCGTTACATATTATCTTCTCTGTCCATAACTCTAAATGCAATTGTTTGTGTCATGCAACAATACTTTGGGCCCAACATTATTCCCTGCACAGTATTGATTTAAAGTAAAGTGACAACCTGTTTCTTTAATGCTAGGGTTGTTAATTATTCTAGATAGAAATAGAGTAGAGTAGAGTAGAGTAGAGTAGAGTAGAGTAGAGTAGAGTAGAGTAGAATACTTTATTGGCCAAGTGTGATTACACACAAGGAATTTGTCTCTGGTGCAATAGCTTTCAGTCTATATGCAAAGCAACAGAATCATCATCATCATCATCATCATCATCCTAATAAGATGGGAGAGTAAAGAAGATAACAAGAATGTGCTAATACTACAGCCATACCACATGGGCAAATATATATAGATATTAGACAGCACTGTGAGAATTAGTTGTTCAGCAGATTGATGGAGCAAGGGAAAACACTGTCCCTGTGTCTAGTTGTTTTGGCATGCAGTGCTGTGTAGTGGTGTCCTGAGAGGAGGAGTTGAAACAGTTTATGTTCAGGATGCGAGGGGTCTTGTAGATATTTTCTCAGCTCTCCTTTTCACCTGTGCAATATACAGGTCTTCTATGGATGCAGACTGTTGCAATTGTTATTTTTGCAGTCTTAACTATCTGTTGGAGTCTGAACCTATGATGTTGGGTTGCTGTACCAAACCAGACAGTTATAGAAGTACAAATGATGGCACTCAATAATTCCTCTGTAAAACTTGTATCAACAGCTCCTGGGATAGTAGGAACTTATTGAGTTGCTTTTCAGTTTTCTGTTTTGGTACTGTTAAAAAAAAATCTCTACTTTTTTTCTGTTTTCAGAGGACATACACATTATGTAGTGTATTGCTTTGGTCCCCCTTTAAAGACTGTCATGAATTTGTGAGCCCATTTCCTTTCATGGCCAGTTGCACAAATGATTTATGTATGTAAGTATCCATTTTTTTTGAAGTCCAGATTTAGAAGTGGATAGCCAGGATCCAAAAGAGCTAATGAATACACATGGATCTATTTATTATATAATTATCTCCTCGTACTATTCATATCTCAGACAGCATCATGATGTCTAGGAGCAAGTTCTCAACATGTTCAAGATGACATAATATATACACATAGCAGGATTAATTTTGGCCAAGTATTTATTTCCCACCTGCTTCTTTTTCAAGCGTTATAGAGTGATATTCATCTGTTCATTCCCATAGAATTGAGCGGTTTAAATTTATGTATTTTGAATTCTCATTAGCTGATTATATTTTGATTTAATACTAAATCATGGTTCAGTTCTAGAATAAGGAGCTTAAGATTCCAGAAGTGGGTGTTACTCAAACCTCTGTCTCTGAGATTTATTTGTGAAGACCAGATCTGAAATATCTGTTTTAAGTTACTTGCAGTTTAGTCTGCCATTTGAGCTGTGAAATTAGATTAATCTATTTTATTTTTATTTTTTTTAAAGCCTTGTTGGAGGGGGGTCAGGTGATGGCTCAGCAGTTAAATAGGTTGAGCTTGTCAGCTGGAAAACTGACAGCTCTGGTTTGTGACTTGAGCACCATGTAATCGGATGAGCTCCTGTTACCTGCCCACCTAGCAGTTCGAAAGCACGCAAATGCGAGTAGATAAATAGGTACACGTTCCATGCACCTCGGCGTATAGTCATGCTGGCCACATGACCTTGGAAAGGGTCTTTGGACAACGCTGGCTCCCTTGGCTAAGAAATGGAGATGAGCTCTGCCCCCTAGAGTCGGACATAACTAGACAAGGGAAACCTTTGCCTTTACCTTTAAAGGCACTTTATCTAACTTATGTGTTGTGATTCATTCTGAAAACCTTTCACATAACACTAAAACGAGATTTAGAGTTTAGCTTAAATTCATTGAAATAAGTATGTTTGAAAATACAATTCAATTAAGAGCTTATATAATTATAAATAAACAAAAGTTATGATTGTACCTGTGCGATACTGATTTTCTATCAAAATACTAATAAGAATGATAATGAATAGATAGCTGTATGTATCCTTAGTACTGACAGCTTTTGACCTTCAAATAAAATATAACTGCTATTTGTATTGCTTTTATAATATGTTGTTTTGCATTTTGTGCATTGCTCAAGATAATAATAAAATAATAATGAATACTGTTATCAATAATATCTCTGGATTGCTAGTAACAATATTATTATTACCATCCTGCTCTTGTATGGAAATAGAGATAATGATATGTTAATTTTAATGTTTTTAAGGTCAGGCATTGATAATACCACTTGGTGTCGTGCATTAACCGAATACGCAAGGACTTGTGCTCAAGCAGGAAGACCACTCCATGAATGGCGGGCTAATTTTGAGCAATGTGGTATGCACTGAAGGGTTTCAGAATGTTTTACAGTCTCTGTAGTTTCCCCAAGTCTTTGTCTCTTCCCTCCCCCGCATTTTGTTTTCACATTCTTAATCAGTTCAGCTTTGACTAAGTTTACAATGTTTAAACCCCGATTTTTAAATTGCTACATTTACTAACACAGAGTGGCAATGATTAAATAAATTGGTAGCATGCAAAACTAGCGAGAAACACGTTTCTGCATGTATTGTTATAATAGATAAATAAATAAAATTTGTATATCAGATCAAAAACTTAATACACTATTTCATAATATACTATATAATATCAAGTTAGGAATAAGAACATTTAACATTGATGCTGTGTGATAATGATTTTCATTCCCAAAGAAAGTAGGAAATCAATGTTCTCTTGAAGTGTTCAATGCTTATATATCATATAGTGCAGTGATGGCGAAACTTTTAAAGACCGAGTGCCCCAAAACCGGCCCTCCCCACCACCTCACCCGCGCTCTGCTCCCTGCTCCTGCCCACTCCACCTCCATGTCCTTGGCTGCACTGCTCCACGTGGGCCATGCTCGGGGGCGACTCTCCTCTGGGGGGGCTGCTGGTGAGGAGGGGGCTGTGGGGGGAAGTGGGGCTGGGGCGATGGTGCGTGTGCCCACAGAGAGGGCTCTGAGTGCCGCCTCTGGCATGTGTGCCATAGGTTCGCCACCACTGATATAGTGTATATCTTAACTATTTACTCCCATCATCTCAGCTGCCCAGAAGCAGTGCACAAGGAATCTGGGGAAGTGAGCTTCTTGTATCTATTATCTTTATCTCCATTCAATCATCCTATTTCTTGTACATCCAGATTTTAAGATTACAAGTAATTTAAACTATGGGATTATAGGAGGCACATAGAAGGAAGATATAACTACTGTGTGTTGTGCACCAAAATGAGGGCAGTGAGAAAAAAAAGTCTCACAAACTTATCTTTTCACAAGTCTGTAGTATCTTGCAGACATTGTTTCAAATGTTAGGCAAATGATTTTCTATTTGGTTCAGCTGTAGTTTTGGAAAGCATTTTAGATATGAAATAAAATCTACTTCTATGATTGGTTGCAAGGATGGAAAAGGAAAATGACACATCAATTTTAAAACTAGCTTTCAAATGCATTATATATATATCTCAAGAGACTTTAAAGCTTTAATGGATTTATAGAGGCATAAACCTTTGAACAGAACTCTTTTCTTAAATGAAGTTGGAACAACAGCATAAATCACATAACATTCTCTGTGTCTTCTGTTTTTGCAGTTGTTAAATGTGAGGAGCATCTTGTCTACAATGAATGCATTGATTGTTGCCCATTTTCCTGTCGCCAGAAAACTCACTGTGTTGATAGTGAACTTCCCTGTGTTGATGGATGCTATTGTCCAGATGGTAATAATGGCTATTGTGTGGGTGGCGTTCTTGCAAATCTACAGCAGAACAGCTAAAAAATTATATTTTAAGAGCTCGCCACTCAAGTTAATGTTCATGAAATTGTAAATTCTTATGGGGATAGATCAACCTAAGGGGATTCTAGGAATAATCTAACGCCCTTGTGTGTTTCAAATTGCATTTTCCCCTTTGAATCTGAATATTGTTACAATCCTATTTGTTGGTAATGTATTTCTACACTTGTCCTTTATGATAAGAAATAAATAGTAACTTGCAGCATAAAACATTTCAGATTTGACCTGTTTTAAATCTGAAATGTCATTTTCCAAGTGTAAATGAGGTTGTTTCAATCATTTTCAAAGTGCTTAAAACTTAAAACCAATGTTTTGCTTAAAAAAAGACTTTTTAAAACTGAAAACCTCCCAATCAAGCAAAAGAGTTTTGCAGCCTAAAAATCTTTTTTTTTGCATTTGAATCAGAGCATTTTTATACTTAAAAATGGAAATTGTTCATATTTAGCACATTTTGCAGTGTTAAATAATATTGTGCATTGTGAAGGATTTTTTAAAAATATTATGCAGTCAAAAATATGTTACTGTTGTTACCAGTCACATGACTATTGAATATACATTCTAGGCCTTATTTATGAAGACAGATTATGTGTGAGGCCAACTGACTGTCCTTGTGATTACCATGGAACTATCCACAGAACTGGTACAGTTGTTCAAGAGGAATGCAATAACTGGTAAATAACTTCCTGAAAATTTTATGTATGTTTTACTAACCTCATACAACAACATATATATTACTATTGGACAAAAAGTTGTTAAAGTCATATGGGTTTGTAAATTACATTTCCAAGGTAAGGGAGTTTCTTCTCATAAACATTTAGCAGAATTCCAGAGCTTTGGAAATTTTAGCTTACCCTGATTCTCAAAAATATTCTCTTTGGGAAAACCTTGAAAGTAACATTTATAACCTGGTCTATAACAAAACTAAGGATGCTTTTCACTATAGTATCTTAGAGTAATTTTCCTGTATTGTGCTTCCATTTCCTCAATTGTTTTCCTTACAAAAAAAAAATAATCTTAAGAATACTTATGGAGTGCAATGCCTTCACTTTTGGAATGATAGTACTTTGAGTCCTCTGTATAGAAACATATGAAGTTCACTAAGTAGTATATTCTCCTTTCAAGAATGTAGAAAGTTTTTGAATTTGATATAAGTCAAGATCCTTATTATGTTTATACAGATACATACTAAGAATGTATCTTAAAGCATGGTTTGTTTGGATATTTTCTTTCATCCAAGAGAAAGTTGTTGAATTTATTATTATGAAGAGAAGAGAAGCAGCCACATCTCTGAGTATAAAAAAAAAAATGCAAGAGTGTTTCGTAAGCAGAAACAAGATTGGTAATCCCACCAATTGTCTTAGCTAAAAATTGTGTATTTCTATGGGTTATTTTTTTAAAAAAATTAATAATATACACTACACAAAATCCATAGTGCTGAGGATTTTTATGTTGCAACATACAAAGCAATTTTTTTTACAGACTGTAGGGCATGCTGTGGTATTGTTCAAGATTGCTTGGCAGTTTATGTAATAAATAATTGTATTCTATATGCATGAATTTAAAATTGTATTTTTCTTATAATGGCATCTGTAAATTTATCTAAATATCATGATTTGTTGTTTATATTGTTATTGAGTTTGATGCCTAGATTGCATACTGTACTTACAATGGCTACTTTTTCAAGTCTCAAATCTTTTTCTCTTTCAGTACATGTTCTGGAGGAAAATGGATTTGCACTAATCTTACCTGTCCAGGTAAATCAGTTTTTCGATAATTCATTGTTTTTTAGTTTGGTATATTAGTGGCAACATTTTTGTAGGTTTTCTCAATTGTCACCTTATTATTGTAAATTAATATTTGTTTCTGATTGCCTGTCTATTAATAAGCTATCTACTTATGAACATCATGTCTAAGTTTGCAGCTTAGGTCCACTCAATTTCCATTCATTTCATGTACAATTTCCATTCATTTCATGCTCAGTAAGAATATGCAGAGGCCAGTTTTGTTTGATATAGAATACCCATGATCAGATCTTCCAACTTAAAAACAAACCTTTTAAAAAATATTTAACCCTTTCTTTGTGCTTTATTTCTTAATGCCTCATTTTCCAAATATAAATCATATTCTCTCCCCTCATCTTCTATGAACTTTCACTTGGTGTCATAATTGTGCTGTGGATTTAGAAAAAAATCCCTTCAAGTTACTGCTTTAATTTTGGAAAACTGCCAACGAATGGGCTTAGATCGTTCCCCCAAAAGAAGACCCAACACTCGATTAAAAATCTAGACATAGATATCTTTCACACAGACTAAATAGTGAACCATGAATTCTCCCATGCAGAAATTCAGCATAAAAATAATGTATACTGTACATGTATGTAGTCTTTCATTCAATCATCTCAGATTGCTTGGATAAGCCCCTGCAGTTTTCTTGGCAAGGTTTTTCAAAAGTGGTTTGCCATTGCCTCCTTCCTAGGGCTGAGAGAGAGTGACCTAAGGCCACCCAGTTGCTTCTGTGCCTAAGAACTAGAACTAGAACTCCTAACCTCCTTCTCATTTCTAGCCTGGTGTGTTAATCACTACACCAAACTGGTTCCTTAAGATTTATTTTACTCATATAATAAATAGGGATAGAATATTGCTTTTTTTGGGGGGGGAAGGTTTGTGTCTTGGGCCAGGTGAAGGAGGATGAGATCTATTCACATTTATACTATGACACTGAAACAGGTTCTTAAAGAAAATAATCATTTTTAAAAATAATGAAAGGGCTATAATATAAGGAAGTTGCTTTATTTATCTTTGTAATCCTTGTATGGTTTGTCTTAATATCATTCAGCATTTAATATCAAATACAACATCACAAAACATTCTTGTAGCATATTGGGAAAAAAATCTTTTTTTTTTTTCATTCTTTGTTGCCAGCTCAGTGCTCAGTTTCAGGAGATATTCACTTCATGACATTTGATGGGCGCAAGTTTACTTTTCAAGCACCCTGCCAGTATATCTTGGCAAAAAGTCGTGTCTCTGACAAATTTGCTGTGACTCTACAAAATGCTCCTTGTGGACAGGTGAGCTGATGAAAGCAAGCATGCTGATGGCTTAAAAAATAAGTCACCTTTCTGAGAAATACATCTCTTGCTACTTTCTGATGAGTGAATCTCTGAATGTTGACAGTTTTGGTTCCAATACAGAAGTTCCATTCTGAAGACACAGGTGTGACCTGCCTTATGGATTTAATGCAGGACAAATTAAAGAAAGGTGGATTCACCTTCTACCAAAGATCACTTGCTAGTGGAAAAAATAAACACTATTTGCCCTTCTTAGTCTGGAAGGCAGGAGTGAGCAAGTGGAGGCAGGAATTTAAAACAGGGTTAGCTGCTGATTGTGTTGTCAGGTTGCAGATATGGAACCACAAGATGAGTGGTATATAAATTTGATAAATAACTAAAATAATAAAAGAGTGCGAAAGGCATGTCTGAAACAAGCTCAGCTGACTGTTCACCTATGAAGAAAAAAAAAGATGCATATTTAAATGTGGGGAAACAATAATGAGCTGTGCTGCAAGAGAATAGCAATACTAGCAGCAGCTGCCATAGACCATAGTACCTAGAAGTGGGCTATGAAGAAGCAAAATAGTCTAGAATAGGTAATATGGATCCCACTCCCCAAGTAATAAAAATGCTTTAAAAGCAGTGTCCCCAACCATTTGGGCACCAGGGACCGGTTCCGTGGAGAGAGATTTTTCTGCGGACCGGAGGGGGCGTGGTATTGAATGATGCCTGCATCCCACAATGGGGCTTCGCTTGTTTGCGGGGCCTGATTTCTGGCATGCTGGTCCTGGTCCACGGACTGGGGGTTGGGGACCTTGCTTTAAAGTATAGCCCTGAGAAATTCCTTATTGTCAGAAGAACCAGAAAATATATACTGCATTTATTGGTAACAATACCAGCAACACAGTGGTGGTAGAATCCAATTCTCCTTCCCACTTTAAACACTTGAAATGTCAAGCCTGTTCCTCAAAATAAAACAGCAGAATTATCTTGACTTCAAGAAACAGAACAGAACACAGCTTTCTTCTAGTTAGGTTTTGATAGCATTGGTTTTCATTAGCTTCTCTTATTTACTTGATGTGGATGGTTTAATCATATTGTGCTGCTCCTTTATGTTCATCTGGTTGCTTAGATTCCACTCTTTATTGAACAGTTTTAAAGTGTTTCATAGATTGTCATGTGATTTCCAGATAAAACTATTTGGGTCTACCTTTCATCATTCGACTGTGCATTTCAGATTGAGAATATGTAATAAAGCAGATTGTCTTCCAGTGAAGCATGTCTATCACCACTTTCTAACTAGTTGACCAAAAAAGATATAAAAACATGGAATGATAAGATCTAGAAGCAGTAATTACCTGAGGTAGCTTAAATTATTCTGGGAAAAAGGAGTTTTTACAATAGAAACTCAAATGCTGAATTGTGAAAGCTAAAACAGGCTGTAATTTCAAATATTTGGCTTTGAGTTATTTACGAAAAGTGATACTTTAAAAAACTTAATAAGAGCATAATTTCAACTTTAGATTGTTGTCTGAGAAAGAGGACTCAGAGTTATTCCAATCCTTTCATAGAGGTTTCATAGATTAAAATATTTTTTGAAATTAAATTAATTTGTAAAAGGACATTGCCAGGAAATCTAGAAAGCAAGTTTGGATGTGCACATTTCGTAAATTTTCTACATCTGAGAAAAAAAGGAAGTGAAGCTTTTTGTGGTCTATTGGTTAACATGGTTAGAATTATTTTATATTTAAGATATTTGCATCTAGAAAGTACTCCATAGTTCTCAGCAATGCTACAGTATGTCCATTATTACATTCATGGCTTGTTTTGAATTACTCAACCAATCTTATTGTCTCCCACAAATGCTTTGAGATGGCAGCAATCTTTATAACTAAGTATAACACTGATACCAGATTCCCATGTTTATTAAGGAGAGAATTTGCTGGTGGCCTATGACTGTTCTGATTGGCCTTACTTACCCCAGGCATGCAGACCTTATTCTAGGTTTGCACTTCCCCACTCAGGAGTAATGTGGAATTTAGGGATCCTTATAGACTCATAGGTCCTATTCTAAGAACAGGTGGCAGCTGAGATCAAGCAGGACTTAGTACAATTCGATCTGATGTACTAGTTGCACTACTTCGTGGTTCAGGCAGCCCTCTAAACAGTAACTCACACTCTTGTCACCTCACGATTCAGCTATTGGAATGTATTCTACATGGCAATGCCTTGAAGATGCCTCAGCAGCTTCAACTGGTGTAGAATGTAGCAGCACGAGCATACTTCATAAGTGTATGGCACAACGTAGCAAAACGAACCCATCGGGACAAGATTCAACAGTCCATCTGCATTTAAAAGACAAAAGCACTCTTTCAAAGACAGCAAAGTCCACATTTTGGATAGAGAGGATTGCTGATTTGAAAGAGGGGTCAAAGAGGCCATCTATGTCAAAACTGAACAGTCTTCTCTCAACAGAGGGAGAGGGATACAACATCATCTATCTTCAGTCTACAACACAGTCCTTTCAACAGTTTCAAGAAGGCTCCACACCCATTTGCACTACTCAGGTGACCTGATGACACAGATAAGCCTCTAGCTATCTGCAAGGAGTATAAATCCTTCCATTCCCCATCATCCATTCAGAGCTGAAGAAGTTTCTTGGATGAGAAGCAAAACGCCTTCAAAGAGAAAAAAGAAAGTTCAGTTGCTTCATGAAAAAGCACCCTTGGGACACCTGTGTATTTGATTTTTCTAGTCTAAATGTAGAACCTTACTTTTTTCACCATTGAATTTCATTTTGTTAGAGCCCAATGTTCAAGTCTGTCAAGATCCTTCTGTATCTTAATCCTATCTTCTGGAGTGTTGGCTATTCCTGGCAGCTTAGTGATATCTGCAAATTTGATGAGTTCCCTATCTATCCCTTATCATTGATGAAGATGTTGAAGAGTACTGGGCCTAAAATAGAGCCTTGGGGTGCCCCACTGCATATTTCCCTCCATGTAGATGTAATTCCATTGAGGATTACACATTGAGTGCAGTTGGTCAGCCAATTATGAATCCATCTGGTGGTGATGCTATCTAACCCATATTTTTCTATCTTATCAAGTAGTAGGTTGTGGTCTACTTTATCAAATGCCTTACTGAAGTCCAAGTAAATTATATCCACAGCATTCCTTTGGTCCACTAATTTTGTTACCTTGTCAAAAGATGCAATAAGATTTGTCTGGCATGTTGTTTTTGACAAACCCATGGTGGCTTTTGGTTATGACTTTGTTTGCCTCTAGATGTTCACTGATTCATTGCTTGATTATCTTCTCCAGAATCTTCCCAGGTATTGAGGTCAGGCTGATAGGTCTGTAGTTTCCTGGATCCATTCCCCCCCCCTTTTTGAAGATGGATAATACTTTGATTAGATGTGTTTGACAAATGCTTCATAGATTTTGATGCCAAAAGTCTGAATTTTCTATCATGTATTTTTTTACTGTACTTATTTAACATATTGTAAATGCCATGTAATATATTGTATTCATGTTTTGTTTTTTATATTGTGAGATGCTTGGAGTCAGTGTCGGGCAGCATCAAAATTGAATTAAATAAATAGAGTGAAGCAGCAACTATATGTGTCATCATAGCTTATCTCATTCATTTACAACTTTTTTTCTTTTTCAATATAAATTATTACACTTTATCCTTGATCCATTATAAATTCCATTTTATTTTAAGGCATTGTTTGTTTTCATCATCTTTTAGAATCACGATGGAACATGTATGCGATCAATCAGTCTTATTTTCAGTCAAGATTTTAGGAGGCAAGTAACTCTGACCCATTCAGGAGATGTTTTGGTACATGATCAATATAAAGTTAATCTTCCATATATTGATGGTAAGTTAGAATAAATTATAATGAAAATAATATTACAAATATGGAAAAGTAATGATTTTAGTTATATGCTGATTGCTAGAGTTTCATGGTCCTCTGTGCAATTTAGATGTTTCTTTCTATTTTTATGCTAAATTCTGTATTTGGCCAGAATTAGGGATGAGAAGTGAAGTGATTGACCAATATATTGCAGCAAAATAAGTCATTAATAGACCATCATTCAAATAGAAAAAGAGATACTGTATATACTCACAAATAAGCTGAGGATTTTAGGTTCCAAAATTCATCACCCAAATTCGGTTCAATTTTGCCATACATGGCCTTATTTGCAAGTGTTATGATAATATCATTCCATGTAAATTATCAACTATCAATATTCAATATTCTCAGCTCTGGTTAGGTTAGCTGCTGCTCTCTATTTTAAAGGATGGATTATATTTTTATGTGGTTTTAAATCCAAGGATTTAGTAGTCTATATTACATTTCCTTGTTTGTATCCCTGCTAGCAATCACAAATGGAGGATTTTATTTTTTACTGATGGATGAAGTGGCTTCAGTTCAAAGCTGAAGGAGCTTGTGTAAAATGAATTATTTTTGGAAACATTTTATATACCTTCAATATAAATATTGTAAAGTCAGTCCTACTGTAAATGATCCCATCACTTCATCATATGAAATGATGTAAAATATTTGAAGAAGCATCCAAGGTTTAGGTTTAAGGCCATCATTGCCATGAACAATCAGTGCCATCAACTTGGAAATGAACTTAGAGACTGCTTAAGCTTGAATTGGGGTGAACTTTCTGTAATGTGGAGTCTATGGAGATCCATCTCCAACAAGGTTTAACAAAGGGTAAAATAAAATGAGCTTTTCAACCTGTATTTTAGGTTACTATTGATATATCTTCCTTTTTGTTTTTTAGATTCCTTTGAAATTAGGAAACTTTCCTCTGTATTTTTACAAATTAAATCGTACATTGGATTACAAATACTTTATGACTGGAAAGGTTTAAGACTCTATCTTGAAGCTGATGCTCAATGGAAAGATGACACCATTGGCCTCTGTGGAACTTTCAATGGAAATACTCAGGATGATTTTTTGTATGTATAATGGTAACTTTTAGAAATACATTTTCATAAACTCTAAAATAAGTTTTTAATCAGTGCAGTTTTTCAACAAGATAGAAAAAAGATAGAAAAAAAACATTATTAGGAGAAAAGAAATAGTCACACTTGTAAGCCACTCATTTGAAGTGATTTTGGGTGGTGGTCTTGGGTAGCAAGAAAGTTAAAAAGCGCTGGACATACAATCTGACAACCTATTGCAGATCCAAGCAGTGTACCCTTTTGTAATTAGTAGATGGAAATTTTGTAAGTGCACAGATTTTCTAAGTGCCATTCAAGATTTTTTGGCATGGCATCCAGTGTGCCAATAATCCTTGTGGCCACCACAGCTGGTTCAACTTAATCTTTCAACTTCGATTTTCAGATCTTGATACTTTGTGATCTTCCCCAATTCTTTGTATTTTACTCTACTATCCCCCCATGTTTTTTTCAGCCACAGTTATACCATGAGTTTTTTTCAGCCACAGTTATATCTGGTGTGTCATGAGACAAGACTTTGCCAGTCTGCATTGGGAAATCCCACAATATTTTAACCTGATTATTTTTTTATTATTATTTTTCAACTATGCTTTCAAATATTCACTTTAAGTAGTCCTTCCTTTTTGTTGACGAAGTAATTTTCAGTACATTTACTATTAAGGTTCATTGCAGATATTTAAACTGGATTTGGCATTTTTACCCACCTATTGAATTCTTCCTACAGACCTGGGATAGGTAGATGTTGTTTGGTGGAATTAAAGGGACAGTCACGGGACATAAGCTATTCCAAGTAAAGCTACCTTTTGCAGTTGACTGATAGTAATTTTGTTGATGCCAATGGTGTTTGAATACAGGTAGTCCCTGACTTACAACACTTTGTTTAGTGACAGTTCAAAGTTGCAGTGCTACTGAAAAAAGTGACTTATGACCAGTTTTCACATGACTATTGTAGCTTCCCCGTGGCCAGGGGTGGGGAACCTTGGCTCTTTTGGACTTATGGACTTCAACTCCCAGAATTCCTGAGCCATGGCTGGCTCATGAATTCTGGGAGTTGAAGTCCAACAAGTCATAAAAGAGCCAAGGTTCCCCACCCCTGACCATGGTCATGTGATCAACATTCAGACACTTGGCAATCGACTCATTGATGATGGTTGTTGTGTCCCGGGGACACATGATTCCCTTTTGCGACCATATGACCAGCAAAACCAATGGGGAAGCCAGATTCCCTTAACAACGGTTTAATTAATTTCACAACTGCAGTGATTCACTTAACAGCTGTGGCAAGAAAGGTCGGAAAATGGGGAAACACTAACTTAGCAAATGTTTCACGGAGCAATAGAAATGTTGGGCTCAACTGTGGTCATAAGCCGAGTGTCATGCTGCTGAGGTGCTGGCCTCAAGCCATCTTTCTCCTTCCATAATGAGATCTTCCCTGAATCTTTGTCCGTCTATCCCCCTTAGAGGGGATAGGAATAGTGACCGAGGTCCGGGACCTCTTAATTGGTTTAAAAAATTTGTGGATCTTGGCATGATGTCATGTGTCTGACTAATGAAACACTTCAAAGAACTTTCAGGCATGGTTTAACCTAAAAAGCCTTTATTAATGTTAAGGAGTGTCAGCACGGCATGGAGAATGCCAAGATCTGAATTTCCGTTCCTTTGCACATAACATTCCAGGCATTTCCCCTCCCCTATTTTGGGGTCATGATTCACATCTTCCAATTAACCTGGAGGGCAAAGATTCACTTCCATTCCCTTCCGCAGGCTTTTCTCTCCTCTCTCATTCTCATCTGAATTAACTCTAAAAGTACCAGACAGTTCTGCCTATTTTGTCAAAGCAAGAATATTCAATATTAGCAGCGTTGACACCGAGGACTACCTGCAATGCACCCAAGGCTCCTATTATTATCATCGATGCTATCTTCTTTTTCTTTTGCCAAGTCATTCTATTCCTGTTTGCAGTTGTTTGTAATTGTCTCCAGTTCTTTCTCTTCTCTTCTACTGTCTCAAGGTTCTTCCACATTCACTATCCAGACTTTTTTTTTTTTTGTCTTATCCACAATTGGTATTAATGTGGCTGATGCTGGTCTGTTTGAATTCTAAAGTCCCAGAGCATTTTAGCTTCTTCCTTTTTATTATGGTTCATTGAACATAATAAACATTGAACATTAGACTGGTTTTAACATTTCTATCCATCTATCGTGTGCATTATTATGATTATTATTATTAATCTTGTGCCTCACAAAGCTCTGTTGCTTAGAAGAAAATGATTCCCTTACATGTTTTCTCTAATACTCTAAACATTGTCCAGTTCTAGCGCTAATTCTTTTTAATCCCATTGTCATAATGCTATGGGCACTGACTAGGAGATATACTGCCAAAATAAAGCAAAGTATAGAGCATATTTTATATGCTGTCAATAAATTTACTGTACCATAGTTAATAATGGTCTTGCAGGTAAAGCAAAACAGTTCCCCAGCCCACAGATGGCAGGCATTATTTTGTCGTTGTCAACAGTAGTTTGGCAAATCTGGGCTTTATCATGCAGCCTGTTGTGATGAAGAAGGGTCCTACACATGGCTTTTTTTCATAAGCATTTGGGCCACTGTTCATATACAGAGTTCAGAACATTTCTAAATATTTGACTCACCTCTTCAAATACAGGGTTGGTTTTTTGTTTTGGTGACCTCCAGATCAAGAGTTTCAAATGTTCAAGTAACAAAACTTGTTAGTAAAAAAATAATAATAATTCTCTCAACTCAAGAGACAAAATTCTGATGACAGCAAATTGGCTGTATTTGAATGAACCTCATCAAGTTTTCATAGAATACTAGAATGCTAGGCTTGTTTGTGGAACATAGTTTGAAAAAATGTGTTATAAATAGTTTAAAGTGGTGTTTGTCAACCTTGTGAACTTTAAAATGCATAGACTTCAACACCCAGTATTCCCTGTCTTGCATGGAGAAGTCCATGTATCTTAAAGTTGCCAAGGTTGAAAAACACTGCAGAGCAATGGCTACTTTAGAATTTTTCAATTCTTTCAAATTAAATTTAGAAAGGTCATGATTACCGTAGTTATACACTGTATAGAAATCAAATAATTGGATTGCCTAACTTTTTATAAAATGAAATATTTTTGCACACAAACCTGATATATTGTTTAACTTGTCACACCATCTTCTTTTTCTGCACAAAAGGTAATAAATTAAGTAGTCAATTCTATTAATGTCACTGTATGCACCCAATAATTGAAGTATGTGTTTTTAATTGGTGTTACTGCTTATTTTCAAAACCTATTATTTGCTAAAAATCAATCAATAAAAAAAGATCTCCAGTTGGAGTGCCAGAAACTACACCTCAGCTTTTTGGAAATTCCTGGAAAACATCATCATCCTGTAGTCCTGGGTATGACAGTTCATCAATAGATCCATGTGATGTTCATTTACAAGCAGGTGAGTATGACTATGGAGAGTAAGAGTGAGAAAATGTTTAAGGTTTAAGGTTCATTTTGTGCTTCTGCAACTGTGATGTCTGTATTCATATACTTAAACTTCAAAATCAGTTCTTGCATTACACAGATTAAGAAAATATCTAAGATGTCCAGGCCCAATATATACAGGTAGCCCTCGACTTACAACAATTCATTTAGTGACCGTTTGAAGTTGCAACAGTACTGAAAAAAGTGACTTATGACCATTGCAGTATCCCCATGGTCACATGATAAAAATTCAGCCGCTTAACAATTGGTATTTATTTATGATATTTGCAGTGTGATCACCTTTTATGACCTTCTGACAAGCAAAGTCAATGGGGAAACCATATTAATAATAATAATCTTAACAAAGGCATTATTAATTTAACAACTGTAGTGATTCACTGAACTGTGTCAAGAAAGGTCGTAAAATGGATCAAAACTCACTCGACAAATGTTTCACTTAGCAACAAAAATTTGGGGCTCCATAGACGCACACACACACACACGCACACACACACACACACACACACATTCACACTATTTTTATACAAACAAGATGACTGCTTATAATGCCCTCCTCACGGCTGTTCTATGTAGCACTATGGATATTTCTTTAGAAGTTACAGCTATCATTTATCCTTAATTTTTTTTCTTGCATTCAGTGTTGTTGTAATTCAGGCCTTGAATAGTTTATTCCCTTCTGTGGCTAAGCTAGATAAATGCATTCTGAAATGCCTAAAATAATTAAAGGTGTACTGCTTTTTGAAAATATAAATAATAATTGCAAAACTCCTTGCACAGATTAGGTGCCTAAGTGAAATCTTTTCTTGTCGTAGTTTCCACAAAACAATAGATGTTTTAGAGGTTACATTTTTTGGTCATATATAAAATTTGTAATTTGCATAGTGACATTATTAGCATTTTTATGTGAAATGACAGAATTTAAGTTTAGCCAGGCAGTGATTAATTGTTCAAGCAGGTCATCCTATTAAACTCAAGTAGGTGTTGCTTAAGTAGAATTCTCAGCATTCCTCATAAATGATCATCTGGTGGAGCTACTGCAGCTTATATCTCTGCAATATGTCTAGTGTTGTATGATCCCCGCAGCACTCTAAATATGAATATAAGAATGAGTAGGAGGTGAAAATATTTATGGCGATTGCAATTCAAGTTCTTGAAAAAATTCAACACAATTTACATCTACAAGTACCATCAGGAACAGTGTTGTTTATCAGAGAAGCTGAAACAGACATTTTTGTTCCTCAGGATAAAAAAAAAAAAAAAGACTTTACAATGCTTTTAAATTAAAGGATCCCACACTAAAACTTGGTTATTTCTATTTATTACTTTGACAGCTGCTTATGCAACAGAAGCTTGCAGCATCATTACCAGAGAACTCTTTGCCCCATGCTATACCTATCTGAGTCCTCTTCCCTATTTTGAACAGTGTAGAAGAGACACCTGCAAATGTGGGCAGATCTGTATGTGTTCCGCTCTCTCCCATTATGCCCATCTGTGCCACAGATTTGGAGTGGAGGTCAATTTCCGGAGTAGTGTCCCAGAATGTGGTAAGTTATTTTTCAATATCCAAATTTAACAACTGTCTTTGGCGCCGTGACTGAAGATCACAACAAAGCTAAATCCTGTGAAGTGGTGAAATGTCTGAACTTAATTTCTTTGCTTGTTTCCATACAACTGTGGGCCTTAGTAGAAAATTATGCTAGAGCTCTTCCATGAATTCTTGCAGTTAAAGATTCCTTCCCCCTATCTTTCTTAGACTGGTTATATCTCAGTACTGTATGGCAAATATGGAGTGCAAGAAAGATGAAGGCTTCTTTTCATCTGTAAAGTGGTTGGAAGTCTTGTATAGGACTTGTGTAAATGCAAGGTGTTTTATCATGTAGTGCTCTTCTCCTAAAATTGGAAAAAAGCCTCTGTACTGGAGATGACTTTATATGATTGCAAGACTGGGAAAGCTTAATTCTCAAGGCCACAGGTGGCTATCAAACTCATTATTATATCTTCCAGATTAAGGTTAGGCCAAATGTTCCATCATGGAATATTCCTGAGTTAGGTTGTTCTGAGATCTGAACCTGCCTTCTGTTGTCAAACAGTTATTGGAACATAATTGCTGAAAATATATTCGTGATTTTGTGATATTTTGAGATGAGAGCTATGCAGAAATTACGCTGTAAATTCTAAACAAGTGTCAGTACTCATCCCCAAAACTAGAAGACAAAAAATAAGAAAAGGATTCAAATCTACACATGTTGAATGTAATAAGCCATGAAGGTTTTAGTTCATGTAGTAACGTAATTTATTGTTAATGAAACAGTTTCTTATGATAAAGTCCTGTGCTTTACCTAAATATGCTGGATCTAACTTCTGAGTAAGCATACATAATATTTTGAACAGCATCTTATGTCCAGGTGAATGTGTGTGCATTTAGCTTGTAACATGAGAAGTTTTCTTCTTCTCATTTGAGCAGCTCTTTCATGTGAAGATACAAAGGAATACAGTACTTGTGTATCTACCTGTGGTAGGAGCTGCCGAGCATTCTCCGTGCCAGAGGCATGCGATGGTGATTGTGTCGAAGGCTGCACCTGCCCCTCTGGAATGTATCTGAACATCAAAACTGACAGATGTGTGCCACAGTATGTTTAATTATTATTTCTTTATAATTATATGTTTTCATATCTAAGTGATCAGTGAAAAAAAAACTTCAAGCTTTCACATAAACAGACTTGAAAAATAAATTTCGAATATATTGAGTAATTGAACAGAAAGCAGTGGTGGGCATGAAAGAAGTAATGTTTTCTTTACAACACTTAATATTTCCAGCCATATAAATTGTATACCAATATTCAGTACTTTTTTTCATTTTTACTATAGAAATGAATGCCCTTGCTATTTTCATGGTATTGACTATCCCCCTGGAGAAAATATAATCACATCTTTTGGAAAGTGGTAAGTTACTCTCATATTGCAGATAGTTTCCAATCAAAGTTTACAAATGTCTTAATTTTCCACTGACTGGAGTTTGTTTGTTTATTTATTTATTTATATCTCATTTTTATTAATTGCCATCTCCTTCCCTGAATTTTCTTCCAGAATTTTTTTGTTTTTCTTCTTCTTAAAGAAAGAAAGGCAGGATTGACATGAGGCATCTTGTTATCAAAGGCAAAGATTCTCTCCTCCATTTCTCATCATAAGGTGGATGGGATGACTGATAGGAGGAATCTGAGATAAGATGGCAGCTGGTTCAGTTATCTAATATCTTCCCAATCCAGACACTTCATTTTTTTCCTCCTCAAATACTTTTTGTAACTTCCTTTTATTATTGACTGTGCTGTCATGATTCAAATATGCTAAATATTTTCAGAAATCTTTGTCATTAAGGATATCCACTTTCTATTTAAAGTATGGACCTTATATTCTAACACATAACACTGGACAACAAAAATTTTGCTTACTGAACACTTTTGTATGTATCTTATAGATATTTGGCTGCTAATCCCGAAAACCAGTAATTTAACCTATTATATATGTTTATAGAAATCTGTTTTTACATGATGATACCAGGGCACCTTTCATTGGCTATGCTACACAAATGAAAGAAACATACAAGAACATGGAATGTTGTTGAAGCACATTCAGTACATCAAGTACAACTGGAATATCTGTGGACTTCTAAAAGTAATGGCTCTGCAGGACTTCTGGTTTGCCATTGCAGCTCCTGCAGATGCATGGAGGCGAGCTCCGTCTTCAGTGTCCAATTTTATCCTGCTGGGGGACCCTGGAAAGGGTCAAAAGTCACCCTTTAGGGGCGATGAGCAAGGAGGGGACCCTCGCTTGATCGCGGGAGGGCGGCAGCTCTCCAAACCGGCAAGGGAAAGACCGGCCATAGCAATATGGCTCGTCACTAAGCTACTGACAGCCGAAGTCAAAATTTGAGAGATCTGATCTTCTCTTTAAGACTTTAAATATCTTTCCTGCAAAAGCTGCCCAAACTATTTTTCCCCCTGTGAGGAGAGAGGGAAGGGAATTCAATAACAAGCGATTCAAAGATCTGTTAGTGAGGCCAGACAAGTCAGCTGGAAAGCATTCAAGGGTGTCATCGAGAATTTTCTTGGCAGTTGCAGAGTACCAAACTACATTTAGCTGATTGATAAACTACTTACAGCATACAAGACCATAAAGTGCAACATGTCACTGAAGATTCATGATCTGCATTCACACTTGGACTTCTTTACCAAAAATCTAGATGCAGTCAGTGATGAATATGGTGAAAGTTGCCATAATGGGGAAATGGCACCAGGGCAACTGGAATCCATCAATGCTGGTTGTCTTTCTTTCTTTCTTTCTTTCTTTCTTTCTTTCTTTCTTTCTTTCTTTCTTTCTTTCTTTCTTTCTTTCTTTCTTTCTTTCTTTCTTTCTTTCTATCTATCTATCTATCTATCTAATTAGTTTCTATGACTGTCCATTTCAACCAAGTGACTCTGCGTGGCATTACAGGAAGATGCATCAGACACTGAGTACAAATGAAAATCAGCAGCAAAACACTTTTGGTCCTGTTGAACTCAGTGTTTTGGAAACATTATGTGATTAAGTACACTTCAGTCATTAAAAGTTAATTTCATATTTCTCAAGATTCCTACATGATACAGTCATCATACAAATTATATTTGTGTTCAGTTTGAAGGGGTCTATCATAATCATCAACATTTTTTTAAAAAAAATTGTTGTCCAGTGTAATCTATAGTCTAGCCGAAGAATTGTTTTAAAAGTTATTTGTGAAAACAACTGATGATTTTTTGTTTGTTCCAAGAGACATAAGGTTAGATTTCAAACTTTTTTAAAAAAATATTTTAATTTTTATTTATTTATTGCAATTTTTCCACAGCCACTGCAGAAATGGGATGATGAATTGTGAAGACGACACTGGTATGTAAAGTAAAACAAAAACAAATTTAACCCAGATCATTTTTCTCCAAACCCTAGTCTGTTGGATACTTATGGGTTGTCTATATGCAAGAAGACTGGACCAGGAATAATTTAAGAAAGTACTATTGCGACTAAACAAATTTATGATTTTGGTGAGAAATATTTAGTGATACAGGTAATAGCCATACTGTATACTCCATAACCATGAAGTTGTGCAATGCTCTTAAAAATATGTGACTGCTAGGATAATAATAATAGTAATAATAATAATAATAATAATAATAATAATAATAATAATAATAATAATAATAAGCCCCCAGTGAGGCACTACCTTGACGTGGTTGTGGGGCTTGTGTACTCTGAGGAAGATGAGAGCTATGCCAGAGGTTCAACCATACTGGACAGGTCTCATCAGAGGAGTCAGACAAAGAATGTCATAAAAAATATGGTGAGACGTAAATTTCAGAATGCCATACAGGCTCGGATGTCGCCCGGGTTAACAAGGTCCGCGCTAGATATTGGAGTTCCTGGATATCTGGTGAAAAATGGGTTACAGGACTCAGGACTGTTGGCTGAGCAACCAGAGCTAGCAGCTGCAGAACTACTGGAAGAAAAGGTGTTTACCCATTGCAGATACACAGTGATTGAAAACAAAGAAATAATGATCTGTTACTACAGATCAAGTCCAACAAGAAAAGGATATCTAAAACGAATGCACCAGCTCTGGAAAGAACAACATCCAGAATCAGAAATAATAGAACAGAGACTAGCAGATCAACGCAGATTTATAATACGAAATAAAGTATTCACAGAAACAGAATTGGACGAACTGCAAAGAAATCAAAGCCTTACCAGAAGTAATTCAGAATGTAGAGGCAAACCAGGGAGAGTTGGCAGTGAAGGAATCCAGCAGAGATATACAACTCTTCTCATTTGGAAACCAGGCACCTCTTCCTTAGGAAGAACAAAACCCTCTAACTAAAGAAATAAAAGAATTGAAACAAAGAATAACTGAGCATCTAGAACAGCACAAAAACAATAGAATAAAACTGCCTACATTGAAGCTTGTTCCAAAGAAACAGCTAGCACAAGCATTAAAAGATGCAAATACTGCAATATCAAGTATAAGCACCAATTCGCTGCAAGAAACAAACCAACTAATGTACAGCACAGCTGCAGTTATAACTGAATACCTGGGATGTAAAATCAACAAAGAAGAAAAACAAACAAACAGTGCACCACAAAAATGGAAGGTTAGACTAGAAAATAAGATCAGCAAGTTAAGATCACATGCAAGCAAGCTAGAACAGATGAAAGAAAAGAAGCTGAAGAACAAAAAGACCAAAGAATACCTAATCAAGAAATACCACTTAGAAACAAGGAAGATCAAGGAACCACTGGAAATAATAAAGCAACAAATAACAGCTATAGCCAGGAAAATCAGTAGATATGAAGCTCGAATTGCAAACTATAGGCAGAACCTACAATTTCAATCCAATCAGAAACGTTTCTACCAATCCATCAATGGAGAAACTGCAATTAATCAGTCAGTACCTGAGAAGGAAGAAACAGTGCAGTTCTGGAAGCAGATATGGGATAACTCAAAGAAATACAACAAGGATGCGGCTTGGTTAAAAGAGGTGGATGCAAATAAAACAGAAGTTGAAATGAAAGAACTAGTAATAACAACAAAAATGGTAGAAAAAAGAGCAAAGAAAATCAAAAATTGGTCAGCACCAGGTGAAGATGAACTGCATGGGTTTTGGTTGAAACATCTAACTGTTATACACCCACTCATTGCCACGCAGTTCAACAATATACTACAAGGAGGAGAAATTGAAAAGTGGCTAACAACCTGGGGCAAAAACCTACCTAAATAATGAAAATCAGCAAAAGGGCAACCACCTAGGCAAACAGTGCCAATTACATGTTCACCAAACAACTTTCAAATTACTAACTGTTGGAGCTGATGCAGTACAACAGCATCTAGTTGAAAACAATCTCCACCTGAGCAGAAAGGAAACCGCCCCAATAGCAGAGGAACAAAAGATCAACTCCTAATAGACAAAATGATCTTGGAAAACTGCAAGAAAAGGAAGACCAACTGAATGTGGCATGGATTGACTACAAAAAGGCATTTGACTCTCTGCCACATGACTGGATAATCAAGTGCCTAGAAATAACAGGAGTCAGTAGAAACATCACAAAATTTGTGCAAAGATCAATGGCACAATGGAAGACACAGTTGCAAATCAATGGTGAGAGACTGAGAGAGGTTAATATCAAGAGAGGAATATTTCAAGGAGATTCATTATCACCATTACTATTTGTTATTGCACTGTTTCCTCTGTCAACAATACTGAATAACTCAGGACCTGGCTATCAAACATCAAAAACATCTGCCAGACTATCCCACCTCCTTTATATGGATGATCTGAAGCTGTATGGAAAAACATCATCTGAAATAGAATCGCTGCTCAACACTGTCCGTATATATAGCCAAGATATTGTAATGGAGTTTGGCTTGGACAAATGTGCCACACTTACTATCAAACAAGGAAAAATAATGAAAACTGAAGGAATCAAGATGCCCCACGAAAATAACATTAAGAGTCTGGATGAGGAAGAGTACTACAAATACTTGGGTATCCTTCAAGCTGACAACATCAAGCACACTGAAGTCAAGAAAAAGATTAGAGGTGAATACATCAAGAGAGTGAAGAAGATCTTAAAATCCAAACTCAATGGAGGAAATACCATAAAGGCAATCAACACCTGGGCAATCCCAGTCATTAGATACACAGCTGGAATAGTGGACTGGACTCAAGCAGAACTAAAAGCAATGGATAGGCAGACCAGAAAAATAATGACAATGAATCATACCCTTCATCCACGCAGTGACATTGATAGACTTTATCTACCAAGGCAAATAGGTGGGCGTGGAATGCTACAAGTACATCAGATGGTTGAAGAAGAAAAAATGGCTTTGGAAGAATATCTGAAGAACAATGATGAAGATGCACTGAAATTAGTATATCAGGAAGGCTTACTGACTCCTGGAGAGACCAAATGGCCTACAAGAAAGACCAAATGAAGAACAGAATAGAGGCATGGGAAGACAAAGCACTACATGGCCAATACATGAAAAAAATAGCTGGGAAAGCAGATAATAATAAAACCTGGCAATGGCTAAGAGCAGGAAAATTGAAGAAAGAGACCGAGGTAAGCTGTTGCAAGACGATTGCACAGACTGACTAGAAGCATCGGCATGACAAAGTAGCAACAATGGTGCATTGGAAGATCTGCAAAAAATATCATTTGCCTGTAATAATAATAATCCCTTGATTATTATTATTACTATTACCTTGACGTGGTTGTGGGGCTTGTGTACTCTGAGGAAGATGAGAGCTACGCCAGAGGTTCAACCATACTGGACAGGTCTCATCAGAGGAGTCAGACAAAGAGTGTCTCTCCCATAAAAAATATGGTGAGATGTAAATTTCAGAATGCCATACAGGCTCGGATGTCGCCCGGGTTAACAAGGTCCGCACTAGATATTGGAGTTCCTGGATATCTGGTGAAAAATGGGTTACAGGACTCAGGACTGTTGGCTGAGCAACCAGGGCCAGCAGCTGCAGAAATACTGGAAGAAAAGGTGTTTACCCGTCGCAGATACACAGTGATGGAAAACAAAGAAATAATGATCTGTTAATACAGATCAAGTCCAACAAGAAAATTGAAGAAAGAGACCGAGGGGACTAATTCTGGCTGCACAAGACCAAGCCTTAAGGACAAATGCATATAAAGTCAAAATTGAGAAGACAGCAACAGACAGTAAGTGCCGCCTATGCAAAGAAGCTGAAGAAACAGTGGACCACCTGGTAAGCTGTTGCAAGAAGATTGCACAGACTGACTACAAGCAGCGGCATGACAAAGTAGCAACAATGGTGCATTGGAAGATCTGCAAAAAATATCATTTGCCTGTAAGCAAAAACTTGGTGGGATCATAAAATAGAGAAAGTCATAGAAAATGATAAAATTAAACTGCTCTGGGACTTCAGAATTCAAACAGACAAGCACCTGCAACATAACACCCCAGACTTAACAATTGTCGATAAGAAAGACAAAAAAGTCTGGATAGTGGATGTGGCAGTGCCTGGAGACAGCAGAATAGACGAGAAAGAACTGGAGAAGATAACAAAATACAAAGACCTACAAATAGAAATAGAAAGACTGTGGCAAAAGCAAGCAAGGGTAGTACCAATAGTAATAGGCTCCTTGGGTGCAATCCCAAAACAACTGGAGCACCACTTGAACACCATTGGCATTGACAAATTCGCTATTAGTCAATTGCAAAAGGCAGCCTTACTAGGAACTGCTTCCATCCTGCGACGATACCTGTAATACCATCAAACATCCACATCTGCCTATCCCAGGTCCTGGGTAAGGACTCGATAGGTAGACAAAATGCCAAATCCAGTCTGAACATCTGGCTGACTGTGCGATGATTAATAATAATAATAATAATAATAATAATAATAATAATAATAATAATAAACCCCCAGTGAGGCACTACCTTGACGTGGTTGTGGGGCTTGTGTACTCTGAGGAAGATGAGAGCTATGCCAGAGTTTCAACCATACTGGACAGGTCTCATCAGAGGAGTCAGACAAAGAGTGTCTCTCCCATAAAAAATATGGTGAGACGTAAATTGCAGAATGCCATACCGGCTCGGACGTCGCCCGGGTTAACAAGGTCCGCGCTAGATATTGGAGTTCCTGGATATCTGGTGAAAAATGGGTTACAGGACTCAGGACTGTTGGCTGAGCAACCAGGGCCAGCAGCTGCAGAACTACTGGAAGAAAAGGTGTTTACCCGTCGCAGATACACAGTGATGGAAAACAAAGAAATAATGATCTGTTACTACAGATCAAGTCCAACAAGACGAGGATATCTAAAATGAATGCACCAGTTCTGGAAAGAACAACATCCAGAATCAGAAATAACAGAATAGAGACTAGCAGATCAACGCCGATTTATAACACGAAATAAAGTATTTACAGAAACAGAATTGGACGAACTGCAAAGGTTTACCCAGGGTAAAGAAATCAAAGCCTTACAAGAAGTAATTCAGAATGTAGAGGCAAACCAGGGGGAGTTGGCAGTGAAAGAATCCAGTAGAGATATACAACTGTTCTCATTTGGAAACCAGGCGCCTATTCCTCAGGAAGAACAAAACCTTCTAACTAAAGAAATAAAAGAATTGAAACAAAGAATAACTGAGCATCTAGAACAGCACAAAAACAACAGAATAAGGCTGCCTGCATTGAAGCTTGTTTCCAAAGAAACAGCTAGCACAAGCATTAAAAGATGCAAATACTGCAATAGCAAGTATAAGCACCAATTCACTGCAAGAAACAAACCAACTAATGTACAGCACAGCTGCAGTTATAACAGAATACCTGGGATGCAAAATCAACAAAGAAGAAAAACAAACAAACAGTGCACCACAAAAATGGAAGGTTAGACTAGAAAATAAGATCAGCAAGTTAAGATCACATGCAAGCAAGCTAGAACAGATGAAAGAAAAGAAGCTGAAGAACAAGAAGACCAAAGAATACCTAATCAAGAAATACCACTTAGAAACAAGGAAGATCAAGGAAGCACTGGAAATAATAAAGCAACAAATAACAGCTATAGCCAGGAAAATCAGTAGATATGAAGCTCGAATTGCAAACTATAGGCAAAACCTCCAATTTCAATCCAATCAGAAACGTTTCTACCAATCCATCAATGGAGAAACTGCAAGGAATCAGTCAGTACCTGACAAGGAAGAAACAGTGCAGTTCTGGAAGCAGATATGGGATAACCCAAAGAAATACAACAAGGATGCGGCTTGGTTAAAAGAGGTGGATGCAAATAAAACAGAAGTTGAAATGAAAGAACTAGTAATAACAACAAAAATGGTAGAAAAAAGAGCAAGGAAAATCAAAAATTGGTCAGCACCAGGTGAAGATGAACTGCATGGGTTTTGGTTGAAACATCTAACTGTTATACACCCACTCATTGCCAAGCAGTTCAACAATATACTACAGGAGGAGAAATTGAAAAGTGGCTAACAACTGGGAAAACCTACCTAATAATGAAAAATCCAGCAAAAGGGGCAACACCAGGTAACTACAGGCCAATTACCTGCTTACCAACAACTTTCAAATTACTAACTGGTGTGGTAGCTGATGCAGTACAACAGCATCTAGTTGAAAACAATCTCTTTCCACCTGAGCAGAAAGGAAACCGCCCCAATAGCAGAGGAACAAAAGATCAACTCCTAATAGACAAAATGATCTTGGAAAACTGCAAGAGAAGGAAGACCAACCTGAATGTGGCATGGATTGACTACAAAAAGGCATTTGACTCTCTGCCACATGATTGGATAATAAAGTGCCTAGAAATAACAGGAGTCAGTAGAAACATCAGAAAATTTGTGCAAAGATCGATGGCACAATGGAAGACACAGTTGCAGATCAATGGTGAGAAGCTGGGAGAGGTTAATATCAAGAGAGGAATATTTCAAGGAGATTCATTATCACCATTACTATTTGTTATTGCACTGTTTCCTCTGTCAACAATACTGAATAACTCAGGACATGGCTATCAAACATCAAAAACATCTGCTAGACTATCCCACCTCCTTTACATGGATGATCTGAAGCTGTATGGAAAAACATCATCTGAAATAGAATCGCTGCTCAACACTGTCCGTATATATAGCCAAGATATTGTAATGGAGTTTGGCTTGGACAAATGTGCCACACTTACTATCAAACAAGGAAAAGTAGTGAAAACTGAAGGAATCAAGATGCCCCACGAAAATAACATTAAGAGTCTGGATGAGGAAGAGTACTACAAATACTTGGGTATCCTTCAAGCTGACAACATCAAGCACACTGAAGTCAAGAAAAAGATTAGAGGTGAATACATCAAGAGAGTGAAGAAGATCTTAAAATCCAAACTCAATGGAGGAAATACCATAAAGGCAATCAACACCTGGGCAATCCCAGTCATTAGGTACACAGCTGGAATAGTGGACTGGACTCAAGCAGAACTAAAAGCAATGGATAGGCAGACCAGAAAAATAATGACAATGAATCATGCCCTTCATCCACGCAGTGACATTGATAGACTTTATCTACCAAGGCAAATAGGTGGGCGTGGAATGCTACAAGTACATCAGATGGTTGAAGAAGAAAAAATGGCTTTGGAAGAATATCTGAAGAACAATGATGAAGATGCACTGAAATTAGTATATCAGGAAGGCTTACTAACTACTGGAGAGACCAAACTGGCCTACAAGAAAGATCCAAATGAAGAACAGAATAGAGGCATGGGAAGACAAAGCACTACATGGCCAATACATGAAAAAAATAGCTGGGAAAGCAGATAATAATAAAACCTGGCAATGGCTAAGAGCAGGAAAATTGAAGAAAGAGACCGAGGGACTAATTCTGGCTGCACAAGACCAAGCCTTAAGGACAAATGCATACAAAGTCAAAATTGAGAAGACAGCAACAGACAGTAAGTGCCGCCTATGCAAAGAAGCTGAAGAAACAGTGGACCACTTGGTAAGCTGTTGCAAGAAGATTGCACAGACTGATTACAAGCAGCGGCATGACAAAGTAGCAACAATGGTGCATTGGAAGATCTGCAAAAAATATCATTTGCCTGTAAGCAAAAACTGGTGGGATCATAAAATAGAGAAAGTCATAGAAAATGATAAAATTAAACTGCTCTGGGACTTCAGAATTCAAACAGACAAGCACCTGCAACATAACACCCCAGACTTAACAATTGTCGATAAGAAAGACAAAAAAGTCTGGATAGTGGACGTGGCAGTGTCTGGAGACAGCAGAATAGAAGAGAAAGAACTGGAGAAGATAACAAAATACAAAGACCTACAAATAGAAATAGAAAGACTGTGGCAAAAGCAAGCAAGGGTAGTACCAATAGTCATAGGCGCCTTGGGTGCAATCCCAAAACAACTGGAGCACCACTTGAACACCATTGGCATTGACAAATTTGCTATTAGTCAATTGCAAAAGGCGGCCTTACTAGGAACTGCTTCCATCCTGCGACGATATCTGTAATACCATCAAACATCCACAACTGCCTATCCCAGGTCCTGGGTAAGGACTCGATAGGTAGACAAAATGCCAAATCCAGTCTGAACATCTGGCTGACTGTGCGATGATCCATAATACCTGGCAATGGCTAAGAGCAGGAAAATTGAAGAAAGAGACCGAGGGACTAATTCTGGCTGCACAAGACCAAGCCTTAAGAACAAATGCATATAAAGTCAAAATTGAGAAGACAGCGACAGACAGTAAGTGCCTATCCCAGATCCTGGGTAAGGACTCGATAGGTAGACAAAATGCCAAATCCAGTCTGAACATCTGGCTGACTGTGCGATGATTAATAATAATAATAATAATAATAATAATAATAATAATAATAATAATAGGAACTGCTTCCATCCTGCGACAATATCTGTAATACCATCAAACATCCACATCTGCCTATCCCAGGTCCTGGGTAAGGACTCGATAGGTAGACAAAATGCCAAATCCAGTCTGAACATCTGGCTGACTGTGCGATGATCCATAATAATAATAAAAATTGGAAGGGGCCTTGGAGGTCATCTAGTCCAACCCCCAACTCAGGCAATAAACCCTCTGTATTGAAGAGATTGATAGAATATAGAAAATTGACTATGATGTTATCTATGTTGTATTTTTCTAGATCATGATTGCCCAGAAGACCAAATCTATGTTAACTGTAGCCATCCACCAACTATGGGACTTGACAGGGAGAGAACCTGTGAAAATCAATTGCTAAATATTTCTGTGTCTACACAGCTTTCATGCTTTTCAGGATGCACGTGTCCTACTGGGTAAGTAAAAAAAAATGCCGATAATATTTAGTCTATTTTTATCATGCAACATAGCTTCTACTTCCATCAGCACTGAGTGCCTACAAATCCATTTATGATTTCTCATTCCCTTTTAAATAACTGAAAACCTTTAATGAGCATGTCCAGCTCCAGAACTAAGGAATACTTTTGCTCTCTTGCTCACCTTTTTTAGGTTGAGACAACACAGCACACAGAATGGCACAACTCACTGCAGCCAACTCGCCACGGCCAACTCACTGCAGGACAACTTTCTACAGCCAACTCATTGCGAAGCAACTAGCAGCAGGACAATTTAACAATTCAATTTAATTATTTAAAATAAATAATTTTTTAAAAAATTTTGTCATTCACATTTTGTTCTGTCCCTTCTTTTGCATCCTTTCTTTAATGTTTCTATTTCACCATTTCTTTGATATTAGTGTAACCTTGTCCTGCAGCAAATTGTCCCACAATGAGTTGACTGTGGTAAGTTGTCCCACAGTGAATTGACCACGGCAAGTTGGCTGTAGCAAGTTGGCCATGGCAAATTGTCATAGACCCCACAGCATGAGGCAATACAACCAAATCAATAGTTTAAGCAGCACAAATATCTATCTGCAGTACTTATATTTATTTCTTCGTATCCTTTTGAGTTTCAATGTCTATCTCTTTAAAGCAGGATATTTCCTTCTCGTTAATGTTAGGACATGGTTAAGTTGGTGAAGTTTATGTTTTTATACTTCATGCCCAGAGTTCTATTTTCTTAAAAATGGTTAGCTGGAAAACTATGATTTTAAGTCCTGAAATTTCAACCTTTGTAGTAGTTCTAAAGAAGGGAGAAGAGAATATGTGTTTGTAAGTCCTGCACAGAGAGATTGGTTTTCACACATTCACCAATTCAGTAAACATTCTTTATTTGGTGCTGCATCCTTAAGGCCTCGTAATTGTGAACTACGCCTTCTTTGTATTTTGTATGATGCTTCCCATTAATCATGGATGTCAATATCTACATTTAATGTTCAGTCTATGACTAAAAAATAAAAACTCATTAAAATCACAGATACCAAGATGCCAAACATGTTTCTCTCATTTTCTTGAGCTGCTATTTCTGGCAATAATTAGCACAGAATTTTATGACAACATTACTGTTTGTTCATCATTTGTTTTTTTTATCTGTGGTAGCATCCCAATGAAACCTACTTCTTAGAAATCCATACTAGGCACATCTACAGTATATCATGGCTGGATAAAACAGAAAGATATCTGTTAAACTATGTTTTCAGGATTCCTGATTCTTTAACTCCTTGGAGTTAAAGTCCACAAGTTTTAAGGTTGCCAAGTTTGGAGACCCATTGCCTTAAAGGCCACAAGGGGTGGAAAGGACAGCAGTCTCATCTGCTACGTAGTATTGTAATAAAGCATTGTGGTACATTTCAGCACAATCAAAGTTTAAAATAACTCTGAGAACAGAGGATATCTCAAGTTCCTCTATCCACTCTCAATTCAGAATATTGCAATCATCACTAGTACTCATTTGAAAATGAAATATTGAAACCTCTGTGGCAATCTGTATGTATGCCTGTTTTGCTCTAAATGTTTTTCTTGCCCTCAGTTTAAAATATCTTCCCGAACAGATGGCATAGCAGATCAAATAACTTGTAAGAAGCTTAAATAAATTCCTGGAACATTTGCTAAAAAAAGAAAAGACAAAAAATCATCACTTTCTAATTTATCCACAAACACGCATACAAAAATAATTTTAATGGAATCCAAGAATGTCTCTTATCAATGGCCAGAGAGAATTAGGGGATTAATTGCATAGAAGGAATTTAATTTTGAAGCCATGTTTTTTGAGAGTCCCCTTAGGTTACTGTTGGAGTGAAATAATGAATAATTTTTGGTGTACTTTTTATTAAATAAGCAGCAGTTTCCAAAATGATACGATTCAGAATCATGCTCATACATTAGAAATATAACATTAAAATAGCCTGGAGTATATATCATAAAATGAAATGTCTTTTTTTAAAAATCCATACAGTATTTCAAATAGAAAGCCTTAAACTTATAGATTGCATTCAATGTAACATTAGCATAAAAAGTAAAGAGACAACATTGCATGTTGCATTTAGTGGTTGTGTCTTCATATACCAGAACTCAACAAATGTGAGATTTTTCTAAATAATTTGTAATGAAATATTTACTCTTCATCTTAGAGACCGTACTTCTGAAACTCAAGAACCAAACATATGAAGTAGTAATTCTGCTTGGTAAAAGCTTTTTTAGAATGGTGAAAATAGTCCTTAATAATAAATATAAGTGTGGGTTCTTAATTTTTTCCCCTCTAGGATTTCATAACTCTTTAAAATGAATAGCAATTAAGTGCATTTATCATTGGGTGGAGGAATGGTGCCAGGCTATAACTATTGTTTAAATTCCTGCAAAAGCGCCTGACTGCAATGCCTGTAAAATTAAATAGTATGTTGATCAAATTATAGTATTTATAAGTGAGTGCCTTCATTTAATTTTAATCTGTAAGTTGTACATCAAACATTGACATTTGTGAATAATGACCATTCATAGTAAAAAGAACTCATTTGTCATCTTCTTTTTTATGAATTCTTAGATCCTTGCAATCAATCTGTCTGCCTGACTTTTCAAAAGAGAAAGCTGTTAGCACTTGTTTTATGTAGGATTATATTTCAGAGATAAAACTTGCACTTTTGTCTTGCCTGGCTAAAGTGATGCTCTTTGTTTCTGAATGCAACCACTTTTGTTGGTAGTATAAATCAGTGGGAATTTTGTAATTCAGAAAATGTAGGAGGGCTGTTTTAATAAGTTTTAAATAAGACCCTAATGTCAAAAGGTAAGAGAAACTATGACGTTGTTACTGATTTTCTTTTCTTTCACAAAAATTGGAGAAACTAGAAAATTATTTTAATAAAATATGTTAAAGGCTTTGTTTTCTCATGCTAAGTTTATAAAAGGTAACTCCTATAAATACAGCCAAAGAAATTCTATGTATTTATCTGAAAAGATTGATTGAAAAGAATAGTCATGCCAAAATATTGCATCCTTTCCCTCTTCCTTTTGGATTTGATGTATTGAATTAAAATATATACAGTTTTGTTTTGTGGAGGAGGAACATAAATTAAAATTAAGAGAAATACTCACTATGTCTTATTTTTTTCCTTGAAAATGTTTTATTAAATACAAAGCAGTGCAAGATGTATTTACTACTCTGGTATTGCTGGTCAAGTACCAGTTTCAAAAATACTCACTGGATATATTTTTGGGTTTCTTCCTCCAGAATTAAGAGGATATTTAAAAATTGCTCTCTAAAAATATTAGAAGACAAAAAAATTATATATGAAAACTTATTTTTTATTACTGAGAATCCTAGGTGACAGCTATTTTTCTGCTTTGTTGAAAACATTTTCTTTTTAATTGTTTTTGTTTAGTGATAGAACTGTTACATTAAGCCAGTGTTTCTCAACCTTGGCAGCTCTAAGATCTGTGGACTTCAGCTCCCAGAATTCCTCAAACAGCAATTGCTAAGGCTGAGGAAATACGGCATTAAGCACATTTGGAATCCAGGAACATTATAACTGGGAACATACCAGTAGACAGCCCAGGACAATCCATTGCCAACCCATTGCCAACAACTTGGAGATATAACAAGTGTTCATTTCTCCTACAGGGTCTAGTACTGTGCGGCTTTCGAACACTAATAAAATCAGATCCAATCCCAAAATGACACAGCAAAATCCAATTGAATCTAATTCTTTTTTTTGCTTTCACCTAATAGACAGAATCTTGCCAAACTAAAACTACAATCTTATAAACTATTTGATATGTCCTAAGAGATTCTAGGGTGTGGCTACCCTGAACTTCTTTCCCACACCTCCAGCTTAAGATTGTGCAGTGTCTTAATCTATGGGAACCCTCTTTGTTGCCAAAACTCTCTGACCTCCGCTCCTCCGGGTGCACATTCCATCATAAATATACAGAAGTTTGAAGTGGTAGGCACCAAAAGAAGGTCCTCTTGACAAGTTCAATTTCTTTATTGCTTTTGCTTTTGTGTGGGAGATCGGCACAAGCTATCTAAAGGTGAGGCCTTTAGCTGAGAGAGGTGCCCAGTGTTATATTAGCCCATCCTCTGAAGTCCTGAGAGTCCCACGTACCTCCCTATTTACATAACTGCAGCTGCAAAAGAGATCGGGAACATGACAGAAGAAGCCATTCTGAAGGGGGAAGGAAAACATATAGGGTGAAATTAAATAATGTGGAGAGTGATTTTCATTAAATTTGCAACACAGTAATGTTTAGTCCATTCTTTACAGTGTATATTTTCGATAATTGGTATAATACATTGGTATAATGGTGCAATGCTTTTCATAATCCTCATTTGATTTGAATATTTGATAGATCTCTTATGATAGTAATTTTGTAATTATTTGATGCTGCCTGAGAAAGACAAAATCTTGCCTGGGCTTGAAAACTAAGCAGTGTGCAGCTTAATATTCATTACTGGGATGGGAGATCACTATGGAAAATCAGTGATTTGGGTTAATTTGAAAAAGATAGAGGCAAATCCTTTCTGGATTGTTGCCAAGGGAAGTACATGGTTTGTTCATGAAGTCATAAGGAGTCAAGCTTAACTCAAAGGAAACTGTCCTAATGCTAAGAATATCAGCTGCCCTATTTTAGTTATAGTTCCTATTCATGTAGAACATATTGGGTTTTATTCAGGATATTATATATCAGTAAAACAAAACATATTTTCTGGCAATTAATAGTCATATTTTGTTATGTGGTTATCCAGATCTCCTTAAGAACCTTTGCCTAAAGTGCACAGAGATTTCTCTAGAGGAAAAAAAAAGTGGGGAAAATACATACTTTAACTGCAACTTTCTGATGATGCTATTAAATGTCAGAGTTCACAATTCTTAGTTTGATGAAAAGTTCTTTAGCTGAAACTGACAGACATGATTTTGCTGCATTTGAGCACACACAGTTTCATAAAAAAAGAGAAAGAATACTACAAGCCAAGTCTTATTATTCTCTGCAGTAAGGTTTTTTCCTCTTTCACAGAAGCTTTTTGTCTTCAGTGATATGGGGTGGAAGATCAGCAATATATTCCAGTAGGATCTGTCTCGCTATTTAGTTATCTATCTTTCTATATCCAATAGTATTAAAAATATAACTGACAATGAATGCCTATCTGCTGTTTCAACAGCCTTTTTAAATACGGCGATATGTGCTTCAAGCCAAATGAATGCCCATGTTCTTGGAAAGGCAAAGAATATTTTCCTGGGGACAAAGTAATTTCTTCTTGCCATACCTGGTCAGTAGAAATCATTTCCTTTATTCATTAATGTTCATTTTATACATGCCTCCCAGTGTGATATTTTTGAATGTTGTTTTTTCTTCTTAATGGACTCGAATTCCATTTTGTACTAACAGATAGTTAAACAAACCTTCAGTGGCTCCAAAATGGATTAGGAAAGAATGAATACAAAGGGACTACTATTAAAATATTTTATTTGGGTTATGATTCAGAAGCAGACTCTTTCTCCTTTTTACAAATTTAACTTCAACTTGAAATCCTGTGTGTGTGTGTGGGAAAGCCATTAAAATTAGTGGAAAAAAGAAAAGGTCAGACACATGTTTCCTCACTAAGGCCTTCTTAAAGTCCTTCCTGCCAAGGCTATTTTTTAATTTTTTTTTAAATTATACAATATTTTTTCATATCTTAATATGTAAAATGTAGTTTATCTCCAAGTCTCTGCAAAATTTGAGGCTAATAATTTTTTTCCAGTTTAGTCCTCATTACCTTGTCATACTTGAATTTAAAAGAGGGGTTTTTTTTGACTCAAGAGTGTAAGAACTTTCTGATTATTATAATTTCACCTTTAATTTTATTGGCACTTTCACAGAGCCCTTGGGTTTTTAAAAAAGAACCTAGGTCTTTCACCATTTCTTTTCATAAACAGTTTCATCTAGGTTCATCAGCCAAGAGCTGAAAACTGCTTTTCCTATGAACCATATGAACAAATTTATTAAAATATAAAGTAGCATCTCATCACCAGGATTGGCAGGAATGTATTATATAAGTAAGTAAGACATGGCATTACTAAAACCCACAATATGCATTAAGCGGTAACATATTTCAATCCTTTGCTCCTTACTTTCCTATCAAACTTCTATTAATTGGACTTTTGATTCTGCTGGGTAACCAGGTCCTATTACAGCAGGACCAAAGGAAAAATAATCCAGGCTGTTCCAGTCAGCACTTGTCCATGCCTTGACTGGATGTCTTTGCCCACTCCAGCCTTGTGCTGACTGACTGCATCTGCCTTTTGTCAGGTCCTCAATATCTGCTTAGAAGACATTTATAGCCTTTTGGCCGACTGGTGAAGCGACTTACAAGCCATCTCCACTTGACAGGAAGGTAAATGACCCCCCAGATGCCTCCCTTGTTCCCAAACCTCTGTATAGATATAGCTGTCATTGATACTTGGCATACAAACACAGAGAAAAAGAAAAGCCTTTAAGAACCTTACTTCAGGGGGCTGGGGGCAGTTCTGAAAATACAGTAGTAGGCCACAGCTTTCAGCTTAAAGAAGAAAACGTATTTGCTGAGAAATCTAAACATAATTCTTAACGTGTAGTGCAAAGGAAAAAGTAAATTGTTGGCATATCCTCTTATGTTCTTGTTAAGAAATGGATTCTTATCACAATATAAACTCCCTCCACAAATCAGTAGGAAATTAACTTCAGGTCTTCCATGTGAATTAAATCTCAGTCTGTTTTATGGAATTTTCAAAATGTTTGATAAAAAGTTATCTTCTATGATTATTATGGACTGTTCTTACATTCTAGAGTCACCTCTTGATGAGATGGGCAGCATATAAAACAAACAAACAAAAAATAAATAACCTGTTATTGAGGCCCAGGGCTCACTTGCAACACAGATTACATTGAGGATTACATATGATGGTAGACCCATTTTTTTTTCTTATATAAATAATATTGAGAACAAAAGGACCTGTATAGGAAGATGCTTTGTTGGCTGCTTTGAAATAAGCCACGTCTGCTTTTAAAATAATCCCGTTTTGTACAAACTATATGACCATCAGAGACAGTGTATGGAATTCAGTGGCAGGTTTGTTGTCAGTGGGAGTGGCTTCCCTCATCCACCGAGGAGGGACAGCAGTGCCACCTTTCCTACTGCTCTCCCTTCTATGTCAGAATCTACTCTGAAGAAACCCCCCCCCCACTGTTTTCAGGCAGAGCTTTGGGACACAATAGGGACTTGCAGGGTTGAGAAGAAGGAATAGTCAGCTCACGGAGACTTCTGCTCATTTGCTTTAGGATTCAGCTCGATGTTTCAACAATAAAAAATTGAAAGTAAATAATCAACTAAAGAAACAAGACATGGGTTTTGTAACATTCATACAATGCAGGTTCTTTTTCTCTCCTTTTGACAGTTTGTTATTTTATGCTTTAGTGCTTCTTTCTTTATTTTTCTATATTTCTTTGGTTTATTGTTAAACATGAGACATGGAAACAACAATAAGAATGCGTGAAAAACTCATGTTTCCCGATCTAATTATATCAAATGGGAAAAAGAAAGGTCTCATAGCGAGTTGCATGTTCTGTACATTCAGTGGAAAAATGCATGCCACAAATCAACACACTGAAAATTCATTGAAGAAAAAGCTAAAATAAAAAAATGGCTGATTTAACTATGTGAATTAATTAATTTAGTCTTACTTGTTCTTAAACCTCTGCTTCCATTAAAATACCTTAAAATAAGAATCTGAATTAAAATTATTGTTGATAGCATATGGGTACATAAAAGAAGTTGAGCTAGATTGGCAATTAGCAATTAATATGCTAATTGCCTAATAAAGTCAGTCTGTACATTATAATATTTTTTACTTAAAGGATTTAGTTTCTGATATAAGATAGATGTTTAATCAAATTAATGAAATGTTTTATTCTTTTGAATGTGGGATGTCATGATAAAACTGACTTCTTTCATGACAGCAATATGTTAGAGTGTGCAGTCTGTTATGGGCATAAGAATAATTACAATTTATATTTGCAAGGAATTCTGAAAATGAATTGCTTTACCTACATAGATCTTTTCTGTTCAAATAAATATTAGCTTAGCTGCACGTACAACAATTTTGTACAAGTTCTGAATTAATGGACTAGTGAGTAATTTGTAGGATCATTTTTAACAGAGTCATGCTATCTGGTTACAGATTATATCTAGAAATTATGGTTTATATTTGATACTGTAACTGTTATAAATTTATCCTGTTTTAGCATCTGTAGTCATGGCTCATTTAAATGCAATTTCCATCCATGCCCATCAATGTGTACTGCATATGGAGATCGCCATTATAGAACTTTTGATGGCCTGTCTTTTGATTATGTTGGAAACTGTAAGGTTTACCTGGTTAAGGTAAGACTTTATTTTAAAACATGTTCAGTTTTTAAATTACGTATTGTGCTCTGCAATTAAAAAGAAACCTAAACATCTGTAAACTGAATAGGAAAAGTGTTTAGCTTAATTACTTAAAATGAAATTAAGTTTGGTCTATTCCAAATTTTAATTATTATATTGGGAACTATTCATATATGGCTATATTGTATTGAATTCAGTTGTATTTGGTAATAATATGTATTAATAAATAAATAAAAAGTAATTAATAGATCAAAATACAGATGAAATAAGTGATTCTGAGGCTAAACCAAACCATGATATAAAATACCAAGCAGAAGCTGTCCAATCTTCAGAGGAAGAGAAAAGCCAAACAGCGGGTGACTTGAATCAAATGGGAGGAAAAACATAGAGTGTAAACATTTGAGCAGACATAGATATATAGCCATTGATTCAGCAAAGGAGCCTATCCTGGAACCAGTCTTTGGAAGTCCTGATTGCTTCCCCAATAGTTGCTGCTATCCTTTTTCTCATTGACTTCCTCCACGTTTATGAATATGTGGCTGGAAAACACAGCAAAGACATACCCCTATTCCTGATTCATTGCTACCATCTAATGGTCTTCTTGAGTTTCATAGCCTAGATAAAATAATAATAAGTATTATTTTCAAATGGCTGAGTTTAAAAAAAAACCCGAATATTTGGTGGGACTGGAAAGGTGAGAGGAGAGCCTTGCAGTGTTCGCATCTGGTGTTGCTTTTGTTGATAAGAAACAGCTATGTGACTCTTGTCTTTCATTGCACTCTCTCAACATTCTCTCAACACTCCCAATTGTTGCAGCTTTGGAAAGAACTCCTGCCACTCAAGCTCTTCTACTAATGTTGAGCTCCATCTGCAAGATTTTGCCTTGGGAGCCAGAAAGCTCTATGTCAGGAGTTCTCAAACTTGGCCACTTTAAGACTTGTGGACCAACTCCCAGAATTCCATGGCTGTCTGGGGAATTCTGGGAGTTGAAGTCCACAAGTCATAAAATAGCCAAGTTTGAGGACTCCTGCTCTATGTATTGCTTTGCTGCTATCTTGTGAGACTTATCAATATGAGGTCGTTGAATTTAAAATCGTACCTGAATATAAGTCCTGAATTAACAATCTTATTAATGGCTGATCAGTGACGTGGGGACATCTTTTTCTTTGCTGCATCTTGTAAAGCAGCTGTTCCTGCATTTATGCCACAGATGGTAGAAAAAGAAGAGAAACTGTTAGGCTGAACAGTTGGAGAGGTCTAAGGTGCATTTCATGTTTGCAAATTGGAATCAGCTGCCATATTATCTTTTTTTCCTGCAGAGTTCCTCAATTACTAGTTTCTCAGTCATCATAGAAAATGTTAACTGCTTTAACATTGGAATCATTTGCAGAAAGTATGTTTCCATTAACGTAGGAAAATCGTTCATAATATTTGATGATGACACTGGAGATCCGGTAAGCTATAGCAGAACAGAAGTTAAGATATGTAGATAATCAAACCCAAAACACTGTCATTCATTTTCATATTGCATGATAAATATTAGCAGTCCTTGAACTTCAAGAAACTCTTAAAATTAGTCATGCTTATTTATTTATGTTTTAGTCTCCCTTTTCTTTTCTAAGCATTATGGAGATACATTTTTTCATGCACGATACTTATAGTCCATCACACAGTACATATTTGCTTCTTTTGTTTTCCATTACCATGTTATACCAGCATCTGGCATTATCTAGTATAGCGGTCTCCAAACTTTCTGGCTTGGTGGAGGCAAGATAGGGGGAGAGAAGGGATGGTTGTCTGCGTGTGCTGCTTTCACAAATTCAGTTTTGCATATGCATGTGCTCACCCACCACTTCTGCGGCCCAGTTCCAAACGGGCTGTGGTCTGCCAGTGGGCCACAGACTGGGGATTGGGGACCCCTGATCTAGTGGAAGAGTTCTGAAAGCAGCTAGAAAATAATAAATAGCTTACAGAGGAAGACAAAGTGTAATCCTCATTTTAAATCTACATCCAGAAACATTTTCTTAAGAAATCCAGTGTCTCTTGGGTCATATCAAATATTTCTAAAAGTAGATCCACATAAAAAAATAATATGATAATTCTAGACAGAACTATTATAGCGTTGGTTTCCTAAATGCATGTTTATAAGACATTGTAAAGCTTTCATTAAATGCCTATAATTTATTATGCATGTCTGATATTTAATAGAGTCATCTGAGTTACATAGACAAACTGCAGCAAGTATATATATGGAAGGCTGGGTTTTTCACCATTGTGCATTTTCCTAATGAACACATCACAGTAATGTGGGATCAAAGAACAACTGTTCATGTGGAGACAGGGCCTCAGTGGCAGGTAAGACAAAACTTTTCTTACACTTTTAATTTCTTATTGACTTCATTGGGAGAGCTTTAAGTTTCCACTTATATCATCCACTGGAATAAATTAAATTTCAAAGAATGTGAAAATTGGTTTGTGTTTGTTGGTCATTGAGGGGCATATGGATTCTAGTGGCCTAATGTGCCTGCTATTTTCCTGGTGTAATCCATCATATGGAATGAGTAAAAAGGGAAAGTAGCTCAGGAGTAGCAGTGCTGTGGTAAGAACTGATGATCTGTTCTGGCTGCTAGCCAAGGCTATTTTAGTGAGATATTGGGATAGCAGTATCAGTGGTCCAACTGATACGAAGGTGTGGGATATTAAAGCCATGGGAGGGCATCATCTCCTTAATTGCTGGGGGGGGGGACATAACCTCAACATTGGAAAGAGAGAAAAAAGGAGAAAAGAGGGAAATTCTATGCATGGCCTGGTTAGAATGATGTGAGAGAAAGGTTGGAGAGTCAAGTTAAGTGTATAGTTCCTGGTTGAGAAAGGAAAAGAAAGGTTTAGGGTGGCTTTCATGGAAGAAGGGAAGTGAAGACCCAGAGGGATAAGAGCTCCACCCAAGAATAGAAAGGAGGGACTTGGGCAACTGTAGGTATCGGCTTCAGTTAAGACTAAGAGAGAAAGGAAGGGATCAGCATTGCAGAAGTCCTGATTTCTGAGGAAGGATTGGGCAGAAGACCCTAGAGAGTCTTCTCCCTCCAACAGAGAAGCAACAGGTGTTTGCCTGAGCAGGATAAGGTCATGCCATGCTGAGCACACTGCAGTAAATTCTGGCCTATTCTTTTCATTCTTTTTCTTGTCATGCTCAGAAACGGAGGTTGGCTAGTCTCTGGGAGAGGGACTTAGGAGGAAACTTGACACCAGTATTGTTTGCATTGTGTTGCATATAAATGTTGTAAATGCTTGCTGTAAATAATATCACTGTAAATAATAACAAGCATTAAAGCTTTCACACTCTTCTTTTTCTGTATCTGTTGCCACCATTGGAAAACAAAGTACCTCCAGTTCAAAAAAGAACCTGTTTCTCACGCTCTGAAAGTCTTTCATTGGCTTAAACAACAGTAATAAGGGGGGGTAGGGGTGGGGGATGGCCCACAGGGCAGGGGGAGAAGCTTAGATTTACACTAATAGCATTTTTTAGTGATCAGCTTTGGCAATAAAAAAATAAGATTGAAGGGGGATGGTAATGTCACTGATGTCACTGGAAGAATGGGAATATTTTTTCAGCACCTTTTTCAGGTTGAGGATTTAATTTATCTAAAGCGAATGTGTCTATTAAATCTATTGGAGAATTAACATATCTATTTTACTATTTGGTTTTTTTTTAGCTGGCATTCAATTCAGTGATTTGCCATGAAATTTTGGTAGCATAAGCTTAGGGTGAAAAGGGGCTGACTGGGGAGGCTGCATGCAGATTGTGAATCTATTGGTTGTGCAATAGAATTTGGGTTGTGTGCCAATTGCACCGATTCTTCAACTGGGAAACTACTTCCTGTCACTCATGTCCTTGTGACCTCCTATCTGGAATACTGCATTATGCTGTACATGGGGCTGCCCTTGAAGAGCATTCGAAAGCTTCAGTTGGTACAGAATGCAATTGTATGGGCAGTAAATGGTGCTGGGTACTCGACATATGTAATACCACTGCTTTGTGAGTTGCATTGGTTACCAGTCTGTTTCAAAGTACTGGCTGAACTTCATAGCTTGGGACCAGGTTACCCAGTTCAATAGGATGGTCAAACTCTGAGTCCTGTCAGCCAAGAAATGTTGCATAATAGGGACTAGGAGGCATGTCCTTTCTGCAGCAACATCCTCCCTCCAGAAGTTAGGATGGCCCTGATCCTGCTGGCCTTTCATAAGGTCTTGAAGACCTGGCTGTGTGGCTGGGCCTGGGGTCCTATTTGTGTTAAGGGTGTTGTTTCCTGCTTATGTTAAGATCTATGGATAATATTTTCAGCTGCTGTATGTATTTATTTTCTATTATGTTTTAATTGATTTTATGATTGTTTGCCACCCAGAGTCATGTGTTTGACATGGCTGGCCATATAAATTGAATAAATCAATAATACTCCTGCCTATTTTCCCCACAACAACCATCCTTGACCTGAGAGACTTACTGGCCCAAAGTCTCCCAGCCAGCTGTCAAGCCAAATAGAAGGCTAGATTCCATGTTATTAGTGCGAAAAATAATTATATCAGATTTAGAGTTATAAGTATCTGTAATTAAGAGTTATTAATTTTATCTCGTGTCTAGGGTGAGCTGACTGGATTATGTGGAAATTTTGACTCCAAAACAATAAATGAAATGAGAACTCCAGAAAATTTTGAGTTAACAAATGCACAAGAATTTGGGAGCAGTTGGGCAGCTATTGAGGTAAAGTGTTGTTCTTTATTGCATAAAATTAAACACCAACAGTATTTATTGATTTATAGTAGGGTATAGGAGCCGAATTTCTATCAATACAAATACTTGGATGGAATGGAAAAAGAAAGAAAATGAATTCTCTGTTGTTGTTGCTTAGGAACTTTTGAAGTAAGAAGCCATTACCTGTGAACCCTGTTTTCCATATGCTATAACATCCTGATTTTTCAAAGATTCTGTACATTGCAGAGTCTTTGCAAACTACACAGTCAAAGAAGTCACTTGGCAGCAGAAATTATTCTTCCATTGATAAGGAGGGTGAAAACAAGAGACAAAATGAACATTTGCACATTTATTCACAGATGGAATAACCATGCATGTTGCTGGTGTAAACATTGCTAAATTTGGGATTAATGACTATTCTTCTGAAAGTAAATTAGTGCTCTTTATACTGTTGCAAAATTTGTAATTTTTTTCATTTAAATCTTAATATAATCATGGGGTTTTGAGACATGAGACATTTTCAGAAGGCTAATCATGCTTAAGATATATTTTTAGCTAGGTTTCTTTTTCTCACATCATTCCTTTAATTTGTTTGGCATACTATTTTTCCTCTGTTTCAGTGTTTTGTATAATATTGCTTCCCAGAAAGGGAATTACATGCTGGTTATACATGTAAATTAGCTTTTCAAATCGCCAACATTCTTTTGCTAGCATGTATTATAGATTTTTGGCACTACCTGTAAAGGAATTTTTGTGTATGAGATCACACCACTTTTTTTTCTCATGCTTTTCATGATAATCTTAAGAAATAGAATTATACCAAAAAAAATCACATTTCCACAGAAAATTAAAATATGACACAATTTTCATGATCCCACACATCAACTTTTCCCCGACATGTTGCTTTAACAAAAGCAAAAGATATGGCAATATACCAATATGCATCATGTTTGGTGGTTGTTAGGGATATAATATTTCCATGCTGCAAGTAGTCAAAGTATCTGCTTTTACTCAACTCAAACTGTTTTTCTGAGATGCAGTATCAGATTCAATAGGCAGTTATGTAGGAGTCTGTATCTTCCTCCTAAGAAGTGTACCTTACACATAGTCTATCTCAGAGAATACCAATTGATGGTCCTTCTTCTTTTATTCTTTTGTTTTTGGATTCAGTGTGCTGACAGCTCTGATATTCGGCATCCCTGCATTTTAAACCCACTCAGAGAAGCATTTGCAAAGAAAGAATGTGGAATTCTATTAAGTGAAATATTTGAGTCATGCCATCCAGTGGTGAGTAACAATACAGAAAAAAAAAGTTAAGGGTGTAGCATTTAAAAGCAAGATGTATCCAGGTGGTCCAGAAGTTGGTCCTGGAACACTGCTCTTTGAAACCCAAAACATTAATAGTTGGTGTCCCACAGGGTTTCATCTTGTTCTTCATGCTGTTCAACCATATGAAACTGCTGTGGGGAGGGCATCTGGAGATTGTAAGGGGAACATGAGCTGGAGCTCCGTTTCTCCTAACCATCCAATTCCAAAAAAGCAAATTATGTAACTTCTTTCAATAACAGGCTGGAGGATGGAGAGCAAGAGGAGATTAAACGCAGACAAGGTGGAGTTTCTGGTGAAAATGAGAAATTCTACGTAATGTTGAAAATGTAGCCTATTTCTGTTGGGGTTGCACTCCTCGGGAAGAGCAAATGGCATTCTTGAAGTGAATGTTTCTTGATTTTTCACTGTCCCTGGACTCACAAATAACTGGGGTATGGCAGCTACATTATTGAGCAGGCTGGATTTGCTGCCTTGGCTGCATCCTGTTTTGATTATTGCAATGCACGCTACATGTGCCTACTTTAAACAAATATCCAAGCATTACAAATATAAAATGTATATTACATCTAATTGATGTAATATACAAGGATCATGTTTAACCCCTAAACTGAAAGAAGTGCACAGGTTGCCAGTTTTACTGGATGACAATTTAAGATGCTAGCTCACGGGTCGGCAACCCGTGGCTCCGGAGCCGCATGCGGCTCTTTCACCAGTCTCTTGCGGCTCTCTATCCTCAGCCACCATGTTCAGTCTGAAAAAAAAGTGGGACTAAAAAAGTTCAACCAATCAATTCAAACTTCTCATGAAGTTTGAATTGATTGGTTGAACTTCTTTGAACTCTTTCCTTCTTTGGACTGCACGTGGTGGGAGTGGAGGAAGAGCCAGGAGGATTGCTGGAAAGGTATCCCTCCTCGTCCTCCTGAGGCAGAACCTGGGTAAGGAGCCGTGGGTGCCCAGTCTCGGGGTGCCTCTTCCCTGCCCAGCGGGTCTCCACTTGCCCTGTTCCGCCGCCGCCTCTGTTAGTCTGGGGGGTCACCGGGGGTCTCTGTAGCTCCCCCTCTCCACCTGCGCCTTTCCACCATCTCGTGGGTAGCGGATCTCCATGGCCTCTTTCAAGAGATTCCCCCATGGCACCTGCCCAGCCCTTTTCCCACCTGCTCCACGACGCCTCTTGGCCGTCCTCCACCTCTGCCCGTCATGCTGAGCGAGCTGTGCCCCTTCACCGTCCTGCTGTCACTGCCGATGCCGCCGCTGCTGGTTTCACTGAGCAAGGCTGGAGAGGCGGCAGCGACCAGGCAGCCGGGTCCTTTTGTTGTCTTCCAGCTGCCACCACTGCCACCGGTCGCGCTGAGCAAGGCCGGAGAAGCGGCAGCGACCGGGCAGCAGCAGACAAAAGAGAGAAAGAGAGAGGAAAGAGAGGGAGAGAAAGGGAGAGAAAGAGGGAGAGGAAAGAGAGAGAAGGAGAGAAAGAGAAAGAGAGAGGGGAGAGGAAAGAGAGAGAGGAAAGAGAATGAGAGAGAAGAAAGAGAGAGGGAGAGGAAGAGAAAGGAGAAAAAGAGAAGAAAGAGAAAAAGAAAGAGGAAAGAGAGAGAGAGGAAAGAGGGCGAGAGGGGAAAGAGAGAGAGGAAAGAAAAAGAGGGAGAGTGTGGGAGAGAAAGAGAGAGAGAAAGAAAAGAGAGAAAAGAAAGAGAGAGGAGAGAGAAAGGAAAATGAGAGAGGAGAGATAGAGGAAAGAGAGAGGAAGGGAGAGAAAGAAAGGGAGAGGAAAGAGAGAAAGAAAGAGAAAGAGAGATGCGGAAGAGGAAAGAGAAAGGGAGAGGAAATAGAGTGAGAAAGAAAGGAAAGAGAGAGAAAAGAAAGAAGGAGAGAGAGAAGGAGAGGAAGAGGAAAGAGAAAAAGAGGAAAGAACAAGAATGAGAGGAAAGAGAGAGAGGAAAGAGAAAGAGGGAAAGAAAGAGGGAGAGAATGAGAGAAAATAGAGAGAGAGTAAAAAGAGAAAGAGAAAGGGAGAGGGGGAGAGGAAAGAGTGACAGAGAGGAAAGAGAAAAGGAAAGAGACAGGAAAGAGCGAGAAGGAGAGGAAGAGGAAAGAGAAAGAGGAAAGAGAGAAAGCGAGAGAAAAGAGGGAGAGAGAGAGAAAGAGAGGGGGAGATGAAAGAGAAAGGGAGAGGAAAGAGTGAGAGAGAGGAAAGAGGGAAAGGAAGAGGAAAGAGAAAAAGAGAGGAAATATACATATACATATACATAATAAAGGTAAAAAAGGATATGTTATCTTCATTTTTAGATATTAAAAGGGTTTTGTGGCTCCCAGTGTTTTGTTTTCGTTGGAAATGTGTCCAAGTGGCTCTTTGAGTGTTTTGGGTTGCCTATCCCTGTGCTAGCCTTAGTCTTTAGAGAGTTTTGTGTAGTAGTTAAAATATCAGACTAGAAACTGGGAGATTGTGAGTTCTAGTCCTACCTTAGGAACAAAGCCAGTAGGGTGACCTTGGGTCTGTCATACCTTCTGGCTCTGGAAAACAGGCAAGGGCAAATTACTTCTGAAAAAATTTGCCAAGAAAACTGTAGGGACTTGTCCAGGCAGTCTCTGAGAAGTGGACACAATTGAATGGAAGATAAAAAAATTTGATATTTAAAGCCCTAAATGTCTTAGGATTTGATCTTCCAAGAGATTGCCTTTTTCCACGTTTGTCCAGCTGTTAATTCAAAAGCTGTCTATTTTGAACTGTGAAAAACTTGCCTTTCTTGCCTGCTTAAGTATAATGACATTATTCAAGTTTTATTCCTTTCATTTATTTAATGGCATTTCTATCTGTCTTGCTTCTGGTAAAACCAGTCTATGAAAAGAAAAAAAATGTGAATGACTGACCTACCAGTTCTAACTTCTAGCAAATGTAGTGTATCAATAAAGGCCTGAGCAGAGTTCCAGATTTGAAAAGCAAATCTGATGCAAATCTGAAAAATACTTCAAATGAAAAATGTCTTTTCTCTTGGACTGCCATCAGCTGCAAAAGCAGCCATGCAAGCCCAGGAAAAGACAATTATTTTAAAGTGTTCTGCCAAGATGCAAGAGCCTGCCCACAAATACAACATGTCATATTTTTCTTTTGAATCCACGTTTTTGTATAATCCTCTATAATAGGAGGTCAGTTATCTTTATACGGGCATATGTTCTTGTCAATACAGAAGTTATTTTTTTTCTCAGTAATAATTTATCTCATTTCACTAGTTAAATAATATAAATGTCAGAAAATTTACGTATGCATAGGATGTAAACTATAAATTTAAATGTTCATTTAATTAAATTTCACCAAAGAAAATCTGCTTTTGGATACCAGGAAACTCTAAAAAAGGGGGAGAGGAGTAGATAAATGAGAAGGTTTTAGTAGTAAATGGTTACTACTAAAACCTTCTCATTTATCTACTCCTCTCCCCCTTTTTGAGAGTTTCCTGGTATCTAAAAGCAGATTTTCTTTGGTGAAAGTGACTGTAAAGAGAAGGAGAAACTGGCTAAGGGCATCTTCTTCCCTTAGTTGGAGCATCTGTGGATTGGAATTCAGAGAATGTTCCCACCAGCAGGAGAAAATTTAGGATTGGACTGTAATGTCAAATGCAGATAAGTAATAAATATTACATGACATGTTTCATAGACATGTCCCTAAAATTTACTTCAGATGCTTGCTCTTTATGTATAAGTCAGTATTTAAGTAGGGAATGATTTATTACAGTAATGTTTACATTTTTCAGGTTGATGTCACTTGGTTTTATTCAAACTGTTTGATTGACACATGTGGTTGTAACCAGGGAGGGGATTGTGAATGTTTCTGTACAAGTGTTTCAGCCTATGCTCATCAGTGCTGTCAACAAGGAGTTACAGTAGACTGGAGATCTCCTAGACTATGTCGTAAGTATGATAATCAGAATACATTTACAAACCTTGCAAACCTATACTATCGGTTTGATTTTGCTTTTTCATCCATATTCAGCTGGATTTTAATTGTATAATTTTCCTTTCTTGCATCCTTTCTTGCATTCAAGAATTGGCTAAAACTCCTGCAGTTTTATGAATCAGGCATATTAAATATAATACAAAAGGATCAGTCATTGTAGTTCATCCATCCATCCATCCATCCATCCATCCATCCATTCCAAACTACTGATAAGTCACTGATATGTCTCAGTGACTTTTATCTTTCAGTTAATTATGCTATCAGTGATATCCTATCCCAGTGGTGGTGAACTTATGGCATGGGTGCCAGAGGCGGCACTCAGAGCCCTCTCTGTGGGCACGCGCGCTGTCACCCCAGTCCTAGGCCTTCAGCTGGGTTTTATAAAACCTTTTCACTTTAGATCTCCGCCGCCATGGGCAAAAAAAAAGGTTTAATCAAATTCAACTTCTCGCGGAAAAAAAATCTTGCAAAGTTGGAATTGATTGAACTTTTTAGTCCCACCCAGTCTGCCGTTACCACTGCAGCCACACCCACCCAATGGCCACACCCACTCAATGGGACACACCCACTCGACACCTGACGATGCATAAGTGCGTTTTGTGTTGCAGTTTGGGCATTCGGTCTCTAAAAGGTTCGCCGTCACTGTCCTATCCTATTATTAGAACTGTTAACAGGTGGCCAAGTTTTTTATATACTGTAGAAGCTTCATTATCACACTTGCTGTAGGCTCATATAGAAATACAAATTCAAAATTGCAACCGCAGACTGCAGACAATTTGCCCATTTCTGATTTATATCTGGAATTCTGTTTTTAGTATCAAATATAAGTGAGATGAGGAAAGTAGGGAAATATGTGTAAAGATTTTTTTATGTCAGGTTAAACTGTAGACTTAGGAATAATTTGAATAATATCTTGCAACAAACTTTAGTCTGAGAGCACAGCTCTTTTTTCTCATTCTTACAACTTATTTTTTCTCATTCTTACTTGACTGATGGGTTAAAATGATATCCTGCACTTAAGTATTTGGAGAATGTCTGTGGTTGCTATTTTAAATTTGGATTATTATTCTGATACAAATGTGATTTGTGTTCATAGACAACTGTTATATTGTTCATTATAGGAAGGACAACTAAACTTATTATTATACCACTAGAGGTCATAAAAGGATAAGTATTTTCCTATTACAGTCAGAAAAAAAAGTTTAATTCATTTCTGGTAGCTTTAATTTGTCTTCTCAGTGGAGATGAAAGCAAAATGACTTGTGTATGCATACATACATTCTAATTGTTTGCTTTTGTTTTTTATAGCATATGATTGTGAATATATCAATAAAGGTAAGCAATAATGTGAGAACTAAGTATTTTTCCTTATGCCCCCTTCCATGTTAGTAATATTTTGTGCAATGCATTGGAATATGTGTGTAACTGTGTCATTATAGTGTTGAAATACAGTAAATAATCTAACAATTTGTCAGGCAGGCTGATCCACAGAATTATTCTTTGCATCTCAGACCTAGTTGTTACATTCCTATAGACTTGATCAGTTAGCTTTTATTTTGAGAAGTGTAGAAAATCAGGTAGAAAATCAAGGAGAATATGAAAAGAAAAAGTTGAAGACAGTAAGCATACTGTATCTCAGTAGAAATAATCTATAGCAGTTTTTCTTCTCCTTAGCAATTTTATGCTCTGAATATTTTATGTTTAGCTTAACTGTTCATATTTAAAAATCATTCATTCGTTTTCCATTAGGAAAAAAGGGGTTTGTTTTTTTATTTAGCCCAATGCTTAAGTACTGATATATAATGTTTCAACTATTTTCTGATTTGATTATTTGGGTAATATGCTATATTATTTTTTTAAAGTATCACTATATATTGCAACATACATCTTTGGTTTTGCCATGTAGATTTTTAGTCTATTAATAGCACATAGTGCCTTGGAATCTATCAATTTACTTCCTAAGCAGTTACAAACATTTCATAATATCACAGAAGCTCAGTCAATATTTAGAAGGTCCTAATTTCAAAAATATGAGTCCAGATATTTGCCAGATTGAACCCTCTGGGCTTTTGTGATAGTTGAGAGTGCCCCACATGTTTTTTTTTAAATACTTTTTCCATATTGCTGTTACATTCTTAAAAATAATCTGCATGCCCAGCCTATGTGCCATAAGATGTACAATGGGGAAGTATGAAAACAGGGAAGCAATTAGTGTTATAGCATTTTCATAATTAGAGCCAAATAATCTCTTTACCACATCTTAATTAACAATAGCTCTCACAAAATGCTGCTTGGGGTATATGTCCCAAGCAACTGAATTTTGATCATGTGACCATGAGGCTGCTGCAATGGCTATAAATGAAAAACGGTCATAAGTCACTTTTTTCAGCGCCATTGTAATTTTGAATGGTCACTAAACAAACTGTTGTAAGTCAAGAACTACCTGTACAGATTTACTGCTTACTACTCCCAATATTTGGAATATGTATTTAGTGTAGATAGATAGTTCTTTTTTTGCCTGATTTTGGTTAAGTAGGCTGACTTTTGTTTTCTTCATTCCTTCTTTACTTAATTTTACCCTTTTCACCCACTTTAATAAATGTGTAATGTAATTATCTTTCAATCTGAAAGATGAAAATAAGGTTCAGGCAGGTCATTTATGAAATCAAGTTTGCAAGAATTCTGTAGTTTTAAATCAGTGTTTCTCTAAGAACCGTAGTGCTTATTAATGGGAATGTTTGCTAATGATTGTGTTTTCTTTTTGCTGCTGTAGGACTGACTAGTAAATTCATGATACAGACATTGAGACAAACTCATCAGAAAATGTATTTTTTTTTCTTTCCTGACAGTTCTGGGAAAAGGTCCCTACAAATTGGTTAGCTACTTGGATGGAAAAACTATAATTGCAGCAAAACTGCAGGATGGTTCTGTTTTCCCAGCAAAAGAAGAAGACTTAGCTTCGGAGGATGCTTTAACCTTCATGCTAACATCACCACTGTATAAGCCCAAAGCACATGGTAAATCTAGTAACTCTATAAAATAATTGCTTTAGAGCTATGGTACTCAACCTCAGCAACTTTAAGATCCATGGATTTTAATTCCCCAAATTTTTCAACTAGCATGCTGGTTGAGGAATTCTGGGAATTTAAAGTCCATACATCTTAAAGCTGTGGTGGTTGAAAAACACCACCAATACTTATATCAGAAGCAGTTTTTTTTTTTTAAAAAAAATTCAAGATACTAGTTCACAAATAAGAGGAGCACAATATAATGGTCATATTGTATTAATAAACATTCAGAAATATCTGACTGGTTAATATTGCTGGTAGAAATTGTGTTTGTTTGCTTTTGTTCAGAGCCAGCAAAACAATTTTTATATTCTCACAGCCAAATCACAAAAGTGATTTGCCCCACTTCTGAAGTTAAGAAAGTTTTATAGCTGAAGCGCTAAATTTTCCTAATCAGCTTCAGTGTTTTTTTTTTATATGATCATCTGCCAAGGTCTCTATTTAGAGAACAGATTTTTACAAGACAATTGCTGATTTATAAATAACATGACACTTCGTTTTCAGATTGACAACTTTGTAAACACAGTAGGCTTAAAATTCCTAATACAGGGCAGGTAGAGAAACCTAAGAGGAAATCTGGAAATTAACATCAGCTGGCTAGCTATGAAACTAATGAGATACAAACAGGTTAGCTGAAGATATAATATAATGGTTGGCAGCAAATTGAGATTATGGTTAAGTGAGAAGCTACAACTGTACAAAAATACCTTTTTAAAGATAATTGCCGTTAATTGTGTTCTTCACTAAAATATGGATTTTGCCAACTTCTTGGGATTACTTAGTTGGATGGATGTCTTGGCTGTGTACATGTATTTCCACATTTCTAAAATGTACATTTTATCCATTTTTGCCTCTCTGCCTTTTGAAATAAAAGTAAATGCAAGCATTAGAATCAGTGATACTGATTTACATCCTAAAGTTTAACATAACTCTTGTTATAGAAGAAATGCCCATTTATCTATAAAGTGGCAGGTTAGCTGCAAAACTAATGAAATACAAACAGGTCAACTGAGGATATAATATAGTGGATTGACAGCAAATTCGATTATGGTTAGTTAAGAAGGAAATAGAAAGGAAGCATATTGCTGAAAAATATCTGGGGGAAAAGGATATTACTAGAATAATGATAAAAGGTAGTCTATTTCACATCACCAGTTGAACAGTAAATGAATATTTTTATAAGTAACGTTTATTTCTAGATATGCTTTCTTATGCAATTTCTGGAAAATGTTTTGATTTTTGATAGAAAATCAGGAAAAAGAAATATCTCTCCCTGATATAGCATATATATATGGAAAGACTAGAGTGTTGCTATCAGAGTGGCCTAGTGACAGTGAAAGAGTTTAAGGCAGGCGTCTTCAAACTTGACCCTTTTATGACTTGTGGACTTCAACTCCCAGAATTCCTTAGCCTGCATGCTAAGGTTTAAGGTCTTGACACAAACCTTTTCAGCTACATTGTTTGAATTCAGTGTTTGTGAAGTTAATAATGGTTCCAAGAATTAGTTGTCAGTTCTGGAATATTTTTTCTTGAAAATCCACTTTTGGAATATAATCTGTTCCTTTTCAATTTTAACATTCTATTTCAACATTCTCTTCATAATTTTGATTCGGAAAATACAAAGCCCTTACATTCACCAATCTTTATTATGATTCAGCAAACAATGGCTGCCTATGCTACAATAAGCAAATTTTCAGCTTCAGTAGTTAAAGAAAGTATTAGCTGCTTCTCTCTTTCTTCATACACTAAATACATTTTATGTTGGAAAATTAAATACTATTCTAGGATAATGAATTATAACATTCCTTAAGGTCTGTTTAATGGATGAGGATCATTGATTTTATAGTAATCTTATGATAATGTTAAGCAGAATTATGCAGTGTACTGTGAAATAATATTTGGGACAAAATATGTTTAGTTGGATCAGAATTCCATCACCCTTTTAATAAGCATTACTTTAAATGCTATTTAATTACTTTTCATCTACTGGAAATCAGTATAATCAGTTTTAAAAAGCATTTTTACATTTTAGTTATTTGAATAATGCATTGGTTGAGAGAGGGAGATGAATGGAAAGTTTAGCATCTTAGAATGTGTAATTTTGTTAAATGTAATTTTGTTTCAAATTTCTTCATTCTGTGTTTTCAGAAATTTCAGAATTGAAAGAGTGGCAATATTATAAGTACACAGCTTTGGATTAAGTTGAGTTTGAAAGAATCTGGCTATACTTTAGCAAAATAACAATAAAAATAGCTTAAATAGTTTATTATTGCAGAAACAGACTAGAATAATTTCATAATAAAACAGGTACATCAAAATCAAAACATAATATAGCTAATAATACATCAAAATAACAATTATTTACAATTGTATTAATAACAACTGTATAAATGACATTATTTAGATAAGACATTACTGGCCTTTTCCCAATTGAAAAAGTTGTTCACGTTCCATCACAGACAGTATACAGAATATGGTTACATGACCTGAAATCACCTCCTGATCAACTAATAGGACATCTTTAGTCCTGCCAAAATATCATGTTGCATTGGGAAATATACCCCAAATACCTCTATGAAAGACTCAGTGCAATGATATAGTGCATCATTCTCAGTTTTGATCTCACCCTTCCATAGAGACAGAAGCAGCATTCTTTAGAATTGCTGCAAAAACTGCCCTCTAGATATTAGATTGGATGACAATCAACTTGCCAATGTAAAAGTTAATCTAGTATTCCGGGATGCAATCTTAAAGAAACAAATAATGGGATTGAGATCAAGCAAGGTGGCACCTAACTGAAATTATTCTGGAGGTCAGAATATCTGGCACGTTGTTTAAAGAATAATCTGACCTATTCAAAACCTATTGAGATCACTACATTAATTGAAAATCCCACAATACCTTAGGGTGCAACTAAGTAATTTCCACCAGGAATAGTGGAGTTTCTTTTACAGTTGAAAATTAATTTAAGTCAATAGCTAATACATGCTGTTTGCATTTGAGTTTTAACTGATATCATATTAGTTTCAGCTGAAAGGCTATTTGGATGCATCATGGACTCAGAAATAAGCCTCTTAGAAATCATGATTAAATAGCCTCAAATGGCCACTCTGACCTTAGAGACATATATTTGAAAATATGTCACAGGATAGCCAGGATAATCATTTGGCCTCAAATATTTTTAGTTCACCTGGTATATAATTACCACCTTTTCTATAGAACAACATTAAGCTGAGAACTACATTCCTTGCTACCTTGTCTTTTAATGATAGTATTTGGACCCTTTAAGTGGAAAACATTTCTGAGATATTTAAAGATCTTAACCTGCTTAATAACATTCCCATTAATTTGCTATTTATGTTGTTATATAGGGGGACTCTTTGAAAAGATTATTTTTTTTGTAATTGATAGGTAACAGCCAAGTCTGTGTGATTAATGGTTACAGTTGATTAATGCTCTCCTCAGTCCTATAGGTGAAATTGAGGTAATGGCTATATCATCTGCACATAAAAATAAAGCATCAGGTCTATCAATCAAGCTTAGCAGGGATGTTTCAGTTTTGTCACTTTTGCCACCACATCTAAAATTAAATAGCAAAGGAGCTAAATTACACCACAGCAGAATGCTGACCTTGGTTGTTCACCCAAATTTGGATGTAGATATCACCATGCAACATTTTAATAAGTGTCAGCAGCCACCTATTAATGGAATTATAATTGACATATAACCTAGGTATTAGAAGCTAATCACTAAAAACTATCCTTGGCCATTTCATCATATTTCTTCATTGTTTTTTTTTTTGCTTTTCAGACCCACACCTGGTTTCACTGGAAGCAGCTGACAGACCAAATTATTTTCTTTATTTAGCTTCTAATAATACCCTTGTTCTTTCCAAGTGGGAAAGAAATGAACGTTTTCAGAACAGATCAACATTTGCCATCCACAAAAACACATGGTTCTCAGGATATAGTTCTTTTGAATCATTTGCCATACCAGGATTATTCATCTACATTTCAGCTTCCTCTGTGACTGTTGTTAAATTTCATCATTCTCAGGCATTCAGACTCTCTACACTTTTTAAACTTGTAGGTAAGTAATTGAATATTGAACACACTGGCTGTATTTTCATATGGTTTTGCTATACTTTATATGAAACCCCTGCATTAAGAAAGTGAAAGCTATAAAAACTTTCATGGAGAGGAGGCCAGTATTATTTAGGTACTGAAGTGCTTATTCATTACAGGATTGATAACTGATGGCTGTCCAAAGGTTACTGAAGTTTTAACAACTGTAGTCAACTTGATTAGTAGTGATAAATGCTGGCACTTTTATTCAGCATATATGGAGGGCCAAAAGTCCGTTGCTTTTCTCTTAGAATCACAGATTCACTTGCATATAATCTATATGCAAGAAATATCTTTATGTGTGGATAAAGAAATTTCTGAAAACCTTTTTTTTCATCAACACTGATTTCAACATGGGGGGGGTGTCGGTCATTATAAAATTAACATCTAACATGACTAACATTTCTTAATTGATTTACTACATTATACTCAATTGTGATGTAAATAAATAGCAAGACAACAGAATAATACAATAAGTTTCATTTAATGTGAATTTTTCTACATGGCAAAATTAAATAGAATTATAAGGAGAGGAATGAATATACTGTACATGTCCCAGGATAATGTTGCAGGATCCAACAGTTACTGGAACCAGAGGTTTAGTCTTCTGAGCTTTTGGACTTAAGCTGGAGCCCATCCTCAGGGAACTTTTTTTCTACCAGTGTGTGTGCTTTGGGCTATTCTGCATGTGGTATTTATATGATGCCTGTTGTGTGTGGCTTTTTAGTTGTTGATTGGGGTGATGGCTGGCTCTTATGTTGTTGGCCGTGGTTTCCTTGCCCTGGCCTCCTAAGTACTTAATAAGCTGGTGTTAAATCAGCACTCCTGTTGATTGACGAGGGGCCTGTTTTCCAGGCTGTTTTTGTGCCTGCTCATCCAATAATCTTAGTAGCTGCAAAATTTAATGCATGTTCATTGCAGTGTGAGGCTACCAATGAGTTCAGGCCTCCTCGACTGACCGCTTGCTTGTATTCTGGCAAACTAGTGGTTAGCTTCCTCCCTATCTGTCCTATATAGTCACATGAGCAATCCTTGTAGGGGATCTGCTAGATTATATTGGAAGTATCTCCCACCTCCAAGTGACTTTTATAATGCATAATTTGTCCTTGTATGATAGCCTCTGAGCAGTGTGTGGCGCCTACTTGCAGATCGTGGAAGCTGTGTTCTATTGCTTCTGAAATGTTTTTGATACATGGCAAGGTGTGTCCTGTAATTGGTCTTGTGCTTTGTTTTTCCTTTCTCTCCCCATCATGTTGTGTAGACATCTTGTAACAAATGATTGTAGGTACCCATTCTGCCTACAGGGGGAGATTTTTGTGTCTGTGCAGAATGTTTGGCTGCAGCAAAATATTTAGGTCACTGAATGTGGTGGAATGTAGTTTGGAGTCATAGCAGGGATAGGCTCTTTCTCAAAGGGCAAAGACGGTGGAGCTTGGAATAACCTGGTAGGTAGGGTGAAGGGGAACGTCCCTCCCTAGCAATTCACAGAGTATATCTAATAGTTACACAGAGAGTTGTTTTAATCTGGCAAGATTCTGTTATAGGCAAACAATAAAGAACTGCTCAGAGTAATTCCATATCTTGCTCATGGTACTTTGGACCTGACATTGCACTTCATGCAAGATGGTATGGATCTTAACATGCAAACCCTCTACTGATCAAGTGTTAATTTTCTAAAAAGTATTTTTAGAAAAGTATTTAATGTAAATGCAAATGAAGAGAGCACTTTCCACTTTTCAAAAAAAAAAAAAAAAAAGTATAATTCCTGTTCCCCAGCATCCTTGTTCAGTTATTTTTTGAAGAGATTAAAAACTCTCCAGAGACTCCTGGGGAAGCTATAGGAGATGCAAGTGAGAGGAAACAAAAGGGAAGAGAAATCGTGCTGGTAAGTTAAATTTACAATGTTTCTCAACCTTGATAACTTTAAAATATGTGGACTTTAATTCCAAGAATTCACTATCTTTTAAAATTGCCAATGTTGAGAAATACTGAGAATTGAAGTAGTACTTTCTATTTGCTGATAGAAAATCAATCTCAGTCATTGCAGTTTATCAGTTCCCAAACCACTTTAGAAATTTGACTGAATTAATTCAAGGTAATTTGCAACTTTCAAGACCTCCAAGCATTCATTTTGAATGCCTCCCCATCTGCAAAAATTAGAGACAGATTAGTAATCATTCAGATAAGAGGAGGCAACGAACATTTTAAAAAATGTTTAAGACAAGTTATCTACCGTTTAGCCAAGCATACTTTGAATGAAGACATATACATATTAAATGCTACAGAGTCTCAAGAATTTCAGAGTTCTTCAACTGATCAAAATGATTTCTATCAAAATTCAATAGAGGCGATATATCCATAATATTTCTAAAGCTATTGAAGTTATAGTGTGTTTCCCTGAAAGTAAGACCTACCCCCAAAATAAGCCCTGGTTTTGGGGTGCGGAACATGCCTAAAAATCAAGCTAGGATGGGGGTGGGGGTGGAGCTGCCCCACATGCCCTGCACCCACTTACCATTGCAGCCAGGCCTCCCATGAATTGACACCTGCCTCTCTTCGCCGGCCCACTTCTTCTGCAGTGCCCCTGACCCTGCATTTTGCCATTCCGGAAGGCCTCTGTAGCCGAGAACTAAATTACAGATTGAATCCATAGCTCGATTATCAGCTGCAGAGGCCTTTCGAAAAAGCCTCTGACAGCAAAATGTGGACTGGAGCTCCATTCTCAGCTGCAGAGGCATTTCCTTTGGCCGCAGAAGAAGTGGGCCAGCTGGGTGGGGCTGTCTGTTTTGCCGCTGCAAGCTGAGTGGAAAAGACACTCCCCAAAAATAAGACCTGGTGCCTCTTTTGAAGGCAAAAAAAAAAAAAAAAAAAAGACCGGGTCTTATTTTTGGGGAAACATGGTATGTTCCCAAATTCCCAGAGAACATGCTCTTAATACTTTCTTCAAAAGCTTCCAATATGTGCTTTTTAATCAAACATAAATATGAAACAAAAAATGAGGTTTTATTTAGGTGAGTTGTATGGTCACAGGTGGAGTGACTTTTATAATAGAATGGATGAACTATATGCTTTGTTATCAAATCTATTGAATTAAAAGGTTAGTAGTAGTGCTACTGAGACCCTTACTGGTAAACTATTTCTGAAAAACTTTGGCAAGAAAACTGCAGTGACCTGTCCCAGCAGATTGAGAAGTGGACATAACTGAATGGATGAAAAAAGTAAATAAATAAAGATAAGAATTTTTATCAATTTGGGACATTATTTGGACCAAGCACAAATGTCATGCTTCTTTTATCTTTAAGAGGGAAAGGAGGAATTACAGACTTCTCCCCTTCTCTAGTGTTCATATGTAGAAAATGGTGTCTGTTTTTTTTAAAGGGAGAACCTTTTGCTTTCTAGTTGTGCCAAAGAATCCTATCCACGCCGGTGGAAAACTAAAACAATTTACCTCAACAAGTAAGGTCGTATCAGATAATGGCGAGGCATTTCATTAATCTCCACATCTGTGGATTTGGGTTTCAGAGTTTTATGAGCAAAGAAACCTTGGGCTTGAATCTTCAGTGTTCTTTCGGAAGGCTGGGCTAACTGATGCAGGTTAATTACATGATCTAAAAATATAGCTGCATTTGTTAATGGAAATGTTACACCAGTTGTAGAGTGCAGAGGGAAAGGCAGAGTAAATTTCCTGCTGATTATCATAAATTGCATATTAAATCAGAACCTTTCCAAGTGAGAACTGCTATTCCGGAACATAAATATTGTGAGTAGGATAATATATTGTTCAACTTCCTTCTCAAATAAACGTCTCCACAAATTTGTTCATGTATTCTGAAACTTATCAAAAAACTACCAAAGAACCTTTGATAGAGATAAACGTTTTCTGAAAGTTATGGGAAGATTCGGTTTTCATAAAAAAAAGAACAGATTAATAAAATAATCATGATGAATGTGTATATTTTCATACATATATGTCTATCATGATGAATCTTGTACATGTAGTTCACATGTAGTCATGATATATTTATCAGAATATTTTCAGTATAACTGTTAGCAGTAATAAGATAATGAGTTTGCTATAACTATTTAAATTACTATCTCCAGTTTGTAACATATATAACTGAATTTGTTATTATACAGTAGATTACGTTTCTCTCCCCATCTATTTATTTTGTGCATAAGTAATAAAAAAATAAAAATTCACTGAGGTAAGCTTCTGTATCAGGTTTCCTCAGATGTTCTGGATGAAAATTTATCATCTTCAACTATTGTATTAAGAATATTCTGTTGAAATTGTTTGGGCTGTTTATTGCAACTTGATAACTATTCTAAATGAAAAAACAAAACAAAAAGCACCTGGGTGAGAGTTTTGGAGAAGATCCTTTTTTGCATTTATTGAACTGCTGACTTAGAGTCTGTACTCCAATTTTGTTGCTTTATTATTTTGATAGTGATGTAGATATAGCACATCAGAAGAAATTAATTCTTTATATTTGTGTTATTAAAGTGTGGGAATCACTTTTGCAAGAGGTAGTGATGGAACATATTTAAAGAGGCATTACGTAGATTAATGGACTATAATACTGTCAATACTGGATAGTTATTATCACTACATGCTGTCTGCAATATAGTTATGATCAAATAATGTTTCCTATGGGGCATGAGCGAAAAAGTGCTATTGCATTCCTATATGTAAATACTTTCTCACAGAAAGCTGATTAGCTATATATAGTGTATGCAGAATGGTTGGGTCTGATCCATTCTAGTTCTTAACCCTTTTCATCTTCTTGATTTACACATGTTGAGAAATAGGATTCTTTCACAGGTACTTGAAATTCAGTTGGGATTGCTATAAACTATAAATAGATATTGTTGCTGCATTTGTAATACAAAAACATTCCTTCCAACTGAGACAAACATAAAGGAACTCCATATTGGCTCACCCAGAGATGTAACTCCTAAATAAAATGCAATATAAGGACATACATGGAGGTTTAGGGTTAGCTGAACCTGTAATAGAAAAACTGTGTGCATTGCCACCTACATTTCTTTCCACTTTGGGGGTGGAGGTGGCACTTGGGGGCTACGAATATGTTCCTGCCATATATTTCCAACATTTGTCTTTTCTCAAAACTGAATGATTCAGATATTCATACAGATAATTTTTTATTTGTAGATAGCAAATTTAAATTTTTATCCCGCTCAACCTGTGAATGGCGCTATGATGCTTGTTCAAGTCCTTGTTTCAAGACATGCAGAGATCCTTTTGCAAAACATTGTCAGACTGTTCCAAAGTAAGTATTTTTATAATTTAAATAATACCACTCTTTCTAAAAGGGAAATGATACATTGCCTATCAGTTTGGGAGCAAAATAAAGGCTCTGTGAAAAATATAACAGTTTCTACATACTTGAGGACTATGTTATTGTTAAGGCTGTGTAGCTCTTAAAACTTTCATAGATACCATAATATCCTCCTCTGTCTTTAGTATTATCTTAGACCAGACTACAGGTAGTCCTTGACTTATGGCCACAATTGAGCCCAAAATTTCTGTTGCTATGTGAAACATTTGTTAAATGAATTTTGCCCCATTTGATGACTTTTCATGCCACAGTTGTTAAGTGAATCACTGCAGTTGTTAACATAATAACACTTGTTAAGTGAATCTGGCTTCCCCACTGACTTTGCTTGTCAATAGGTTGCAAAAACTGATCACATGATCTCAGGACACTGCAACCATCATAAATGTGAGTCAGTTGCCAAGCATGTGATTTTGATCATGTGACCTTAGAGATGCTACCGTGGTTGTAAGTGTGGAAAACGGTCATAAGTCACTTTTTTCAGTGCTGTGGTAACCTTGATTAAGATAAGCATAATATACTGGTAATACAATGAACTGTTGTAAGTTGAGGACTACCTGTACAAACAAAAGAAAGGCAGAACCTCTGTGGAATGGGAACTTTGCAGAAGCTGTCATTTAAGTGTGCCAAGGGCAGAGCACTGAAATGAGCTTTAGAGAATTTGGCATGGAGATGTATAAACAGGGAACCTGCTGGAGTAGATTTTTGGAATTTTCTAAGAGTCAATAAATCATTTTAAAAGTCTTAAGTTCTGTCTCATCCCTTTGGTAACCTCCTTAGCTTTTTTCTGATCCTAGGGAGAATTATGCTCTGGTAAGAGCCTGTATGAATAATTTGCTTGTGATGCTCTTCCTTCATGTGGATTTAAAATGACCTGCTAAAAAATTGCTTCAGTTCTAGGTAACCTGCCATCTAATCTAGACACACATCTGGGGGGCTGAAATAAAGATCTGATTGCATTTTTTCAATAATACATACTATATTGAAAACAAGTTTTTATTATGTCCTATAGGGTAAATACTGTATACATTGGATTTTATACAAAATGTTTAGTAGCTGCTGGATTAAAGTTCCATTCATGCTTTTTGACAAAATTTTACTGTTGCTATAGTACTTTATTGAGCCACAGAGGAAGTACAGTTAGCATGAGCAGTTGTCCTAAAGTTTGGAAAACAAGCCCCAGATATTTAGAATATGCAAGTGGTTCTATGTCAGAGTTGAACCTAAATAGATAATAACTTGGCTTTTAATGCTTATACAGTTGTATTTGTTTAGTTTATCCACCTTATTTCTATGGCCTAGAAATAAGGACCTAGCAACCCCAGGAGAAAAAACAATGTTATACTCTGTCCGTTATAGAATGTATTTTAAGTTTCTGTTTTTCTTTCTGTAACATAAGGTAATACTAATAGCACTGTTGTAGCCAGGGAAGTTGAATCATGTCCATTTTTGTTTTTAAAATGTATATTTAATAAAATTTGTAAAAAAAAAACTATGTAGGACAAACAGGCAGAAGACTGGCAGAAGGCATTCATAAATACCAACTAGCAGTCAGAAGACATGATGAAAATTCTTTAATTTCACAACATATAGACAGATTTAGTTTCAGTTGGGAAAACGTGACAATCCTAGACTAGGCCAAGTCCAAAAATGCCAGGGCTTTTCTAGAAGCCTGGCACTCTGACAAATTAACCATCAATAGACACATGGACATTAACAACATCTATAGATTGTGCAGCCACCCCAAAAGAGAATCAAAAGAACCAAACACCTCTCCGCCAGCAATCAGCACCAGATCAGCATAGATCAGTGGTTCTCAACCTTTTTAATGCTGCAACCCCCAACCAGTCGTAAGTCGAGGACTACTCAACCGGTCGTAAGTCGAGGACTACTCAACTGGTGCAGCACCGTTTGCAGAATGGGACTTGTGGCGGGCTCAGCAGGGCAGAGACAGCCTGGACAATTCCTATTGGCTTTTGAAAGCCAATAGAATTAGACTCTATTCAAGAGAGTCTATTCTATTGGCTTTCAAAAGCCACTAGAATAAAAGGGAGTAGCACAGCTAAGAAAAGGGGAAAAAATGGCGGACTGCGTTGTTTGGCGACCCCCGTGAAATGATCATTCGACCCCAAATGGGGTCCTGACCCACAGGTTGAGAACCACTGGCATAGATTAACTCCAAGGTTTACTTCAGACCAACAATCAGGTAAACAATACCCCAATCAAGAAACTGGCACCAGAATATAAACTGACAACAAATACTCCTTACTAACACTGATGATGTTACCTAGTTTGGGTAATGAAACATCTGCAAAAAAACAAGCAAGTTCAGAGAGTATCAGGGACCCCTCATTTCAACCCTGAGCTACAACCCTGAGCTCCTTTATTGGTACATTATTCAGTACTTGTTTCAATGACACATTTTGCTGTATGAGAAGTTAATTATTATTAATCTTGTTTTAGAGTGGAAGGATGTGTTCCTATGTGTCCTTTGAATATGGTGCTGGATGAACTCACTCAAAGATGTGTTTATTTTGAAGACTGTACGTATCAAGTAATATTGATTCAAAATTATAATGTTTAAAAGCTGTTAATTCAGGCTTAAATTTAGGAAAGCAATCCAACTTAGTTATAAAGTTACGTCTTCCCAATATAACAAAATAACAGAGTTGGAAGGGACTTTGGAGGTCTTCTAATCCAACTCCTCGCTCAGTCAGGAAACCTTATACCATTTCACACAAATGGTTGTCCAATCTCTTAAAAATTTCCAGTGTTGGAACAATATCTTGTGCAAAGGTTCAACATCTTGACAAAATGAAGATCCCTTGATTGTTGCAGTTTCCCTACTATATTAACTGAACAGGTCTATGAATTCCATTGTAGCATCTGGAGCAGTGGTTCTCAACCTGTGGGTCGGGACCCCATTTGGGGTCAAACGACCATTTCACGGGGGTCGCCAAACAAGGCTGTCCACCATTTTTCCCCTTTTCTTTGGCCACGCCCCTGGCACCTGGTGATGTATAAGTGGTTGGGGGTCACCACAACATGGGGAACTGTATTATGGGGTCGCGGCATTAGAAAGGTTGAGAACCACTGATCTGGAGGAATATAGACAAGGTGTTTTCTTAAAAATATATACACTGTTCTTTTAAGAAAGTATACTCAAGTAGGTTAAGGTAATATCTTCAAGTCACTTTCATGTCCAAGGACCTTAAGTCTAAGTCCTTATTCTGTGAGAAAGCTAATTACCTGAGGTTTCTTCCCACAAAAAGAATTTTAGAATAGATACATATGGAACAGCTACATTTGGATTTACAACTGCTAAGGAAAAAGAGGTTTTGACTATCAGACACTGAAAAGATATGAAATTATAAATGTGCCCAGTAATGGATTAATTAAATTATATTTTTGAAGTCAAAACATGTTTTGAAATGTTAAAATTTAATCTTTTAAAAATTTCTTTCCAAATAGACATATTAGAAATTAATAACAGTATATTAAAACTGTGCTATTCCACACACTTTTAATTCTGCCAAATTTAATTTTGTGCAGTATTGCACTAAATATGTCTCATGTACAAGTCACCTGTTTTTATCTTGTTTTTAGGCATTGAACCAACAACTGAAGTTCAAATTCTACAATCTACTTTAAAGACACATACAGTGTTGGGGGCTCTTCAATCTTCCGCAGCAGTTCTGAGTAAAGAAATAGCTTTTTCTGTGACCCCAGCATCAAAACTTAGAGAAACAACACCTGCATCCAAGCAGCAATTCAGTTCAACCATTGAAAAAGCTAAACTTTCAACATTTTCATTGCCAAATATTACTTTAGCTACATCAGCTCTTTCAGTTCAATCAACTTTCGATACAAGTGCATTGCCAGGATTTTCACACCTGCTAACTGATGTTAGCCCCATATCTGTAGTTCCTCCTTCAGCAACTGATGTAGTTATTGACACTTTGCAGACAAGCAGTATGACAAGCTTTTCAATCCCCTCAATATCTACAATTACTGAAGCAGAAATTAAATTAACAGCTACTCCAACTTCCATTGTGACTCCATCAATTATTACAGAAGACAAATCATTAGACACATCTAGATTAGTTTCACAAATAAAAGCAATAAGTGCTCAGAGTTCCCCTACAGAGGACATAGAAAGAAAGCTTCAGAACATTACAGAAAGCCAAACTTCATCTATAATAGCAAAAAGACCAGAGCATACAAGTCAATTTTTTACCAAATCAACATTGACATCTTTGGAAATATCTTCCCCTTTGCCAACATCAAGGCAAACAACTCCAAGCAGCATTAAGTCAGGAGTAACCCAGTCAACTCCAACAATCACCAATGTTACTGAAACTTCATTTGCTCCTTTATTTACTACTTTAGTAGCTGAAAAACCAGTTCTAAAGCCAGGTTCTTCAGAAACATCAAAGACAACAGTTGCTTTAATCAAAGAACAGCCTAAAAGTACTATTATTCCAATAACTCTAGTACCAACACAGCTTCCCCACATGTTCCTGACATATCCAAGTGTTTTAGTTTCTACTACTAAGAAGGAAGTGCCACAAACATCAAATGTTACATATCAAACAAGTTCATATTTTTCTTTGTATACTCCTTTATTCTCAAAACCTCAGTTTTTTACTTCTAAACTTCCCAGAAAAACTGATTTATCTTCTACTACAATAGTTTCCAAAAAATATTTACAAACAGAGCAGCCACTGTTTATAGTGCCAAACATTACAGAGCCTGCAACTGCTTCATCTGATAGAGTTACACCTTTGTCTACAATAGTAACCTCTAAAACCTCAACTTCATTTGAATCATCAATTCCAATCTCCCAGAAAATATCTACAGAACACAAAATACCTTTGCTCCTGAAAACTACAAAGACAAGTGTTCCAGATTCTGGTGGTGTAACAAAATCAAAAACAGAATCTGCATTTATAACAGAAGTCATAGCCACAGTTGTCCCGGGTCCATTGGTCGCTAAAAAGGTAGAATCAGTTGGAACAACTGAATATCCATTTATTCAGCATGCTGTTACTGATATAGAAAAAGCAACAGAATATCTTAGTAAAAAAGAATTGGAAAAAACTACCAGGTTATACACAAGAAAACCATCTATTTCTCATCTTCCAATGTCTCTTTCTACAATTATAATGTCAAAGATAGACACTGCCCTTGTTCCTTCATCACCTGAAATTCAGGTTCCTGTGGCTGCAGCTATTCATCCAGTTACTTCAAAGACCACCTACAGGACAGTACCACCAAGCACAATAGTTTTAAGTTCAACTCCAGAATTGACAGTAAAAGAATCTAGGGTTACTTTATCTCCATATACTAAACTTAGCAGCAGGTCACCAACTGAAGTAGCATCCATCAAAGATATATCGACCTTGTTTTCTTCAGCTACTCTTTCTGTAACAACATTTCCTCCTATAATCTCTCTAGTGAACAAAACATCTTTGTTTACTTCAACACAACAGATAACTATAGTACCAACCACTGCAACACCATCAGTTGAGCCAACAAAGTCATTTGTAACTTCCAAGTTTGCCACCTCCTCTGTTTATACTTCTGCAGCAGAAAGCATTTCTACCCAAGTAAAAGACAAATCTGTTCTTCCATATTTGATAACACAAACACCAGGGAAGCATGATTCTTTGCTGGCCTCTAAAGCTTATTTAACCACAAAAGGAACTTCTATAACATATCAGTTTCCAGTTGAACAAACTGGTATTTATTCCCAAAGTACTTTAAGTACAACAGAGTCAGTCAAAATAGCAGTGCCTTCTGTCTTCCAAAGCACTTCACATCCATTTGTTACCCCTTCAGTTGCTTCACATACTTCTTCATTTTCACCCAAAATCCCACTTGTAAGTGATAAAGAAACTACCCAGCAAATAATAGAGTCCTTTTCCACTGAAAAGTTAAGGACTCATTTACCCACCACAAAGCAAGCATTAAGTCCTTCTCAGTTATCTGCAGAATCCACCACTTTGTTTCATGTATCAAAATCAACATCACCTTCACTATTTATATTGGAAGCACCAGAAACTTCAGTTGTGAGCCAAACAGATTCACAAGAAAGGGTATTTGTAACGCCTGTATCAACAGCTTTCACATTCGTGAAGACTGGTACTACAGAGAAGACATTAACTTTGTCTAAGCAAATGCCACTTTCTGCTATTTCTTCTAGTTCAGCACCCATAGGACTAAGTGGTCTCACAACTAAGAGTGTCACAAAAACATTAGAAAAAACAGCAGGAACAAAAGAATCTATCACGTCTTTATTGTCAGTACTTTCTGATATTTCAGAAATAAAGAGCAGACCTTCCAAAATAGTAGAAACTGATGGAGAAATATTGGCTACAAAGCTTACTCTATCACCTTCAATTAGCAAACATTCACCAACGTTCCTTGCTCCATTTAGTTCTACTAATGAAACTGTAGTACCCAAGTCCCCATCTGTGAAGGAGGCAACAGTAGCACCAACAAGCTCTTTGCCAATACTAACAATTCATCCAAACGCTACAAGAGCTACAGCCGCTCCTATCTATTCATCAACCAAACCAGTATATGATTCTGGCACAATATACGCTGCAAATTTTACTACTGTTGAAACTATGTCGGGTGCTTCAGCACCAGCTTTCATATCACCTGGAGAGATAGCAACTCAGCCAACATGTATAGTGAGTAACATGTAATTGATCTTTATCCAACCCTAGGAAGGGAGGGGTTGTGTGTGTTTTAACTCAGAGATCATGGATGTATGATGTATATTAAGATATAGCTTCTTACATGTAGCCATCCAGAGCTGTTGAAAGTCAGATAGCATCCAAGCTAAATAAATAAACAAACAAACAAACAAATAAATAAATGTGGCTTTTACACGATTATCCTGATATTGCACTTCTTTAAAATCTCATATGTCATGGTCATTAAAACATAACTAGTGATGCAAACAAGTGTTTCTAAATTTTTGGTGACAGGTTTCTTATGTCCATACCTAGATCATTTATATACTTAGTTCCATTCTAATATGATATGGAAGCATTTTCTTGAACCAGTTTTTTGACAATTCTGCTCACGGGTTAAATATTATTGATGAAGAATATATTCTGGGCTTTTGAACTACTCAGTATGATCATTTGGGGAAAAATATTTGTGTATGTATGTGCTATTATTTTTTTTATTTTAACAACTAGCTTCACTTTGTAATCTTGTCATTTTTATGATCTGCATACTATTAATGTTGAATTAAAGACTGAACACTTTTCAAGGCTGCTATTTCAGAATTCAGCCTTAATTCCCCAAAAAAGTTCCTGAACACTTAAGGGATATTGGATACTTGGGCTCCTGTGTTCTACTACGTTGATTTCTTGAAAAAATATTTTCTCATTGTTTTTGTTTTGTTCAGAGTTGTAACCAATCTTTTCTAAATATGCCTTAGCCTGTCACAGAAAATGACTGCATAAAACATATTTGCTTAGATGGACAATTAATTCAAGTTAACCAATCACAGTACTGCCCATACAGTGCAACACAAACCAGCTGTGGATTTCTCGGATTTGCTGTTCAGATTAATGGTGACAAATGCTGCCCCAAATGGGAATGTGCATGTGAGTTATTAGTCATATAATGTTTATTTTTAAACTGCATAAAGCCAGTGAAACCTTGAACTTCAGAATAGGTATGAAAGGAACAGATGGTAGGAATTCTTCCTGCCTTGCATACAAAACAGTAGCAGTAACAAAAAGAAATAATATTGCACAAAAGCTGTGCAATGTGTAATGAAACAGAACTCAATGAAGAGGGCTTAAATTGGAAATCATACTGGTAAACGGTGGTTTACCAGTATTACTGGTAAAACTTGCAAATCCTCTTTTGGCCAATTCACTGGATACTGAAGAGAATACATATTATATAGAGATGTTACAGAACAAATGTTATGAGTTGGATTGAGACTCTCCAATTCCGGTTCTGAGAACATTTCTTTTAGAAGAAGGCAAGTTATATTTTTCATTGAATTCTTCCATCAGTGCCCCTTAAGATTTTGATACAGATTGTAGAAATTTCTGAAGTAGCATGAAATGTGAAATGGGTATCTTTGTGGGAAATGGAAATAAAATGCTGGACATTAATTTCAGAAAAGCAACCTTGAATTCAACTTACTTTGATCCCAAGTAAAATATGGTATGGAGACAAAATAATATTTTAAGATAGGAAATAGCAGAATTTCTTACTTTTCAAGCATTGGGTATGAGCTGCACACATATTAGGGTTCTTTTGCAGCACAGACCTATTTATTAGGAAATCACTTGCCAGATTTTCAAGAATTATTTACTCTATTTGTTACATATTTTTATCTAATTTAACAAAACAGTAAACTTTCATTTGCCAATGATCTTCTGTCTTCGTAATTTTTTTTAATTAATAGTGCACTTTATGTTTGATAGGTCGATGCACTTTCTTCTCTGATCTGAGCTTTATCACCTTTGATGGACATCATATGGCTTTATTTAAAGAAGCATCTTATATAATCAGCCAAACGCAAGATGAAGTTATAAGCATTCATGTTGTTGACGACAGAAATACTAATATGGTACTAAACTTTATTTATTATTTTGTATTTATAGAATGTGCGCAAATAAATAGTGTTAAGCCTCTGATCCAATAGAAGCTTTGAGGCTAGAAGAGCATTAATTTTGCTTTTCTTGGGTGCTGATATTTGAATAATCCTTTCCATGTATTTTCAGATAGCGACCCTTTTTAAACATTTTCTCTTAAATATCAAGACAATTGAATAAAGGCTGCAATTGAAATTGGGATTTCATGGGAGAGGAATATTTTTATCACACTGCTTACTTTATGAGACATGGAAACCACTTTATAATTATTTGTGAATAAATTCTTATTTTTGTTGTTTTATTCAGGGGAACGTAACCTATTTCAAGCTAAGTCTGACAATGCTGAATTTAACATATCTATCTAACCAGATTATCATTGATCGCTTAAATAGAAAGGTAAACTTTACTTCTTCTGTTACTTAGTCATAGTTGTTGACCTGTGATAAAATGATGTATTAAAATTCTAAATCATGATTCTTTTATTTTATGATTTAAGTTGGGTGGCATAACTTGGGATCACCATAGCATCTGAAAGAAATGAAGAGTTCCTAATGATATTTATGATCTAAAATCCAATTCTAAGGAGAAATTATTAAACCCATTAACTGATTGAGTTGAACTGATATCATTTGAAATAAAAGTTAAATTAAATTCAAATGGATTCTTTCAACAATCTTTTGTTTTGTTTTGTTTTTTGGCCTAGTAATTTTGGGCATTTCATTTGAGGTGGCCAAATCTCCTAAAATTTGTGTGGTCCTTTTTATGTCTGTGTTCAGGTCATGTTTTTGATTCTAAAAACCAAAGTTTCCAAATAAAGACAGTAACTTCAATAATTAATATTAATTATTGCTTATTAATTAATTTTATTATTTGTAATTAACCATAACAATACTAATTATTAATATTTTTATTTATTTGTATCCTGTCTTTATTATTTTTTTACAAATAACTCAAGGCAGTGAACATATCCAACATACCTTCCTCCTCCTATTTTCCTCATAACAACCCTGTGAGGTGGATTAGTCTGAGAGAGTATGACTGGCCCAAAGTCACCCAGCTGGCTTTCAAGGCTAAAGCAGGACTTGAATTCACAGTCTCCCCTTTTCTAGCCTGGTGCCTTAACCATTAGACCAAATTTACTTTATTAATTAATTATTTTCTGAACATACAGCTGAAGTAGGGAATAAGAACCTTTTAAGCAGTGATGGCATATTAAATCTACTGTCCTTTATGTAATTATTTAACAAACTGTATTTGGTATGTATTCCTGTATTCCTGATGTATTCCTCAGCAATCATGCATAGGAATTCTCAGTATATACATATACTTTGCAGTTAGTGCTGGAATATTTTCCGTCCTCTTTTTTACATGTCTTGTAATTTTTATCAGTTTTATAAGGCTGAATAAACAGAATATATTTGATAAAGGTTTATTACTGCAACTGTAGGTTAATATGAAAAAGCAATGACCCAGCCTTGAAGCTAGTTGTGACACTTAAGTTAGCTAAACTGTAGTGCTATTGAGAAACAAGGATCTTTTTTTTTATTTTATTTTAGCCATCCAGAATTTTTGGAATGTCCAGTTAGTTTTTACTTCTACTGTGAAACTACATCAGAAATAGTTGTTTGAATGTGCTGTTAAGAAATATATCAGCCTCAGTATGCAATTTTAGACCTTTTGGGGAAAAGGGAAATTACAACAACATCCAGCTTTGTTGCTTTTCCCCAGTTGGAATATGTTTTGAATTCTCTTGTATTATATCCTCTATTTCCTTTCTATAGTTCAATCAAATCATATCATCATTATGCTTCTTAAAGAACTTAATTTCTCACTGGCTTAAATAGAAAAAGCTACCCATTATCCTAATGGCATTAAATTATACTGACATAACTTGAGTCATAATTCTCTAATCCAAATGCTGCCTGCATTTTGATTGCTTCTTCCCAAGATTTGCTATCTAATTGGGACTTAGGAATTTAATATGCAAGTTGTACAGATTTTCATTAGGAATTTATTTGATTAAAAGATTTGTGTTTACAGAAAAGGAAAACGACTTGTTAAAAGTATTATTATGACAAAATACAAACTGTAATCTTAAGTGTTGCCTAAATATCTTTTTATATGTTTTCTAGATAGTGGTCAATTCAAAATATGCTTGGCCTACTGTTAAAAAATATGATTTTAAAATTGAGGACACTGGCTTTATGTATCTTATTAAAACCCCAACAAATACTAAAATTCAGTGGTTCCATAATACTGGGATGATGATAATTGAACATAATGCAACCAGTGATCAAAAAACAATGGGATTGTGTGGTAAGTAAACTTTAGTAAGATTTATTTTGCTATATTTTACTTTATTTCTTTTATCTTTATATACTCACCTACTCAGTATACAATTTTATTAAAGGGGAATATCACGTTTGTTTATAAATTACGTATATTGCAACTTGAAGAGTAATTCTGTAAGAAAATAGAAAATGATACTTTAATAATTGCTCACCAAAAGTATTTATAGCTAAAATGAGGCTAATTTTCAAAGTGCAGAATAAAAATGCTAAATTTGCCAACAAACTATCTGCAGTACAGATCTTAATGCCTCTCAGATCGTATTACAGACAGCTATAGCTCAGTGAAAATGTTCTTCTACATTTAGAGTTTGTGAAACAGAAGTATGGAGGCTGAAGTAATGTGAAATAAATAAATAAGCAGAAAATGTACTTTACATTATGCTTTCCATAAAGTCATATAAGGTATTTGAAAGATGAGTGGCCTGATCTTTGCTACTATACTGAAGAAAATGCATAAAGATAAGATTGTTCATTATGAGATAAATTTAAAATAGATGATATAATCTTCTCCCTCACTAAATCTAAATCAGGAAAAGTGCTAATGGAAATCTGAGCTGATTTCTCCTATTGAGAAAAGGGTGAAGACGAATATATAGGCTATTGAAATTAAATGTAGGAACAAGTATTTTTTTTGAATTGTAAGCAATATGTATCATTAAACAAAACACAGAAGGACCTCACTATGAGATGTATATGGCATAAATGTGCAATTTATTATGAGGTACATTGAAAGTTCAATTTTCTCCTATCTATAGTTTGTTAATCATGTCTATAAACTATTAGAAAAGTGGGCCTCTTCTAACTTGATGGAGGACCAGAAAGGAAAATGTGATTAAGTATAATTTCTTTCTTATAATAATGACCCATCCTTCTGAGGTAGGTAAAATGAGGACACAGATTGTTGGGGGCAATATGCTAACTCTGTAAACCGCTTAGAGAGGGCTGTAAAGCACTGTGAAGCGATATATAAGTCTTAAGTGCTATTGCTGTAATTGTGCCAATGTGCATGTTTGGCTCTACCAGCCAGTGGTAGTACTCATTTTATCATACCTAGACTTAGACTGTAATTCTGGATAGGGCCTTTTTGAAAAGTCAATCAGACAGAAAGCCTGGAAGAAGTGGCAAAGCACTTCAAGAAACCTGCATTGATAGGTCAGTTCCCAAGACCATATTAAGCTTTCAAGGTTTGAAAGGCTTCCCTATTCTTCAGCCTTAAATAATGGGTTGCTCAATGACCCTTTCCAAAATTGATTTACAACAGCCGCAAACAAGCATTAAGTGCAATCAGCTGCTTGAAGGTGAACTTTAAGAAACTAAATACCATAAATGCCGGCGTACAAGGCGACCCGGCGTATAAGACGACCCCCGTCTTTATAGCCGGGCCGCATTCCTAGAACGTCGTCTTATATGCCGGAAACTACCAGTATTTCTGGCGTATAAGACGACTCGGCGTATAAGACGACCCCCGTCTTTGGCGCCGATTTCAGCGCTCGCGGAAGTCGTCTTATATGCCAGCATTTACGGTACTGGTGTTCTAACTTATCATCAGTCTGGTTCAATAATTGATGCCTTTACAAAAAATTTTCCCAAACCTGCCTGAAGACTTATGGCAGCAAGACTTCTATGAAGTTTCAGATCTTACAAATAGTAATGTTGCTATAGGGAAGAAACACTTGAAATAAATATTAGTGACAAAGGAAAAAGACTTGTTAAAAGTATTATTATGACAAAAGACAAACTCTAATCTTAAGGGTTTCCTAAATATCTCTTTATATGTTTTCTAGATAGTGGTCAATTCAAAATATGCTTGGCCCATTGTTAAAAAAATGGTTTCTGGTTTCAAATTGTTGCTTTGACTAGCTTCTTATTTTTGTTTAACACTGATCTTAAAACAAGAAAAAACAATGTTTCAACAGTCTCTTGAGTTTTATTTATGCTGAAGTCCTACTCATATTTCAGCAACAAACATGCAGAAATTTATGTAGCAGAAAGACCTATTGATTGGAGTCAATTCTTGCCTTAATATTATATATTTAAACTTATCTTTGATTATATCTGAGAAACGTAAGACAGAGTTTTTGATTTGAAATGCTCTCTTCTTAGAGCAGGGGTGTCAAAGTCGCAACGTCATGTGATGTGTCATGACGTATCGTGACTTTTTTGCCATTGCCAGCAATGGGCTGGGCGCAGTTTTGCTATGATGCATCCAGCCCATGGGCTGGCAGTTTGACACCCCTGCCTTAGAGGGCTGTTTGTTATCTACATTGACATCTTTTTTGAGCTTGGCAAAAATTGTATTATTATCCCAGACTTTCAAAACTTTTATTGTTTAGAATTTTTCAGTTCAGTTGATATCAGAAACATTGAAATGTATAAAAATCTGTTTATATTAGTGTGCATATATGTATTTATGTATCTATGTGTGTATCAATTATTAGAATAATTTCATATTTTTTTCTATAGTTTCATAAACAAATGATTAGGAATTGGCGAAACCAAAATGTGAGACAACATATATAACTAAATGAGGTTTGGGGGCAGATATCTTTGAAATGTTACAATGTAAAGATGGAGTTAGAATTCATCAGTTCCAATTCCATTGACACAGGGAAATTGTATTAGCCATGTGTAGAATCCTTCAGTGTGTCCAAAACTTTCTATCATATATACTGTAGCAGGTTTTTTTTGAATGCAGAGTGTTCAAAATATAGCCACATAAAGTTTTACTTCTTCCAATGGTGCAATGGTACTTTACATTATATAGTCTTAGTCAAAATCCCTCCTGTGACTTCATGGACATGTCCTTATTGTTTTCTTGGCAGTAACACAGATGTGGTTGCCATTCCGTTCAAGATCTATCATAGAGTTCCAATGCTTCTTAATGATCTCTTACTAAATACTAATCAGATCCAACTTTATTTTGATTTTTTGAGAGTAACCAAGGTCTGCTAGGTGTTGTAGTTATCTGAGCATGTTAGACACTGCATGGAAATTGGCTACTGCTATAGACTGAAGATTTTACATATGAATTGGATGAGTTTGGTTAAATCATCTGGAGGCTTTTTCAAGGTGTGATAATTACAATGAGGCCAGTTCTATTATCCTGTACCACATGGTATGTAGAATAACATATATTGGAATTTTATCTTTGCTTTCGGTGCTTATTTTCTGTTTCTGATACTGTTCCAGTTCCACATGATTACTTTACAATAGAGTAGAATTAGCTCATCTGGTCATGTTTTCTGTTTGATCTACCTCACAAAGCTGACTAAAGTTCTGTTTGTGGAAGAACTACCAAATTTAAATACCACTTATTCTAGTACAAATGGCTGTAGGTCCTTTCTAGATATTAACTGCAACTGTAAAATTAAGCAGTTTTCCTCAAGTCTTCAGTATTGGCGGGAAAGATTACTAAATTTTCCTTTTATTTCTTTTATGCTCTATGTTGCTTAGAATCCTTTCAGATTGAAGTGGGTTATAATAAGCGTTATAAAATAAATAAATAAATAAATACTGTTATCTTTTGCAGGTTTCTGTGATGGAATTTCAACAAATGACCTCATGTTACCTAATAATACAGTTGTAAGAACTGCAGCTGCTTCAGTTATCTTCACAGATAGCTGGTTGGTGCCAAATACGTTGAAGTATATTGGAGAACCAAGAACCCATGAAGCTAACTGTTCAGCCATGAATTGTTCATTTTGCTTAAATATGTTGTTGAGCCAAACATTCAGCAGCTGCCATCCTTATGTATGTTATCTTTGATTTCTACTTCAATTATTCTGATTGTTGACAAATCTGATTTTATATTAATACTGAGCAGTCAACCTATAGATTGCATTATGTTTATAAGAAGTTGCCCACCATTGCAGTAGGGCCAATGATATAGTTATTCAAGGAAAAATATTTTGGTAGTTTTGACATAGCTTGAATGCAATGGAATATTTCTATTTGAAGTGGGATCCATAATTCACAATAATCCAGGAATCTCAATCAATTAATCTCTCTCTCTCTCTCTCTCTCTCTCTCTCCCTCCCTCCCTCTCCCTCTCTCTCTCTCTCTCTGTGTGTGTGTGTGTTTGTGTGCTTTCCATCAGATTACTAATGATGCTGGTTTTCAACTCTGTCAGTTACCAAACCAAATATATATTTTTATGTTACTAATCCAAATATATGTTTTTATGTGTGTTAAGGTTTCTCCAGCTTCTTTTTGTGATTTATGGATCCAAGACACTGGATATATTCAGGATCCATGTTTAGCACTGTCTGCTTATGTCGCCATGTGTAATAAATTTAATATCTGCATAGAATGGAGGAATTCTAGTTACTGTTGTAAGTATTAGTATTGAGACTATATACATTACTGGAAGTTGATAAGACAATGTAGTCTATGAAATTGAATAATATACTAGAGCTTAAGTTCAAGTCCAAAGTCAGTATTTTTTTTTTGAAATGTTGTTAATCGCTGGGCACTGTTTGTACTGCAAGTGCAAGTAAATATTGGAATAACTGGATTTTTTTCAGCACAATAAAACTATATAAACAGAAGTACTATAAAAAACATCACAGAAAATGATAAAATACATTAGCCATGAATTGTGGGAAAAAGGCTTTGAGCAGGGAAATTAATGGGATGAATGGTGAGCACATGAAGGATTAAGCATTCCCAATTCTTCAGCTCTAAAACTCCTTTTACTTTCAACTGAAGAAGGGGATAATATCACTGCTTATTAATGCCAATGCATGTGTTACATAACCTGGTGATTCCCATATCAATAGCAACACTATATTAACACTGTATTTCTTGTCTTGCTAGCCTTTCCTTGTCCAGAAGGTTTCTCTTATAAGGCTTGTATCCATCCATGCAACACCCCAAGCACTTGTCAGAGTACAGAGTCCACAGCAGAAGATTCAGACTCTTGCTTGGTGCTCACTGAGGGCTGCACCTGTGCAGAAGGAACCATCCTTCACAGAATTCATTCTGCTCTCTGCATCCCGGAAGAGAAGTGTGGTAGGTACTGCCCTTTTTTCTTCTGCAGTCTATGAGAAATATGTAATCCATCTTTCCAGATAGCAGTGATGAAATTCAAATAACATAATAGCCAAAAAATCTCAAGTCATCTATATAGGTAACTGTCAGGTGCAAGTAATCAGGAACAGGAGTTGAATTGAGTTCAAAGCACTTCAAATTTATTACATGCTACCTATACAGAAGAATCTCATCTACTAACAGTTAAGGCAAATTGATATTAGCTAAGAGTCAGTGGAATTCAAGGGGAGCTGGATTTAGGTCTCTTGCGAGAGCAGATTTAAGACTCCAAACAGATAACACATTTGACCCTGCCCTCCAGCTCAGTAACTGTTGAATGGAATGGAAGCAACTTTCAGTTTGTGAACTGTGCTTATAAAGAGAGAAGCTATTTCTTATTTATTTATTTATTTGTCTTTGGATAGTATCTTACTCTACAGAGGTTCTTCTTTTGTAATGTCTATTTGGATATTGGGAATATTCTGCATATTCAGAAAATACTTCCAACTTTATCTCTTGTGGATTATAAATAGACATTAGAGACAAACCCAAAGGTGTTTTCCCAAAAGAGAACTGGACTTTTTTGGTTTTTTTTTCTTGAAAAAAAATTCACTTCTCATCCAAGAAACTTCTTCAGTTCAAGGAAAACACTAAGAAATTCCAATTGCCTTTTGGAAAAGTGCCTTTGGGACAACCATGGCCTGTATGATTGAGAATCTCCATAGACTCTAGAGACAAACCAATAGTTATAATAGGTGGCATAACAACGACTGTAAATAAATCAATAAGCAGAGAGATGAAGCTAGAGATTACAACTGTAAGCATCCTAATGATTCAGTTTCTTATGAATTAGACTTACCTTATAACTGTTTACATAGGAGTTGAAGCATATTATCTGCCTACTTCTGTAGTGCTGCAGCTGAAGGCCATATTTATTTGTTGACATTGTTCATTCTAGTCTAGAACTTTGTTGGTTGTCACTGTTTTTATTAGTTACAGTAGATTTGTATATTGACTTATTCCCAACAACTTTGGGTTTTGCACTCATGCAAGCATTAGACACGTAATAATGCCAGAGCCAAAAATATTTTTAGAAAAATGTTAATGCGTGTAGTTTTTCTAAACAATTCAGCCTGTACAGATCATTCTGGAGTGCCTCATGCAGTAGGTGAAATTTGGAAAAGTTCCAGTAGTGATTGCTGCATGCACAAATGTGTGGACAGTAATACCATTGCTGCTGTGGAATACAACTGCTCTGTTAATTATGATGTCAGATGTCAACGCTTTGGGGAAGTGGCTTTAATTGTCCCTGATGATCAGTCCTGTTGTCATCAGAAAGTCTGCAGTAAGTATTCTTGCATATTCCAGTATCTGAATGGCTTTCTTTTAGAAAAAAATAACAAGAGCAGATGTTTTGTTTTTAAAGTGCATTTTTTAAAAAACAAACCACACTAGTGGCAAGTGACTTGATTAGTATATGATTGTATATAATTTGAAGATTGTTTTTCATTCGTTTATAAGGCTGTGACATCCAGAACAAGGAAGAAAGTTGATAACGGATGCATGAGATAATCTGGAATTGTTTGCAGCCTGTCAAAATAGCTATTTAATTGCCATTAAAGTTGCTAAGGTTACCAGGAAAATATACTGCACAAGGAAATCATGTTTCAGAAGGTTACCTAAAGAACCTAAAGAGTTGCAATTATAATGTTTTCTCAATTTGGTCAACGAAATTTTACCAGTGAAACCAGTGTAGGCAGAATAAAGTTTGAACAACAATCTGGAGAAATTTATACTTTCTCATTTCAGTTATTGTGAACCAAATTGAAAGAAAGAGCAATATATAAGCTGCTTTAACATTTCTGAAGAAAGATAGGATAGGAATCTAACCAAACATACAACAAAACATTAGAAAGTTGATATCCCATTATGTTCCTATCCTGAATTAAAAGAATCTTGTTATGTAGCTTGTTTCTGAGAGACCTATATGTATGTATGTATGTATGTATATATATATATATATATTATATATATATATATATTATATTTATATATATATAAGCACCAGTCCAATCTAATTGCCTATTGGATTCTGCTTCTGTTTGCTTGGCTCCAGAATCTTTTACAGGGCATGGGAGTACTGAGACGTTTTTTCAATTTATAATTGAAAATATTTCTGTGGCAATATTTAGTGCGGGTGCCAAAATGTGGCACATTTTTAAAGCTATACTCAGCAGCATTTTTTTTCATTCTTTTTGGGTCTCTTTGCCTATCTATAAAGCTTGCAATCAAAGCCTTTGTGACACCCTGGTTCCTGAATGCAAAGTCTTAGAGAAACTGGTGACCTATTATCAAGATAACTCTTGCTGTCCAAATTATACATGTGGTAAGTACTGAATTTTAAAAAAATCATTTTCAAAGCAGTCTTTACTGTCTTGCATAAAGACACACACACAGAGAAATGCAGATATGAAAGGAAGTAATCCCTAAGGAGTAGATTAAGGAGAAATGAACATCTGGAAGAGAGACTACTGATATAAGGAAAAAGGGATTGGAAACAACCACATGGTTGTGAGAGCTAATTTGCAAGAATAACAGAATAATAGAGTTGGAAGGGACCTTGGAGGTCTTGTAGTCCAATCTCCAGCTCAGGCAGGAAACCCTATACCAGAGGTCCCCAATCTTTGGGGCACCAGGGACTGGTTATATTGAGAGAGGTTTTTCTGCGGACCGGAGGGTGCGTGGTATTGTGTGCTGTTTGCATCCCATGGATGGGGCTTTGCTTGTTTATGCGGACCAGTTGCTGGCATGCCGCAGCCCGGTAGCAGTCCACGGACCGGGGGTTGGGGACCCCAGCCCTATACCATTTCAGACTAGAGAATTGTGCATGGGAGGAATTATGGGAGAACCTTATCTGGGACTACTAGTGAGAAATGAATCAGAGTCAAAAAGAAGGCCCAGGCAGCTGAGAATAAGTCTTTCTTAGGTAGATAAGTCTCAATGAAGAGAATGAATGGTTTAGGGCCCAGGTGAGATCAGAGCTCAGTGTTTTAGGGCTGAAGATGAATGAACTCACCAAACTGGAATTCAGAAATGACTGAGTCTCAATGGGAACAAAGAGGAAATGCTCTTAAAACTTTTATTAAAAATTGAAAACTCTGTTAGTCGAGGATTTTTCAGGATTAGCTATCTGCAAAAGAAAGCTGAGAGCAATTTCTCCTCACAGAATTTCTAAAGGAGAAATTCTAGGCCAGAATTTGCATTGAGATTTATTTCTTTTAAGGCATACTAGTCTGCTTAACGAATCCCGTCATTTGGAAATTGGCCTCTGGTAATTTTTAATTGTCTTTTGTCTAGTTAAAAGCTATTATATGTTATCTGAACTCAAATATGGACCATCAGATCTGTCATCTGGTTTTCCCATCGCTTTCAGTTTGAGATACTGTATTGTTTGTATTTTTGGCAGAATTCAATGTTTTATTCCATCACCATCATTATTATTCCTCCTCCTCTCCAGTTTATGGGACCACCCCTCTCTCAACAGCCAAACCAATCTTAAGGGGGAGGACCCTGGATAAGATAGTTTCTTTCTCCAGGAAGTGCTATGTAGCAATAATAGGAAGATGAACCAAGATGCAAGGGTGGCAGTCCTGGTCAGGGGCTCTAACAACAATTCTTATTATTAAAAAAAATAAAATGGCAACCCTGCGTATACAATTAGTTGTTAACTTATGACTACAATTAAGCCCAAATTTTATGTTGCTAAGTGAGAAATTTGTTAAATGAGCTTTACAACTTTTCGCACCCCATTTGTTAAATGAATCACTGCAGTTCTTAAATTAGTAACATGGTTGTTAAGTGTATCTGGTTTCCCCATTGACTTTCCTTGTCAGAAGATTGCAAAAGGGGATTGCATGGCTCTGGGACACTGCAACCATCATAAATATGACTCAGTTGTCAAACATTCGAATTTAAATCATATGACGGTCATATTTAAATCATATGCAACAGTCATAAGTGTGAAAAATGGTCCTAAGTCACTTTTTTTCAGTGCCGTTGTAACTTTGAATGGTCACTAAATGAACTGTTGTAAGTCGAAGACTACCTGTACTAGATATTATTCTAGAAATTAATAATAGTACAGCAATACAAATGAACACTCCAAGTTTTATTTTACTTCATTTGGCTTGTTTATGCTCTGCTTATTTCAGAATGTGATCCAGAAAAATGTAAATCTATGGAACCAATTCCCCATTGTCGATCAGATCAAACTTTGGTTGCTGCCCATGTGGAAGGCACCTGCTGCTTCTCTTATATTTGTTGTATGTCAGATTTAATTCTTACTTATACTTTAAGGCCTCAAAGATATAAGAATAGTATCTTAGATCAACAATACTTGTTGTTTCATGCTTCATATCATACATTCCTGTATCCATATTGCTTCAAAGAAACATTTGGTGACTCAGGGCCATTTTAAATTTCAGGTGGAGGTAATTTGAAATCTAGTTAGTAATGAGAGTGAAGGGGAAGTTTCTTTAAAAGGAGAAGGAGAAGAGAAAGTTTAACTGAATAAGAGCTTGTACCTCCCTCCTTCTTGTAGTAAAATTTGTATCAACCAGCTTGCATAAAAGATAAGATAAGATAAGATAAGATAAGATAAGATAGGATAGGATAGGATAGGATAAGATAAGATAAGATAAGATAGCCTTTATTGCCATTTTTTACTGGGACACATTAAAAATGAAATTGTGTTTTTATTTGTTGTAGACTGTGGTTAAAAGGAAATAACATGTAGTTCACAAAACTGTATGCAATTATAGAAAACTGAATAATAAAAAATAGCTGACCTTATTTTCAGATAAATTATATATTTCTCTTTTAGCCTGTAGCATTTGTTCTGATCAAATTCCCATGTGTCAAGAAGGAGAAAGGCTCACTGTGGATGGCAATACTACTGACAGATGTTGCCCTGATTATCAGTGTGGTGAGTTTGTTCTCAGAGGTTATCTTAATTATTTTGCGGTGATTGTTCTGATAAATTTACAGATTTGTCATGAATTAAACTTTTTTATTAATCTGCATTCATTTTCAGTTATGCAAGAAAGATAGAAGGTTAATATATTAGTATTAATATAATCTATATATATACATTAAGATGTACATCAGTAAATAGTTAAGACTGAGACATTAAACACACAATTTAAACATTTTTATTTATATTTGATTAGTAAGTATCATCTTGAGTATTTTTCATTCAAATGAAATTCTTCCATTTCAAGAATATGAGGATAAAAACCACATGTCTTCTATTTTTAACTTGCAGTCTGTGAAACCTTTCGTTGTCCTGAATTTAAATGTATGTTAGGAATGTCCTTGATAGAAGTTTGGAGTCCAGAAAAATGTTGTCCATATCGTAGATGTGGTAATTATGTTTTTTTCTTTATTTATCTTCAAGCAATTAACAGCAATTTGTTTTGAAAATACAGAGTCAATGGTGTTGGATTAAAATTATAACTATAGTTCAGAACAATCTAGAAATGTGGTAGGTTGATACTGAATAGTTTTTAGAGTTGTTTTATTGCCTAGAAAGTTTTCTTTAGTTTCCAAAATTATACAACTTATAATTAAATTCTTTGTAAAATAGCAATAGCCATATATATTGCACCCTGTAGAGCTTTACAGCACTCTCTGGACAGTTTATAACATTAGCCTATTGCCCTCAACAATCTGGACCCTCATTTTACCAAGCTCAGAGGGATGGAAGGCTGAGTCAACCTTGAGCCCGTCAGGATCGAATTCCTGGCTGTGGGCAGAGTTAGCCTACAATACTTCATTCTAACCACTGCACCACCATGGCTTATAAATTATCGTTATTGTGCTTTGATCTACAACCAATGTTACTATTGTGCAAAATCATCCTTTGCAATGAATGGAGTTGTAGTCAGGATAAACATAGACAAGGTAGACATGAAAATTCTGTTGAATGATTAGAAAATTGTTTACATACACTGAATAAATATTGAATTATGAAATGTATTTATTCAGTTTATATAGTTGCTCATCTCAGGCACAAAACCAAATTTTCAAGATCTTATAAAAGACTGACAGGGGCCAGATCAATCTAATCTGAGGGTCGGGGAGGATAATATACCAAAGGGTGGGTGCCACCTGTAAGTACAAATGACCTTGGGAGACAAGATTAAATGCCACAGACTATGCGATGGTCAAATAAGAGAAAGCTGGGCCCACAGAAAGAATGAAGGTATGGCAAACGTCTCAGAAGGAAGCCTCCTAAGTTTCTTGGACTTGTAAAGGTGAAGCAGAAGAAGTGCATTTTCAGACTTGCAAGACTGATGTTTGCCTTGTGAGGTAGTGGAGACAAGAAGTGGTTGCTCTATCCTTATTGTAGGGTTACGTTAACAAAATCATTGTTACAGTACTTACAAACATTAACCCATTGGGTGAAGTGGTCTTTCTTCCTTGAAAGTTTATACTATATTGAATCTTCAAAATATTTACAGTGTCACAATTTTTAGTGCAATGTTGGTTATATTGTTCGAACAATATAATTTTGAAAAATGCATTTGATGAATGTTTTGCTGTATTCAAAGGGACTGATTTTCCCTTCTTCAATTTATTATTTTAGAGTGTGCATGTAATACAATTCCAAAGCCTCAGTGTAAACTGGTAAGAAATTTTACTGAAATGTGCCTAAAGTATCTGCAATCTATTGTTGTTTATATATATGTTATGTATATGTACATTTATGAGAGCAGGCAACAGAATTTCATTTTTAATGTGTGCCAGTGTGCCCACAGTAAAAAATGACAAGGTTATCTATCTATCTATCTATCTATCTATCTATCTATCTATCTATCTATCTATCTATCTATCTATCGTCGTTGTTTTTTAGAATTTAGAGTATACCAGGCATGTCAAACTCGCGATGTCACATGATGTCGCGCGATGTATCGGAGCTTTTTCTCCATTTCTGGCAATGTGGGCACAGTTTTGGGATGATGCATCCGGCCCGCGGGCCGAAGTTTGACATCCCTGGAGTATACTAAGATCTTTTGAATTCACCAATATTTATATATAAAAATAAGCAGAACACTCAACAAGAATTGGTGGTTTATTTATGTTTCATCAATTGTTGTAATTATAGTACCTGTTTAATAAAACAAATACATATTGCAAATTAATGCTCATTGTAGCACCCATTCCGGTACATGAGGGTTTTATATGTTAATTAAAATACTCTTGGTAGAACTCAACAAATTGAAAAGAGAGGTTGCTTATTAATCTGACATGCATATAACAACATGTATATTTGGGACTCCTTGAGACTCTTTGGACATGCTGACTCAGTAGGTTCAATAGGAGTAAGTTCTATGGGTCTCATCAGCATTGACTTTTGTTAAATAAGTGCAGAATTAATTAGTGAATGTGTAATTCAAGTTACATGTCCTAGAATCTCAAAATTAGTGATTTATATAAGACATCTAGGACTCAGATTTCCTTCTGGATATATGTATGTGTAAAGTATACTTTTAGTAAGAAACACTGATATTGAAGAACAATATATGTGGGATAATATTGATATTTTTCTTTTTTCTTTTTTAAATATATTTTATTAAATTTTATGAGGGTAAAGAAAAAATAGGGTCAATAAGGATATGACAAGGGGTAACAAACAAAAAAGGTTAGACCAGGGGAAGGGATAGGCACACTAAATCAACGCTTCAACAAGTAAATTGTTCAATTTTTGTTAAATATTGATATTTTTCTGATGTGAACAGGGAGAGAAAATGGTCTTGGATGAAAAATTCCAGAACAGCACAGAAAATGTTTGTCACTGCACTAAATATAAATGTTGTAAGTAAACCCATTTTTCTTTTGAAAGCTCTAATTTATGCCAGTATGAATAATTTTTATTTATGAACCAGGCATTTTAAGGCAGCATAATATATAATTCATATTAAAAAATCATGTTAAAATAAAGGAGTTTTTATAAGCAGATGCTACTTCCCTATAACTTGAAAAGACTTGAAAATAGTTAGCTCCATTGTGACTTGCTCCATTGTTTTATGGCTGCGGTAGGATTCTATTGATAGAAGTCAGGAGAAAGTTATGAGTAAATATTAGTGTATTCATTTTCTTTCATCAGTGATGTTTATGAATATTTAAGCATGTTGCTTGTCTCACTTTCTTTGCTTGAAATAGCAATGATATTTCAAGTACATGAACAATTTTACATAATGTCTTTTGTATTTATTGACATTTTTCTAGCAAAAGACAAAGTATGTCTGAACAATGAAAGAGGCGTTCTGCTTCCAGGACAATCCATTGTTGAACACTCATCTGGTGGTATTTGTCACACTTCATACTGCACAAATATACTTGACCCTGTTACCAAGTTCTATCGGATGAATACCTCCATTATTGATTGTGCAGCAAGGTGCAAATCTGTAAGAAGTTCAGAATTAAACTATAAGTTTTCACTGAGAAGTTAAAAAAAGAAAGAGGGGACATTATTCACATTTTCTAATCTGTTGTGATGGGAGAAGTGAAGTAAAGCAGTAGTTGCCCTTTCAATTCAAACTGCTCATACAGAAAGACCAATGAATTTTGGTTTTAAGCACCAGTAAACCTAGATAATCTAAGCCCAAGTCAATGTAACCATTGAAGTACACAGTAGTTTAAAAATAAATAAATAAACAATCCCAGTGAAGTTTCCAGTGAAGCAAAGTGTCTCTGTGCACATACATTTTCAGAGAGCTGGGAAAGCCTTTCAGGGAGGACTGGGGCTTTAATGCTTTGAGGACAGCTCATTTGCTCATACCAAGACATTTTGTAAAGCTCCCCTTTGGAAAGTTTTGGATAGTTTCAGTTTCTTATATACTTTCCATAAACGTATAGTGAATACAATACGGAATAATTATAGTATCGTTGTGGGATTTTTATTCTTGTAATTTTGCTATTTGCTTTATTGTAAACTATACTCAATATTTTATCCTTATCCTTTTCAGCATCAAGTATATGAACGTCCAAAGGATCTAACAACTTGCTGTGGAAAATGCAAGAATGTGTCTTGTGTTCACACATTCACCAATGGAACAATTTCATACTTTAAGGTACATTTTTTTTAAGAATGTGTGAGAGGTCCTTGGTGCTGTCTGAGTTTGGTTGATTTCTTGCAGACATTTCATTACCCAAACGAGAAACATCATTAGTGCAAGTAGGGAGTTGGATTTGCTCCCATTTTATATTCTAGTGTCTTGCCCTGTCATTGTTTTTGGAGTGGTATTGGTAGTTCTTTGATTGGGTTGTTGACTGTTAGCTTGTTTGGCAGTTCCTTAACTGGGGCATTGTTTGCTTCTTGATTGTTAATATTAATCTTGGTGTTAATCTCTGGGTGTTGATTGTTGGTGAGGAGGGGTTTTGGTCTTTTTGTTCCTTTTTGGGCTTGTTGATTGTCTCTTTTGAATGGTTTGTAGTTGTTGTTTATGTCTATGTGTCTGTTGATGGCCAATTTGTCAGAGTGCCAGGCTTCCAAGACTTCTCTAGCATTTTTGGACTTGGCTTGGTCTAAGATGGTCAGAGTTTCCCGGATGAAACTATGGTTAAGTCTGTGTTGTGAAATTAAGGAGTTTTCATCATGTCTTCTGACTTCTAGTTAGTGTTCATCAGTGTAGTACAGACATGTCAAACTCACAACGTCACGTGACGTCGCGCAACGTATTGGGCCACTTTTGCCATTGCTGGCAATGGGGTGGGCATGGCTTCCACATGACACATCCAGCCTGTGGGCTAGCAGTTTGACACCCCTAGTGTAGTATGTCAGTCTTCTGTCTGTTTATCCTACGTAGTGACTATTGCAGTCTTTATATGGTATGTTGTAGGTGACTCCTGTTTTTTCTTCCTGGGCTGCTGGGACTTTTGGTTTATTTGAGATGTTTTGGGAGGCTCTGTAAAAGGTGTTCATTGATTAACTAAGTCAAATCCTGAATTTCATTTGCAATTCCAAATACTACTCTTATCTTGGCTGGCAATTCTCTTTTCACTAATCACAGTGATCTGAAATCAGATGGTTTTCTGGAAATACAAAGTTGTGCATACTTAACTATATGATATATTTAATAGCATGATAGATTTAAAGTCACGAATCCTGAGTATGTTTAATACCTGACCATAGCCATTCTATAACCTATTACAAAAGACCCAACTGTGCATAACTCCCAAATACTTCAAATCCTAGTGAGCATTACTTTGATCAACTTATAGCTCACAGAACACAAGGAAATGCTGATCTTGGTGGTGAGCTAACATAATTCTTCATGGTGGCATTTCTTCATAGTGAAAGTTATGTATACAGTATGGTAAACACTAAGTCTAATTTGCTATCCAAGAATAACGATTATTCTATGGCACTGTTCTTTGGTACTGATTCACTCTTCACATGGGCCTACATTGTTGTGAACATTATATCAACCCTATTCAATGGTGGAAGGATTTGCTAAGGTTTAATATAATTACTGCATACAGCTACAAAAAAAAATTTCTCAAAGAGGCCCCAAACATACATAGCAGTGTAGATTAAGAAAAAGGGTAATAGCATAATAGAGCTTTTGGTATTTGCTCCAGTTTTTCTAACTTTCTGCATAATACCATGGTGCTTTTGTATTTCTGATAATGTTTTTTAAATATTTTGTAGCCTGGGTCAAGTTGGACCTTAAACTGTCTCAAATATGATTGCATAAATACATCAGTTGGATCAGTTCTAATTACATCACCCATCAGCTGTCCACCTTTTAATGAAACAGAATGTGTGAAGGTTAGTGCTTCAACATATTTTTTTATATGATTTTATGGGGACCATAAAATTATTGTATGCAGATACATCACCAAATATTTATAGCTGGACACCAAAATATAGATTAGTTTTCCCATGGAAAGCATTATTTCTCCTGACACTTACATCTACAGCTATATAGCACTTCTATCTGTATTAGTTTAGGTTTCATAATAGCGGCTAATTATGTTTTTCATATACAATTAGAATTATAACGAAGAATTTTACAGTGCATCTGACTTTTGTTTTTGTATATATTTAGATTGGAGGATACATTGTCCCATTCCTTGAAGGATGCTGCAAGACATGTAAGTTGCTACTGAAGCGTCAGTATTTGGGGGCATGAAAGGGAAGAAATTTTAAACATTGATTATCAGCAATAGCAAAATTCAATACAAAATTCAAAAATATTATTGGTTACATGCTCATAAACAGATTCCAGTCTTCGAAGGTAACTTTTCTGGTTACCTGAAGCTAGGATGAAACAAAGTGTATCTGTAATAAAAAGTAGTAAGTCACTAGTGATGACTAGATAGTTTGTTAATAATGCTTTTTTAAAAATTGTCATTTTAGTGCATATATTTATTCAGCATAATCACTCATAAACAATCCAGTTGAGAGGCTACTGTTGATAGCATAAGTAAAGATAAAATGCTGAATATTGATTTGGGGCATCTATTCATCATGTATAATATGTTCAATTTGTAATGTCCTTAGGTTCTGGAGTATCATTTTTGCTCCCATTCCCTGTTAGCCCAATTACACCTACACCTAGCCTTAAGTGTACAGGTACATTTTCTTGGAAATCAGTAGGAATGAACCAAACAGAGCCATTGTTGATTTCCAACAATGTACTCCCTCCTAGAAGCATAATGCCCCTCCCGTCACAAAAGAGCTGCATTGTAGTACTAACTGCTCATTCTTCAGATTTGCTCACATCTTTTCATTTTGCACTGTATGGGCAGTGCATTGTTGTTAGCCAACAATGTACTGTTGGCAGTAAGCATTTGCATAACGTTTCATTTGCTGCACGATTTATTTATTATTTGCTTAGCTGAATAATTTCAACACTGCTGTAGAACATAGAAAAATATTTTTTTGCTTATTAAAGCTTGCTATTCAAATAACACTTCTGCAGGGAGCATGGCATGTTTCTCTATCCAATGTTATATCCTCAATAAATATCTGAATATTCTCATTTATTTTGTTATGATACAGAAGGATTAAATATAACAATCTGGCAATAGGACAAAAATGAAGAACATGCAAATCTGTAGTTAAACATACTAAATATGATATGAAAATGCAGGATTCAGCCATCCAGGGAAGCCAAATATGGAGCCATTTACAAACATAATTATGGCTTTAATAAAGGAGAATATTTGTAGCTCAGAGTTGACATGAGGGGTCCTTGGTGCTCTCTGAATTTGCTTCTTTTGTTGCAGATGTTTCATTACCCAAACTAGGTAACATTATCAGTGCTAATAATGCTTTAGACTAGCACTGATGATGTTACCTAGTTTGAGTAATGAAAGATCTGCAAAAAAACAAGCTCAGAGAGCACCAAGGACCCCTCAATTATGGCTTTGTTATCATTCAGGCAGATGAAACTACAGTCCTATGCTACATATTGCACTGAATTTAATTAATCAAATTATGTTAGTTACACATGTTGGGGATAGGAAACGCCTTTCCTGCTATGCCAATCTTACAGCTTATCCTGATTGAAAACTGCTTACTGTATTTAAAACAGACAGCCAATTCAAGAGAAGTGAGATAAACAGAAGGTATTTAGAAAATTGTATAGCTGAATTGTCCCAATCCTACAGTTGCATCTCATTTGTTTAATTTTCTGTGACCAGTTAGGTAACAATGCTCTTTTTTCCATCACATTGTTGAATTGTGGAACTGAATTGAGACTTGACTCACAAGGTCATATGTATCAAATCATTTAAACACAATTCTCAAATTCCTTACCTATGTTACATTAAACATTATTACATTACATTAAATTCCTTACATTTGCTAAATATGTTGTAAATTTCAGCAGAATAGCATATATGCATAACTATGTATGTTAAATGTTATAAATATTGAATAGACACATTATCTTGATTTATATATTTATCATGCCCATTTTGTTGTACAGTATTACTTTACCTAGATTAAACTACTATCAGAACTGTATTTCAGATTCTGGAGTAAGGTATTAATACTACATAGTTTGAGGACTTTGGTTTAAATCTATTAACTTATGTTTGTCAATCTGAATTCTTAGTTAGAACTCTGAGTTGACATCCCAGGATTTTAAAATAAATGCATATGATTATGTTTCTGCCACTTTAGAAAGTGGACATCTGGTAAGCTGTGTAAGTTTCACTCCCCTTGGTGGCAATTGTACTAGAACAAAGCATAATCTTTATAGTATCTAGACACTGCATCTCTAGTGTTTTGGGCAAACCTTTTTTTAAACCCTTATTTTAAAAATACCTCATTTAAAAGTTATAAATACAATAGCATCAGTAGTTACTTCATTTCTTTTCATAATTATTTCGTAATTTTTACTTAGCATATTTTATCCCCTTTTGGGGTACAGCTATGCATAGGGATGTTCATATTTTCCAAACAATTCATTATTATAGGCAAAGAAGATGGAAAATTCTGTAAAAAAGTGACTGTTAGAATGACAATACGCAAAAATGATTGTCGAAGTAATACACCGGTAAGCATTGAACCATTACTGTTTGCATCAGCTCTGTTAAGGTTTGGAAGTCATGCACATATTAACCCATTTTATTTACTGGAGTTTTTTGTGTATTTATTCCCAGGTAAATATTGTTTCCTGCGATGGAAAATGTCCTTCTGCAAGCATATATAATTATAACATTAATACATATGCAAGATTCTGCAAATGTTGCAGAGAACTGGGACTACAAAGGCGAACTGTACAACTATATTGCAGTGGTAACTCAACCTGGGTCAGCTATACAATTCAGGAACCCACAGACTGTTCTTGCCAATGGTCATGAAGCAATGCTAAAAGAAGTCTTTTTCTTAAACAGCTTTGGAGGCAATTAATTTTATTCCCAAAATGAATTCAGAATGTTAACAGTTCATCACTTGACAATGCAACTATCTATAGCTAGAACTGTATAGTTTTAAAGATGATGTTTAATGTTAATGTTATATATTTTTAGTATGCATCCCCATAAGAAAATGATGCTTCACTGGAATGTTCAGTATTTTTCAATATTCTATATAATTGGCTACTTATATAACTGTATAAATGGTTTACTTACAGTATGTGAACAGTAGAGTGTGTGAAAAGATAATGGACAATGCCTTGACAAATATAGCTGTGGGTCAAATTACCCTATTGATGGAAATTATTGCCATTCTTTACCATAAGTTTATCATTAATGTTGCATTGTTCACATGAAGAGACTGTATTAAATATGAAAATAGATTGAGGATTATAATCCTTTAGATCCACTTAAAAGAATGGTATGATTCAACTATATGGTAAGAAAATAGTTGCATATAATCGTCTTGGATGATGGGATGTGGTGATTCAATCAAATAGGAAGCATACACATTTAGATATGCACAGTGAGATGCGTCACATCTCTGACAGGTAAAAATGGGATGTTTTATTCCAAAGTACTTTTCATTGAAACAAAATCAACAAAAAAACCTCTTTGTTAGTTCATAATCAATTGCTAACAAAAACATTCCAACCTAAAAGAGGAGAAATCTGGGCCCGTTTGAATTTCATAAATGTAAGTTCTTGCCTTGTGCCAACTTTCAGAAGAGAAGTTGCATGTAAAATAATGCAAACCGTGTAATTATATGCATATTTATCAGGGAAATGTTTTCAGCATGGATAAGTGTATATATAAGCTTGATCTCTGGTGGGAAACATGGCTTAAAAATAGTTTATGGTGTTATAAGACATATTTTTATAGGAAATGTACGTGATCTATTTCAATTATTTAGCATAACAAAGAGCAGTCAATATCTCTTAAAACATTGGGACAGTTTAAAGAAATATTACAATTTATCACATTAAAAATAATTCTGTCATACAAACAGAATATTTGAAAAATAAATATTTAGCCATCTAAAGTATAATATTTCTGTTATTTGTGGGGTTCTTTTCTAGTCTAGTAATTACAAATAACAAAACCATGGATAATGAAACTTTGAAAAAAAAATGTACTTTAATCAAGCACAAATGTCCACCTATCCTTTTGCATGTCTATAACGTAACAGAAAGTATAGAAAAATTATAGGTACACAACAAGTGAATCTATTCCCATCTCTCTTACTTACATCAACTTAGTTATTCCTACAGAGAATGAGTTCCATAGTGCTCCAAATCTTCTATGGAGTTTTGAAACAAATTTCAAAGGATTTGCTCACCCTTCCTTTTTACTATTCACAAACAGCTTTTATTATCTACAGTTCCATTACCCAGAGCTTTGCAGATCCACAGTTCCTAAAAAGAGATCAGATTTTCTTATTCACGATAGATTCATTTTTCTCCAGCCATATGCTCCATTTTAAACTACTTTTGAAACTCTTGAGAATACATAATTTGCTGTGTGATAATCAACTAAAGTAATGAGAACTTAAAAAGAGCCCAGAGTAGTCAAATTGTCAATAAAAAGAGTTTCTGTTTTTCAAAAATGTACTTTTCTTTTGCAGAGATTATTTAATCAAAATACTCATAAACCAGAAGTCCAATGAAAACTTTTATCTATGCAGCCAGTTTTAATGTAATATACTATTAATATATTCTACCTCCTGGTTTTAAAACAGAGAATCCTTTTTCTGCAGTAGGGGGTATTTTATAAGTAAGAAATTCCCGAAAAACAAAAGGTTCAAAAGTTCTGTATTATTTACATGTTGAGAGCCAGTTTGGTGTAATGATTAAGGCATCAGGCTAGAAATCTTGAGTTCTTGTACCATTTTAGGCACAAAGCCAGTTGGGGTGACTTTTGAACCTGTGACTTTCTCTCGGCCCTAGGAAGAACGCAATGGCAAACCACTTCAGAACATTCATAGGTTTTTCCAGGAAGTTGCCAGAAATGAAGACTGACTTGAAGACACCAAAACCAAAACCAAAAAAATGATATTTAATGTTTATGCTTCAGGTATAAGGTGTGGCTGCCTCTGTCTATTGAGAAATCCACCAAAATGTCCCTTCATTAACTTAAACATTCTAGTGATACAAATGGATTCTGACCACTCATCGTTTCTTAGAATTAAATTCAAAGATTTTGGAAAGTTTACACCATTTGCTTTTTATGTATGTTGCATGATAACCATTAATTTATTAGGAAGATCTGTATTTTTAGCTTGCTATTCTTTAAAGTGTTACATATCACGATTCTGCTGTACATATCTTTATTTCATTTATATCATATTTAATAACCCTTAACAGCATATTATAAAATATAACAATCCAATGTTGGTTTTAAAAATCACATTAAAAAAACGAATTAAAAGTGTGTCACTTTTCTTTAAATCTAATGCAGGTGAATAAATTGTTCCTAAAAAAGTCAAGAGGCAGGCAATTTTATTCCAGGATCTCTGACTTTCAGAGATTATGTATTAATCACTGAATTAATGTGTTCTAAAGATGAAATTCATTCAACAAAATATCTTTCATGTTTATTGGACATCACAAAAAATGTTTAAAAATAGTTGGCTACAAACCTCATTAGTGCTAGAAGTATACTATAATAGAAGGGTAGGAAATTCCCCCCCCCCAATTGTCCCATTAACATGATTTTGATCTATATGGTTTAAAGATGTGAATGTAATTTTGAATTGTTGCATGTATAAAAAAATCAATTATTATATGAGGAACTATCATGGGGAATAGCATAAAAATTACCTTTTTATGATGGAAAGACTATGCCACGGTCAGTCTGATAATGTGAGTTTTCTCTCTGGCTTTCTACTGACCTAGTGGTCAGGTTTTCATGTTGCATTTAAAAACTGACCTAATGTGTATGTGACAAACAAACAAGGATTTCTTCAGCTGGTTCTCATTGATAAGGCTAGCATCAATCAGTGTGCAGCATTACCTGTAACAAAGAGCACTCACAGAAGTCAAAATCAAACCAAATATTCTATAGCAGAAGCAATTTCCACTGATGGAAAGGGGAATACATTCTCCTGCAGCACTTCATAGGCCCGTTTCCCATTTCTTCACAGAGTCCCCTACACTTCTTGAACAGATTTCAAACGCACCACAAGTAACTAAAAAGAAGAAAGGATTAGAAAGTTGAATAAATTTTACCTTCAGAAAGATGAAATAATAGAGTTTTCTAGGCCATCTTGAGTCTTGGAAAGATAGTCCATTAGTATTAAAATAAATAGGTGAATTAAAAAAGTGTACATAGCAGTGTCTATTGAAAATAATACAGAAAGTGCTTTTTAACCCACGGATATGCTGATCTGAGGCAGTATAAAAAAAACTGTAAACAAATCTTCAGTAAAAAAAAGTCTTAGTTACTACTATTATTGATGAATGGTTAATATGCTTTTCATTGAGTATGTTTTGTGATCAAACTAATGAGCGGGGTGTGTAAAAATATATCCGGTATTTCCCTGCGTCTTCCTGTTAGGAGAACCTGAAATATATATAAAGCATTTTATAAACTTGATCTCCCAAAATGCAATTTGTTCCACATTTCTCGTTTCAATTACAACAGAGGCTTAAACTACACTTGTGCTTGATCTTTTTTTCCTAATCCCACAGCTGTGTTATTTAAGTCCTAGTCCCTCTTGGCTGTGTTGTTGACTTCTTGCTTCCTAAGTTTTTAAAGAGGACAGAAGATAGAAAAGGTCTATTTTAACTTAAACGTTTTGATCATGCTCTAAGAGGCCCAAGCTGTATTTTTCATTAATGCAGGGTGATGTCCTTGAAGTCTTATTTTCCATAGCCATTCTGAAATTCAATTGGATTATCACTACCAGTTAAGAAGATGCTGCAGTCTTGTGGGTTTTTATAGCTCAGATCTGGTGGCCTTAAATTGGATGCAGACTTTGCCACATATTCTTACATTTAAAGGACAACATTTCAAGGAGGACAACCTAAAATATTAAACTTTTTGTAATGGTGGTATTTCACATTAGTCCTCCTCTCCCATTCACACATTCATCTCCACTGACCTACACCTCACCCATAGCCCCTTACTCTTTCCTGACCCAATTAATGGATATATTCACATATGTTCTCCTGCAATTCAGACTGGGTGAGAAGAAGTTATGTGAATTATGTAGCTTTGTAGTTATTCAGGCTTCAGTGATACAGCATTACTGTATTACTGTAAACATTGAATTACTGGAAACATACTGGTGGCCATGCAGCTATGGAGGTGTAAATCCAGGAAGACCTCCAAATTGGAGACTGCTGTTCCATAGGGAAACTCAACCCCCTTAAGAGTCAAACCTGGTGCAATCCCAGAATCACTAGTATTCTGAATAATTTTTTTCTTTCATCATGTCCAGTTCTCTAAAACTGCCTGGCAAGTACCTGCAAGTACCTGCAAGTTTTCTTGGCAAGGTTTTTCAAAAGTGGTTTGCCATTGCCTTCTTCCTAGGGCTGAGAGATGGTGGCTGTCCCACTTTTCCTAAATATGCTTGTCTTTCCCCAGTAGATGTTCACTTCTCATCCAAGAAACTGAACTGAAGAAGCTTCTTGGATGAGAACTGAAATGTCTTCAAGGAAAAACAAAGTTTGCCTTTTGAAAAAGTCTGAGATGGTATAGGTTCTCCTGTTTAAGCGGGGGGGGGGGGGTGCGCTGGACTAGAAGACCTCCAAGTCCCTTCCAGCTCTATTCTATTCTATTCTATTCTATTCTATTCTATTCTATTCTATTCTATTCTATTCTATTCTATTCTATTCATAAACAAATTTCTTTCATTCATTCTCTCAAGTTTTGTGGCTGGTCTGAATGCTTAAACCATATATACAAAAGAAAAAAACCCTTTTTAAAACAGATATACTGACAAATACCTTGATGATACAAATCCATACTTTCTGACATACATGTTAGCTCTTTCACTATTAATTAGACATCTACTTTAATTTTCCCAGATATATTCATTCACTCCACAAAATTAGGCCAATTTTATTTAGATCTATTATCCTTCTCTTTTCTCTTCATTTCACAGAAATAAAACATAAGATTTTTTTTCTTTCTTTTCATTCATCATGTCATACTCTCTACCATTTAATTCTTTTACACCTCCCAAATTACCATCTTCCATATCCTATGGTAATCAGCAGAGGCCCTATTGCCATTGACCTAAATCATTTTTATTTTGATCAAATGAATCCTTCACATACTCCTTTTTAGTAAAATAGATAATATCTATACCAAATCACCAGCCTCTGTTGGATCCATGGCACATGCTTGATCACTTTTTAGAACTTTTTAGCCAGTGTGCTCAGAAGAATTTAAAGCCCTTATACTGTTCTATGCAAGCTAGGGCATTTAATGTTGAGATTACCTTGTATGTTGTTGCTTGTATCCCACTAATTATAAAGTATATGCAATGTATTGATATATATGCTGAATCAACATGAGAAAATCAATGCCCTTTTATTAAAAATAGTAAAGCAAATTACCTACATACAGGAATCTCTCCTTTCTGATAATGCTGCTTTCTAAGTAATTCACTTTATTAAACATTCATTGTCCAACATTCCTCTCCCCAACAGAAAGAAAATATGGTATGGTGACATATGCCAGTTTTGGCTGGGTTATACTGTAACACGTCTAAATCTTCTGTCAACAGTGGCATGGTGTTGCATTCATTTTTTAAAAAGTCTCCCTCTATGATACATCTGTTATATAAATAAAAATAATGCAGCCCTATATTTTTATGGAACACTAATCCACCTTGGCTATGGTGTAATTATCAAATGATTTCATGCTATGCTGGTGGCAGGCTACATCCAGGGCCCGTAACACATGCTGCTGAGCTCTTTTTAAATCCTCTCTGCACAGCTCCATTCATAAATTTGCCATGGCTTTTAAGGCAACATAGTCTGAAGCTTCGCAGAATGATATCAAATAAGTTCATTTATATTGCTGTAATGCAGCCACTCCCCCACCTTCGCCAATCCAGTGTGTACATTCTATTATGCGTGCCTTCTTTGGTTCTGATCCCTGAACTTATTAAATACAGAAAACCAAGGTTTTACAAGAGTAGCCATGGCAGATTATGGGAACCTTGAATAAGTGACATGAATTTTGATCCTGTAATAACAATTGATAAATCTTTGACAAACTTTTACTAGAGAGATTCAATCCTTGTAAAAACAGCTTCCCCCAGTTCAGAAACAGCATGAAATATTTTTATGTTTCTGATAAATAGGTCTTTCTGCCTGCTTGGTCTTTTGGACTCTTGTAACTCATTCTTCAGGCTACAGTATCAGGCTTGGTACATCATCCTTTCCAATGGTGCTCTCTCTTTTCTCTCCTTTCACAAGGTATTCAGGTGGTATGCATTGGTTTAATTCTGAATTTTAAAATCCAGATTTCATAATATTTCATAACACTGTTCTCATCTGATAATGTCAACAATTAGAAATAAACTGGGTTTGACCTGAGCCTATCTGTCTATGGAGATTCTCAGCTATCCAGGTCATGGTTGTCCCAAAGGTGCTTTTTCAAAAGGCAGTTCTTCAGAATTGAAGAAGCTTCTTGGATGAGAAGTGAAACGTCTTCAAGGAAAAACAAAGAAAATCCTGTTGCCTTTTTAAAAAGCACCTTTGAGACACCTGAACCTATCCTTATCATAGAATGAACAATCTTAATGGCAGCTTGGTCTGAAGAAAGTACATAGAAATAATATTTTTTTCCATTCCTTTTTAGCCCCAAATCCAACCCCCTCATAGATTTCCGTACTTTCTGAGCATTTCCTAGTGGAGGCACAATGACTGCAGGAGAGAAAGCAGTAAAAACTTTCCTACGACCTTATTTAGATCTAATCCACTTCATATTTTTATGTGATCCCATATCAGCATACGGCCCTATGTAAATATTGGTTTACTCGTACATGAATTAATCTGATTAAGGAGAAAAAAGGATTGACTTGGTTTCCACTCATGGCTATTTCCTAATCCAAGGGTGGGCAACATTTTAGGGACTGGTCAGGTAACAACTCAGTCCCCAAATCTTTGGAAAGTGCATCAGAGACAATCCAGTGATACTTTAGCGTCAGTGGAAAATAGCCCATTTTGGAGCTTCTGAGATAGGGTTAATATTGGAGCTCTGATGGCGCAGAGGTTAGAATGCCCTCTGCCCATAGTCTGGATTCAATCCTGATTGAAGGATGACTCAGCCTTCCATCCTTCCAAGGTTAGTAAAATGGGGACCCAGATTGTTGGAGCAATAGGCTGGCTCTGTAAACTGCCCAGAGAGTGCTGTAAAGCAC